ACTTGTTTTTAAGTTCTAACTCATCTCTTAATTTGTAGTATTATTTGACTAAAAATAGTATAAATCCTTTTTTTAGTTTAATTTATACTTTAAATTCTTTATTATATATTAATAATTGCCATTCCTTCTTTATAAATAGTTCAATAAACTTATAGTATTTCTTAGGCAACTTTGCTAAAATTTCTACAAGTTTCTTTTTATATAACTCTTTTAATTTTAGTTTTATTTTATATGTCTTTTCTATGATTCTTATTTTTTTAATTATTTATACTTATTAAATTGTTCTAGTTTCTCTTGTTTTATTATTTCTAATTTTTATTTTATTTTCATCACTTAGATTTTTCTAACTATTTTATAGCTTTTCTTTTTATACTTTATTTCTATTATTTAATATATGTAATATCTTCAGTAAATATCATCTTTCATTTCTATTAGTTTACTTTCTATCCTGATCCTTCAGTAACTAGTAATGTACCAAGGCTTTGCCCTGATTCCTTATATAGCTAAATAATTTCTTTAATCTTCTTTTTAATGATCCTTATTTTTAATACTATATTGTTGACTGCCACTATTTTATTTATCTAGTCAATTATTGGGTTCTATGTTTATAATCATGTTATTCTAAATATAGTGTTGTAGTATTCTCTTAATACCGGTACAATATCAAGCATTATTATTATAATATATTATCCTGATCTTATAATAATATTTAGTATCTATTTCTTATATCCTTAATTAATTATTTCTTTACTAATAGAGATGATTGTTACTTATTTATTTATTTATATAATAGGTATCTCAGCTTCTTTTGTGAATTTTTCTCTAATATAGTTGTAAGCTGCTTCTGAATCTAATAAAATTCTTACATCTTTTCTATTAATTTTTACTAATATTATAACTATTTGACTGACTGCTTTTAGTTTTATAGTTATTATAATAAATTTTATTATAATTATATGTCTTTCTTAAAATTGTTATCTTTATTTAAAAAATTCCTTTATGCTAGTTATATACTATTTATGTGACCCTTTTGTCTAGCATTCTATAGTTATAAGATTATTATAATAAGAATATACTGGTTCTTTATAAATATATTAGCATTCTAACTACTCTTATAGACACTCTAGTTTTAATTCTAAGATAATAGATAAGATGTTTAAAAACCATCCTGATATTGCCTTTAATCTAATATAAAGTTTATATAAATTATTATAATATATTATCTAGTGAACTTTATAATGCAAATTTCCTCTAATAAATAGATAGTGATAATAAGAACAATTCCTCACATATCTATTTTGTCTATTATAAAAGTGTATTCCTCTTTTATACAAAATATACTCATATATTACAGCTAAAGATAAATGTATTTATCTATGCTTTTAATATATATAATATATTTATTTATTGTATTTCTTACATCCTCTAATATAATTCTTCTATTTCTATTAAGACTCTTTCTAGCAGGTTGTATTGATGGATATGCAATTATATAAATTATCTCTCTAAAGATTTATAATATTTTTCTATGCTTTTATTTTCATTTTATTCTTAATAAAGTTTTCTATTTATTCTCAATATAGATCCTTATAGGTTATTATCCTTAATCTATCATCCTATAATATTAATTAAATATAAAGTAACTTTTTTAAAGAAGAATCTTTTCTAATATCTTCTGCATTAAATTCTCTCTCTATCTCTTCTTTACTAGGATGACTTTCTTCTCTAGGTGATTCTTAAGTACAGCTTATCTAATCAATTTATTCCCTATAATTATAAGATTAATGTCCCATTCTTATATCAGTACTTACTCATTTTATTTATTTAACACTTCTTCTAAGGTTGAATTTTTTTCACTTTTCTTCTTATATATTCTAGTATTATATCTCATTTTTACTTAAATCATCAAGTATTTCTTTTAGCTATATTAACATATTTTCTTCATCTGCTTGTCTTATCCATTCTACTCAGATTCTTTCATAATTTATTATCCATTCTAATTATTATTTTTTGTCTTTGACTAATTGCTTTAAGTCTTTATTAGAATTAATCTTATTATCAGCTATTCTGTTAGCTTTACTATTATTAATTAAAATTAGTAAGATCATTATTATGATTTGCTCTTTTAAACTTAAAGTAGCTGATTTCTAGTTCTTTTTTAGCTTTTAGCATTAATTTATAAAATAATCTGGTTTTTTATAATTAAAATAAGCTTTATTTTTTTTTAGCTTATTCTTTTTTTCTTTGGATAAGGTTACATTTAATTATATTATTATATCTTTATCCTTGTCTTTAGTTCATCTTTAGTAAATATTTGCTTTATTTCTTCTAAATTCTCTCTTTTTTATTTATTAGATATAGATAGTTAAATTAATCTAAGATGCTACTTCTATTATTGCTTAAAATATTTTAGATTATAATATTATTATTAAGATTTAATCTTTAATATTATCTTTTAGTCCTTTATAAAACTAGTCTTTAAATCTTTAATTATTTTATAATAATTCTTCTAATATTTATAAAAATTTTAAAATATATTCTCTAACTAAGGTTTATTATTTAATATATTATATTTTATTAACAGCTTTAATTTTCTTATTAATAGTTTCTTATAGTTGGTTAAGTTTCTCTTTATAGTACTAGTAATTAGAAAATATTATAATTATCTTAGGGTTTTTTTATTTTTTATTACTATATATATAATATTAGTTAATAATATATAGAGTAAACTACTTTATAGCTTTTTCATTAAGGAAACTTAATGCTATTAATATTTTATTAGATTTATTCATAATTTGTTTATTATTGTATATAAAATAAAATTATATTTAAGTAAGGTATATCTTAAGGGTTTTATATTCTCTCTTAAATAGAGTTACTATTTTAATCTTAATTTCTTAAGATATATAACTTAATCTTTCTTTATTATTAATTACTACTTGTTCTAATTTCTTAATATATTATAATAATGCTGCTATATTCCTATTATTAGTAGTTATAGTATTCCTATTATTAGTATTAATAATTTGTGAGTTAGGACTCAGAATTGTTAGAACTAAGATTTAAAATATTATTATTACTTATTCTTAAGACTTTTCTTTCAACTAAGAATCTTAAATTATTAGAAACTTTAGTTAGATTATTATTAAGTATAGCTAGGATAGCTATTAATAAGTAAAATTAATAGACTTCTAAGATTGAAAGGTCTTAGTAGATAAAAGAAATAAGAATAAGGCTATGAATATCTTAATTAATAGAAGATTATATACTCAAATTATTACAGTTAATTTAAGATAATAAAAGAAAACTAAATATATAATAAATAAGCGTCCTTATATAATTTTTCTCTATTATAATTATTATAGCTATTTCCTTTCATTAGGCTCTGATAAGTCTGATTATATTTATTATAGCCATGTACTAACAACTAGCTCTGATGGCCATGATAGCCTTAGTCCTGATATGTCCTAACTCTGCTTATGGTATCTTCAGATAATCCTTTGTTCCCACGCATTAGCGTTTCATGTCCATTGGCTGTGACGTTCTGATTCTCTGACAGAAGTATATAAAAGATTAGAGTAAAAGTAACTTAATTACTATATATAGGACTGCTAGTATTAGATATAAGTATATTTTATTATATTTTAAAAATAGTTTCTTAATAATTATAATAAATAGCTTACTAATATTCTAATAGTGGTTAATAAAATATTTAAAGGATATATAATCTAGATCTAAGTGGATTACTTCTTGGAGAAAAGTCTTCTAAGAGATTAATTATAGGATATGACAATATATTTACTTTAAAGATTAAATTTGTCTGGTTGTAGAAACTATAAGCTAGATATTTTATATGTATTGCATGCTTATAGCTTAGGTTTTTAATATAGAAAACAGTCTATAATATTATTTAAAATAATTATAAATATAAAATAAGAAAGCAAATTAATAAATTAAATATATAAAAATTTTATATTTAATAATGTATATTAAACTTTTATTAGTAAGATAGACTATTAGGTAAGAAAATAGTTTATTTTATTATAATATCTTACTTATTATTAGCTAAGAATTAAATTAATTAGAGATAATTAGCTAAGTATTTAATTAATTAATTTCTACTAGTTAGCTTACTGATTATTTATAATAATAAATTATCTTAGTGAAATTTCTCTTAAATAGTTATTCTTAATTAAATAAATATAATATTCTTATATAAGAAATAAAAAAGGGTTCTTTATATTATATATAAAAGAAGTAAAAAAGTAAAAAAGAGTTCTAGAATCTTTTTTACTTTCTTCTATTAAGATCTTAAGTTTATCTATTTGCTAATAGGGATATTTCTGTATTATTAGTATGATTATTATAGAAGATTTTAATTGATTTACACTTGTATTATTACATAACCTTTATATATTATAGAATTTAGACTGTAGTTCATGACAAAATGTAAGTTATATATAAAATTCATTTTGGCAAGGTTGTACGAATAGGCTGCCATACATTGGCCGAACAGCATCCAAACCCCAAGGCAGAATTCAATCTGAATATCGGGCGGTTTGACCAGTTCATAGCACGCCTTGATAAAACAACATAACTAGCCGCCTACTATGCGGCGCTGTCGCTCCCTGACGGACAGCCCTTCGCTGATTGTTAATTCAAAAACGCCTAAATATGTACCTTTCAGGGTACCATGCGGCATAGCAGCGATAAGGGTGGCCACCACTAGGGATCCATGGCTTTTAATTCATTTAACTCCTAGTTGCGCGGGGTCAAGAAAAGAATGCCAGAAACGCGCAGTTTTGTTTCATCAGTAACTAGACTAGCCTGAGCGTCTAAATATGTATACCCTCCCTCTAGTTTAATGCTCATAAACGTGGATTTATACCAACAACTTCAGGTATAAATGGTTTCAAGTTTTAGCGCAACCATTTCTTACTTATCTTATTTGATTTAAGGTTTTCTGATAACCCAATCTTCATTGTTTCCTTTTCATCAGCATGAGCCAGATTTCGCGTTACGAGCCGCAGCGGACGGCGCCAGCATCTGTGGACAATCGACGTTCATCGAATTCATTGTTTCCGCCATATTATCCCGAAAGAACTTCAAGTCTCCCTCGGTCCAATTCCTCCGAGGCTGAGCAAAGACGCAATTCCCAGGCTTCCAACACAATCTCTTCACAGACACTACCTGGGGAAGTAGAAGAAGAAGGAGGAGGAGGAGGAGGAGAAGAAAGTGCAAAGGCCAAGCGAAGATCGATATGGCAAAGATACTATCATTTCCTTCTTGTGGTGCTACCTCGCGGCTGGTCCATAGAGTACATCTCATGTTTTATTAGTGTCGCGGCTTTTGTGAGTCTCATGGTTGTGCTCAACCAGTATGACAACAAACGCATGCCCTCGTGGCCGCTGGACATCACACTCAATACTCTTTTGGCTTTGCTGACAGCTGTCAGCCAGACGTGCTTCGTCTATCCAGTGGTCCAGGGCATCTCTCAGATGAAGTGGAATTGATTCGCGGGCAAGGATAGGTCGCTGGCAGATTTCGAGTCGTTTGATAGCGCAAGCCGAGGAGCATGGGGCAGCATTCTGCTCGTTTTCAGTACGAAAGGAAGGTAGTTCGGTCTAAGCCTGTCCAGAGAAGAAGCCGTTAAAGCTAAATCAAATGGTCTTGTGTGTCGATAGACTTTCAGTTCTGCTAGCTGCTGTGATATTAGTGACATCCGCAGTCACATCAACAATCACATAAGCCGCGCTGTCTCAGAATACAAGGTATATTCACGGTGATGGAAATGCAACAGCTGAGCGAATGTTGAATGACAAAGATCTTTATATGTCAACAAACGATGCAATGGCCGTAATGATGAATGCGATGTACACGGCTGCAAACACTACGTACAACTTTGATACCCCATTGTGCTCTACGGGAGATTGTCAATGGCCTACATTTGGATCTCTTGCAGTATGCAGTCAAATGAACGACATTACAGACCAACTTTACACGTTGACAGCACAGGAATAATGCTGCTGGCAGAACTCTACGGCCAACAAGTTGCAGCCTTGGAATTGGGGACCCGAGGTTTGTCGGAATTGCACATATTCGGGGCTGTCCAATGGCTTGTATCTAAATTACTTCGCTAGTGGGAATTTGGCTAATTCGTCAAATATTTGGCTCTCAACTTCTGACAACACAGGATGGTCGGAGGTGTACTCATTCAGCAATGAGTCCTTTGCAGATAATGCGCTTAATGCAGTGCAAGTCGTCTACCTAGACTCTTCGGACGAGACATATTACAACGCCTCGCAAGGGCTGCCCAATTCAACTGTCCTCCTGCAGCATTCGCGTGCCGTTGAAGTTCTGTTTTATCTCTGTGCGCAAACCTACGACGTATCAACAACCAATGGAACTGCTGTTACGAAAATCAATACAACCCTTAACACTGTTAATGACACGCAAAATGTTTTGGTTACGTCTGATAACATCCACTATACTCCTTACACAAACTATCCTTTCATTCTGGATGGTCAGAATTATAGCTACTATGCTATCAACTTCAATATGGGGGAGATGATCAACTATTTCGCCACTGGTTACTACAACTACGATGTGATCAATGGTGGGCTGGACGTCATGACTCCTTTCAATTATGCCGTGGGCAATATTCTTTACCACAACACCAATATCAACAGGAATTCAAGCGTTGGAAGAGATGGATAGATGCACCAGGCTTTGTCGGAGTTGACTAGTAATATGGCCAAAGGATTGACAAATTGGTTCGTCTACAGCATGAATAGGTTGCCTTAGTACATTTATAAGCTGACAGTTCGATTTGCAGGCTTCGGAGCGAAGGCACTACTGTACAGGGGAAAGCCGATGTAATCAACATCTACGTGGTTGTGCGATGGAATTACCTCATCTTTCTAGGTGTTCAGGTCATTCTATCCGCAGCATTCCTGGTCTGGATCGTAGTCGATTCGAGAAAAAGGAAAACAATAAAGAAGGACTCGGCATTAGCGACTCTGCTGGCTATTCCTGGAAGTGATAAAGAACTTTTGGAAAGACAACTGTCTATGACCGAAGATGGCGAGGACGGCATGGAGCAAAGAGAGAAGATTGAACAAAACTCTCGCGCGAGATTGATACAAGACACTGATAGTGGAGAGTGGCATTTGAGGCTTGTGGATCATCAGAAATCTTAGATAAGATCCAAGCAGGTAGGTATGGATACAGCTTAATTGGGCACCTGGGACATCTAACTGAGAGGGCAATTTTTACCGTCTGTTATACATATGTGAGTAGATAGACTATTTATGTTTAGTACTGCTGTCTACTTTTCTGTCTGGTATTTGACTTACTGGCGTTGTCGTTTATCAAAATGATGAGAAGCTTGTTTGCAAAAGTACCTAGGTAGGCAAAACGCTGCTCTGCTATAGGAATATCATTCTAGTAACATAAAATACAGTATATATTTATATGTTATGCTTTTCAGTGAGTTCAGGAACATTTGATTCTAGCACACACCATACATCTCAAACAATCTGATGATAGGCAACAAAATCAAGCACATTATATGCATACCTCAGATAATATAATTAATAACTTCACCAAACCCGACTATACGAGAGAAAGCTACCATTGGCCGTCACTTGGCTCTCTTCTGCAGTGTGTGCCAGACCAAGGATATTACGGATACACTGATTTTTGAAGAGACAGCCGCATAATCTTGCACCAAAAAGTGTTCGAAACAGATATAAAGATCGGACTTGGCGAGGAAGAAGTACCAATTGTACTCAGATAGGTCTTACTCAGAACAAGTATTATTACCGCAAGGCACATCAAGACGTCAAGCCAAACTCAACTAGCATCACCCTCAGCGATCAGTAATTGTTAGTGATGCATCTGGCTGGTTTATGATATTTGTGTCAATGAACTGTAGTCTAACTCGGATATCTGAAAATTTATAACAGTGGCTAATATAATTACAAATTCGTACATATAGCTCACGTGCACCGATAGATGCAAATTTCAGGTACATATGCCCCGAGTCTAATGTCCCGATGATTACTATGTAGTACTTCGGACCATTATAAACCTTGGAAACATATATCTATCTCAAACGTCCGTCGATATAATGATATTACACCTGATGAAGAAGGTAACACATTATTATCTTTTCGCTTTCTCTTAACCTTCAATTCGAGCACGAAACGTCATGTCGGGATTAGGTGCTCTGCTGTCCTATCCGAATATTCTTGATGTTGCCACTTATGGAGTGAGCTCACTTCTTATTTATTCCGGGGTTGTGGGAGCGTACATCGATCCTCTTGGCTGTAAGTTCTAATAAAAGTCAATGTTCTACTGCTCTGACCATGTTTAGGGGTCAGAGGTTTTGGCCTCCCCACAGCAACGGCAGAACAGGCTGTCCTTTTCCCTTGCGCAACAGGCCGGAATCTTGGTGCAGGCTGCTTTGTGTTGGCTATGACTTTTCTGAGGGAGAGGAAGCTGCTGGGAATATTTCTCTTGTGCTGGGGATTTGGGGCCGGCATCGCGGATTCCAAGGTTCTCTACGATCACCCACAGGGACAGGGTGTAGGAAAGCATATGCTGTCGTTTACAATTTGTATGACACTGAGCGCGCTTCTGATAAGTTCGCCACAGTAATGTAATAATTGAGAGTCAATTAACAGCTATATCTATCCATCGTATCTTCCCGGTTTTCACCCGCCATACATACGTGATGATCAAACCACATGTGTTACTATCCTAACTCCCTTTCGACTAAGTTAACTAGTTAGTTATTTGTTTTCTTACTAAGCTACAAACATCCAAACCACGTGAAAGCCGGACCAATTTGTCCGAGATTCCTTTGACGTTCCATCAGTCCCCGCACCTCCGCGGAATTTCCGTTCGCCATACATTTTTCATCCCTCCGCGCGCCTCCGTGGGAAAGCCGTCCTTCTCTGCAAATTTCAAAAGATGGGGGAAATGCAGGGTGCGCGCCAAAGATTCGAGAGACCGGTCTCCTGCCGTTTCTGCAGGTCTCGGAAACTGCGGTGCAGCAGAGAGGCCCCATGCTCCAACTGCGTCTCCCGCGGAATTGATTGCGAACTACCAGTAAAGAATGCCAACATTCAGTCTGCTGCTCCTAGTACCGAGCTGCTTGAACGCATTCGCAAGCTAGAGGAGCTCGTGGCCAATGCGAACTCAGTTCATATCACATCCCAGACACCGGATACCCCTCATAGTCTACTGACACATACAACAAGCCCGTCGACTCTGTCCCCCGACATCGATGATGATGTTGCTTGGCTTAAGAGCATTTACACCGCACAGGACCTGTCGGTTAGTTAGTGCCTTTCGTATAATGACGAAATTCAGATCTGATGACCCTCCGATCAGGAAAATGCACCCTCAAGGAAGATAGCCTTCAGGGTTTGCCCAATCCAGCAAATCACACACGCGCAACCTTATTTCAACCAAATTGCGCATACCTCATCTACACGGTTTGAGCCCATCAGATGTATCTGGCTTCCACAGTATGAGGAAGCCAAGGTACTTCTCCAGAAGTTTCTTGACGACATTGACCATGTCCATCATATAGTCCATAGTCCTTCACTTCCAGCTATTTTAGATGAGGTTTATGCTTGTCTAAACAAGCAAAGTCAAGTGAAGCCTGGGAGCATAGTACTGCTTCTAGGCATATTCGCGAGCTCGACCCACGCTTGGGTACATCGCGATAGTGTTCGTCGTTTGTTTCCTTCATGGCAGGAAGCTAACGCTCAGGCGCTGTCATGGGTGAAAGCGGTGGAGGATGTGCTTGATATCTTCCATCGAACGTCATCGGTATCAATAGAGGGTATACAGGGAATCAGTATTACAACCTTTACAGTATTGAACATGGAAGGGTTCTCTCGAAGATGCAAGTCTTTGTTTAATATGGCGTTCATGCTAGCACGGGAGCTTGGACTACATTCTCTGGACCAATCCAAGCCGATGAACTCGGCGCAGGCAGAAATCGGACGAAGAGTGTGGTGGTTTCTTGTTGCAGCTGACTGGTTCTTCTCCCTCTGTGTCCGTAAAATGGTAAGCTCAGACTGATGGGGTTTCTAGGTCACTACCTTCCAGAAGGTTCAATTGCGGTCCACAGAATATATACCATTGCCATCCACGTCACATGCTGGTCAGAAAGCCTCTGAATATTAACGACGAAGACGTAACAGACGGAATTCGATGCGCTGAACAGCCACTATCTCAACCAACCACAATGTCATTTCAGTTACTACATCTTCGCCTCTCACAAATCTCACACAACATGGTTGATCGCAGTCCCCTCGTAATGGGCCTCGCCGGCGGCCCCAACCACGACGTTCTTATGAGCATCGATACTGAGCTTCAAATGCTCTTAAATGACATCCCACCCTTCTTCTCCATGTCAGTAGATGATTTGACTGCAAACTATCCACTTAGCCATTCACGTGCTTCAAAAATAGTTCACCAAGGCTACATCTTACACTCTCTTCTCTACGCCCAGCGGTGTACACTTCACATTCCATACTTCACCCGTGGCCTCTCTGAGCCTGCTTACGCCTCGTCCAGCCAAATATGCCTACAATCCGCCTGCCTCGTCATCCAAACAGAGTCGAAGTTGGGAAAGTCGGGTATATCACCAACACGCTACAAATTTCTCGGATTCCTAGTCCCGGTTTTCATGGCAAGCATTGTATTAGTCATGTATCTATGTTATCATAAAACCTCATCACATCATGAGGGGCACCGCAAGGAACTAGCCGAGGCTATCAGGATCCTCGAAGAGGCCAAACATGAATCTCAAACAGCGGCTAAGTTCCTCGAGTCCCTCACACATGTTCTGAGCAAACACCAAGTTTTTCCGGCACCGAACCAGCAGCTGCCTAATAGAGCAGTAACTGCTACAAGTGTGCAACCGTATGGCGAACTATCACTGCCGATGTCGACACCAAGTGTGCTGGGAGGAAATGAAGTTATTATGCCGAATGAAATGTATGCAAACAGTGAGGATTTGTCGGAATACTTTAATGAGTTGGCACAGAGCTTTGAGCAGGGAATCGATGTGGCAAACTTAAACTGGAATGATATGTTTTCGGGGATTGATTCTTCGATGGTCTGGATCTAAATCAGCGAGAGGGGTTGGAGAAATATGACCAAAATTATACAAATCATGAAGATTCACGATTACATTAGGAAGTATCTAGTTCATGCAGTAAAACTGGAATCATTGGTTTTGGAGTATAGGAGCTCGGTCAAGATCTAGTGAGCAGCACTCTGCTTTATGCGTCATCATGTGAATGATTGGTTGAGAAGTGTTTGTAAATTAACCATCAGTTACCATGGCTCAATGTAGTCCCCAGTTTATTCCCCAGTAATATATTCTTTCATAGTCGTCTCTCATTGACCCGCTAATCCGACACAAGGCCTAAAATCCTGACGGAACGCAAAGACTCCTCCCGGAATTGCACCGAATTGCCCGAACCTCGCGTCAAACATTCATTTATCGATTTTCGAATGTTTGAACTGTTAAATCTACAGATTTATAGAGACACGCACCTCGTAGCCACAGATAGTACAACACTGTCGTTGTAATCGCAGCCTTGGTTCGAGCTATGAGGGTTTGATACAAAAGTTGTCTGTAAGAAGTGGGACCCTTACTTATAGAAATACACAAGCTATACACAGGGAGGAGTTCTTCTACACGGGTTCTGCACAAAACTGGCTCCAGAATGTCCAACGCCAAGCAGATATACTTGGGGCTTGGAAGATGGTTGCTGATATCGTCCAGCTACACCGGAGCTTATCGTGGCGTTAGGCTTCGGCTATGCGTAAATGCGCAGGGAAGAAGTAATATCAGTCAAGAGGAGGTTGATGCAAAGGGACTGGTGCTAGATAATGAATGGAAATCAATTGACGATATGCCCGAGGTCGCACTTGAGCGTTATACCTCTTTTCGTCACTGCTGAGCATTGACCCACCACGTAAGTACTCTCGGATAGTAACTATCGGGGGTGGTCTACGGTCATTTCGGGACGGGTGAATCGGGGAGAGATGATTATAAGTTGAGGCTGGGTTGTTAACACTCTTCGTTGTCGGCCCCGAAGCGGGTATTCGTATATATGACTTATTAATAGTGCTTCAGCAGCATCAACCAGCTAGGGCTCCTCTTTCTTCAAGTGCACTTATTCTCCAAAGGTCTCTCTCACTTGCATTTAGCTGACCTATGGGGTGACTTGTGTTGGACAACATTCTGTTACCTTCCTCTCTTTCTACAACTGATCAGTCACCCTGATGCCCATCTATACCCCCACCACAAGTTCAGATTCCGACTTCGACTCACACAAAATGAAGCTTGTCTACTTCAGCAATGAGTTTCCCAGGGACGACTTGCAAGACCTGTTCCGCAGTCTGCACAATCACAGCAAGGACAAACATCACTCACTCTTGGCCCAATTCATATACGAAGCCACTTGGGCCATCAAGGATGAAGTTCGGAATCTACCAACAGAGCTTAAGAAGCTCATTCCGCCATTTGATACACTCTTCAGCTGGGCAGAAAACACAGAGCTTCGGGAAGGACTGATCTGCGGCGCCGTGGATGGGGTGCTGCTTATTGTCGTACAACTAGCCACTTATATTGGGTGTGTATTTGAATTTTCTTACAACTTGAGAATATAAATTGTTAATTTCAGTTTGCCAGATATGCAGAGAACAGCCTCGAAGGGCCGATTGATTTTGCAAACACGAGCCTTGCTGGTCTTGGTATTGGCCTTTTGGCATCGACTGCGGTTTCATTGTCCTCGACGTTGGCCGACTTACCACTCGCAGGCGCAGATGCTGTACGGCTGGCATTCCGCCTAGGAATCCATGTCATAAGCGTGTCGGAAAATTTGGAAGCCCGCAATTTGGCAGAGAGCCCCGATACGTGGGCATATGTCGTTCACAATGTTGAACCAGTTGCCGCTCGAAAGGAACTCGAAACAGTACACCTTCGAGAGGAGACTCCTGAGACTAGCAAGGTCTTTGTAAGCGCTGTTAGCCGGACTTCTGTCACGGTAAGCGGACCACCAGCTAGGTTAAAGGCACTATTCACCAAGTCAGACTTTTTCCGCGAGTCCACATTTATTCCACTTCCAGTATATGGCGGCCTTTGTCATGCACCACATATCTACGACGTACAGGATACAAAGAGTATTGTCGATCAAAGTTTATTGCTCACAGTCTCTACAAAGATGTGGCCGGTGACACCAGTTTACTCTACCAGCACCGGTGCACCATACCCGACCAAGAACGCTACAGAAATCTTCGAAAGTGTAGTGTCGGAGCTTCTTACTCAAGAAATCCATTGGGACCGTGTCATATCCGGCATTGTCGAGAGAGTGGAGGCCACTGTTACCGCAGAAGTAGCTCTGTACAGCTTTGGCAACTCCATTCCTCTCAACGATCTAGTTTCAGCCTTGAAGGATAGCATTACTCACCCAAACATCTCAACCAACAATCTGACAGCATTTGCCACCCAAGTTGCACCAAGAGATACTACTCCGCGCAGCACTGCGCAGTCTAAGCTCGCCATTGTTGGCATGTCTTGCAGACTTCCTGGAGGTGCGACTAACACCGAGAAGTTCTGGGAGATCCTTGAAAAGGGGTTGGACGTCTCTCGGCAAATTCCGGCTGATCGCTTTGACATTGAGACACACTATGACCCAACAGGCAAAGAACTCAATAAGACTATGACACAGTACGGTTGTTTCATTGATGAGCCCGGCTTGTTTGATGCGCCCTTCTTCAACATGTCTCCGCGTGAATCTCAAGTCACCGATCCGCAGATGCGTTTGGCTCTTGTCACAGCATACGAGGCCCTTGAACGTGCTGGTTATATTGGTAATCGTACTGCTGCCACACAACTGCAGCGTATTGGTACCTTCTATGGCCAAGCAGCTGACGATTACCGTGAAGTCAATCAAGGACAAGAGGTTAGCACATACTATATCCCAGGTGGTTGCCGAGCCTTTGGTCCTGGACGCATAAACTACTTCTTCAAGTTTGCTGGTCCCAGTTACAGTATTGATACTGCATGCTCTTCAGGTCTTGCAGCGATTGAGGTAAATTCTTCTTGATACCGAATTGTCATAATTGAATTTAGGTATTAATCAATGATTTTAGGTCGCCTGCCAGGCCCTTTGGAATGGCGAGGTCGATACCGCTGTAACAGGCGGTGTCAATGTATTGACTAATCCGGACGGCTTCTCTGGACTGTGCAACGGTCATTTCCTCACTAAAGGACACAATGCGTGTAAGACGTGGGATGCCACTGCTGATGGATACTGCCGTGCGGATGGCATTGGATCTCTTGTTATAAAGAGACTTGAAGACGCTGAAGCAGATAATGATAATATCTTGGGCGTTATTCTCGGTGCTGGTACAAACCATTCTGCGGAAGCAGTTTCCATTACTCATCCCCATGCTGGCCATCAAGCCTATCTTTCTCGTCAGGTGCTTCGACAGTCTGGCATAGACCCCTTGGATGTTTCTTACGTCGAACTCCACGGAACTGGTACTCAGGCCGGCGACTATGAAGAGATGCAGGGTATCATGGACGTATATGCTCCCCTGATCAGGCGTCGTAACAAGGATCAGCCCTTACATATCGGCGCTGTAAAGGCAAATGTCGGCCATGGAGAGTCTGTTGCGGGGACAACAGCACTGCTTAAGGTGCTTTTAATGCTCCAAAAGAATGCTATTCCACCACACGTCGGCATTAAGACGGAGATCAATCCCAAGTTCCCCAAAGACTTTGATAAACGCAATCTCCATATCCCAATGAAAATGACACCTTGGCCGCGGGTACCTGGAAAGAAACGCATTGTAGCAGTCAACAATTTTGGCGCCGCTGGTGGGAACACAACGATGGTACTAGAAGAAGCGCCGGTTCGCCAAATCACAGAGACGGACCCTCGAACGACTCACATCATCACAGTCTCCGCCAAGGTCAAGGCATCCTTGATAGGAAATATTGAGCGCTTAATAGCTCACCTAGACATCCATCCGGACATCAATTTGGCCGATCTTTCATACACAACAACGGCTCGCCGCTATCATCATACACATCGCATAGCCATTGCCACCTCCGACGTGGCCCATCTGAAGAAGCAGCTCAGTTCTCACCTCGAGAAGGTGGATTTGATCAAGCCCATTGGAAAGTCTGGGCCTCCATCAGTCACATTCAGCTTTACCGGTCAAGGCGCCTCTCACAAGTCAATGAATTTAGAGTTGTATCGCGATGTGCCTAGCTTCCGTAATATTATCAAACATCTTGACTCTCTTGCTCAAGGCCAAGGCTTTCCCTCCTTTATTCCTGCTCTTGATGGATCATTTCCCAAGGAGCATGCTCACTCCGCCGTCATAACCCAGCTTGCCCTGGTCTGTACAGAGATTGCTCTTGCAAAATACTGGGCTACTCTCGGAGTTAGACCAGATGTCGTCATAGGCCATAGCCTAGGCGAGTATGCTGCGATGCACATAGCGGGTGTTGTCACGGCCAGTGACACTATATTCATGGTTGGACGCCGGGCTCAGATGTTGGAGGAGAAGTGTAAAATTGGAAGCCATAACATGATGGCTGTTCGGGCTTCGGTTGCACAGATATTTGAGAGCTCAGAGGGAAAGCCATTTATGATTGCTTGCATAAACAGCCCTTCTGACACGGTACTCAGCGGTACAAAAGAACAGATGGATGACGTGGCAGCCTCACTTGAGAAGGCTGGCTACCGCTGTATCAAGTTGGATGTCGCCTTTGCTTTCCACTCAGATCAAATGGACCCTATCTTGGACGACTTCGAAGCAATTACGACAACGGGTGTTGTCTTCCAAGAGCCAAAAGTGCCAGTTATTTCACCCCTGCTTGGCAAGGTAGTTTTCGATGGAAAGACGCTTAATGCAAACTACGTCCGCCGCGCCACAAGACAGACTGTCGACTTTCTCGCTGCTCTGCAACAGGCCCAGAAGATTCACACTATCAGTGACGAAACTGTATGGGTTGAAATTGGGCCGCATCCTGTTTGTACTAACTTTATCAAAACCACCATTCCGTCCACACAGCTCGCTGTACCGTCCATCCGCCGTGGTGACGATAACTGGAAGACCATTTCTGAAAGTATGGCTACTTTGCACCTTGGCGGTGTTGAGGTTAGCTGGAATGAGTTTCATAGCCCATTTGAACGTAGGCTGCGCCTATTAGACTTGCCAACATATGCGTGGAATGAAAAGAATCACTGGCTGCAATATACTGGAGACTGGTGTTTGACGAAAGGCAATACCTTTTATACGAAGGAAGCCAATACAACACCAAAAGCACTGCCAGCTAGCGAGATACAAACCACGACGGTCCAGCAGATTATTGAAGAGTCTTTTAATGGCTCTGCCGGCAAGGTAGTCATGCAGTCTGATCTTATGCAGGCAGATCTACTGGCCGCCGCCCATGGGCATAGTATGAACAACTGTGGTGTTGTTACATCGGTAAATCCACCTATCTGTACGAGGAATCTTTGGTCGAGTTTGCTAACTCTCATCCCAGTCCATCCACGCCGATATTGCATATACACTTGGCAATTATCTGTACCGCAAGCTTATTCCAACGGCTCAAGAGGTCTACATTAGTATTTCTAATCTCGCCGTTACAAAAGGTCTTATTGCCCAAACCAACAAGAAGGTGCCCCAGCTCTTCCGTGTGACTGCTATCACCGCCGATGTTGGCTCAGGTGTAGTCGACTTGACCTGGCAGAACGTGGACACCGATGGCAATGTTGACGATCCATTCGCTACGGCCAATATTCACTTTGGAGATGTATCTGATTGGCTCTCTTCTTGGGCTCCAATTGCTCATCTCGTCCAGAGCAGGATTGAAACGCTTGAGCAACTGGCGGCGCAGGGCCAAGCAAGTCGTTTTACGCGCAACATGGCATACACACTCTTCGGCAGCAAGCTGGTGACCTATGCCGACAAATATCGCGGGATGCAGTCTGTAATTATGCAGGGATTAGAAGGATTCGCTGATGTGCAGCTAACCACCAAGGAAAGTGGCGTCTGGACCGTTCCTCCTTACTTTATTGATAGCGTAGCACACTTGGCCGGGTTCATCATGAACTGCTCTGACGCTATAGACACGCAACAAAACTACTGTGTTACTCCAGGTTGGAACGCGATGCGATTTGCAAAGCCTCTGGTCCCGGGGGCTAAGTATCGTTCATATGTCAAGATGATTCCGACAGTTGAGGATCCGACGATCTACTTTGGCGATGTGTACATCATGCAAGACAATGTTATCATCGGTGTTGTCAATGGCATTCAGTTCCGTCGTTACCCTCGCATTCTGCTCAGCCGTTTCTTCTCACCACCGGATAAGATGGCTGCTATTGAGGGCAAGCCAAAATCCACTGCTTCTCAAGTTACAGCAGCAGCTCCAAAGATTGCCACACCAGCGCCGAAACCTGTACTCTTTCGACATGACCCTCACCACGGAAGCGATTATGAAACGGTTATCCCTCCCATCGCGGCCCCAGCTCCATCAAAGGAGGTCGGAGCCGTAGCTGAGGCTCCATCCGTGGAAGCTGCTGCGGAGTCTGGGAGTATCGCTGCCAAAGCAATCCTGCTCATTGCTAGCGAGGCGGGTCTGGACCTCGCTGAAATGACGGATGATGCCAGCTTCGGCGACTTGGGTGTTGACAGTCTCATGTCGTTGGTAATAGCGGAAAAGTTCAGGACTGAGCTAGATATCAAGGTCAGTGGCAGTCTGTTCTTAGACTATGAGACGATTGGAGATCTGCGGAAATGGTTGGATGAGTATTACAGCTAGCTAGGCTGAAGTTCCTCTTAAACGAGATTCTAACGAAATCTTGAGTCATGGGAAATCGGGATGATTATATCGTTCGCGTCACTCACATTCCAAGTTACCAGTCAAAGAGCCACTTCCTGTTATAATGGCTAGATTATTTTTTTTTGAACTAATTGCCCTTGTACAAAGATATTTCCGCTTGTTGTTTTATCCATATTTGTTGAGAGGTACACTTGAGATTGGCAACACAGTCCTAAGATTGAGGGTTTTCTTCAATTAAACCTAGTATACCTCAGTATGACAGGCGAAGACAGGGCAGCTACAATAAGATCATCTTTATCTACATCGCTGTAGACAGCAACATAATATTATTCTATACTAGTTACGTGGGAGACGCGTCAAAGCGCACCAAGTCTGCTGCCATGATTGTATTATTGTGCTAAGTACGACTGCCATCAAGACTGTAGTATTTGGAACTTCAGATACCACTGCGCTAAAAAGACTCAATTTATTTATCCAGTGTAGTAGTAGTAGTAGTAGTAGTAGTAGTAGTAGTAGTACACCTCACATGTTTACTTCCAATCTAATCAGTTGCATTACTACTCGTGAAAAATCTTCTCAACATCAAACTCTCCCCATCGAATATCCGGCTCCAACCCTGCAAACTTCCACACGCCATCGACTTTCTGGTACTTTATAGTTGCCTTACCATGCGCATGACCCTTGGCCAGAACCTCAGTTAGCGTATCGTCACTATACTTTTGGTGCGCTACACGCATTTGGTGATAGCCTATAATTGCGTCCTCACTCCTCTGCACCCATTGCGAAGCGCCGATGAAATGCTGCGTCTTGATTCGTGCGTTGCCAAGGAACTTTGGGCTCGAAGCGAGCGCTACAAAGTCGTCTGCAGGCATTGATTTCCATTCTTGGCCCATGACGGAGCTGTAGTCAATCTATCTGAATGTGAGGCTAGGTACTGGAAACATCAACAGGAATATGATACGAACGTACGTGCAGTGTTGGGGCGACACACTTGGCGAGACGGCCCCAGTCCTTGCTATCATAACTTTCAGCCCATTCGAATAGCACGAATTGGCAGCCCACGATGTCTGATGTATTCAGTTCGTAAGTGTTTGTGTGCTATAGATCATAGGTTCGTAAAGTTGGGACCAATCGTACCTTCATGTCCGGGCGGCTTGTAAGCTGTGGTTTGGGCCATGACGATACAAAAATTTGAACTGTTGCAGGGAATACTATCACAGCACGAACAATGATAGTGATGTATGAAATTTATTGTTTTTAGCTCTGGCTACAGCACAATCCACAATACTCCGTGGTCCGTCACGGGCCCCCATAGCAATGCCCCGAGTGCTAGCCCTAAGTTCTAAGATCCCGAAACAGCTTGCGGTGTCGGGAGTCGGTCGATTCTGTGATTTTTGAACACGGAACGAAATATATATGATATAACTACTGCTTTCGTTGGCTCATTCACCTGCAGGACGCTGTCCAAGTATCAACGCCTCGCCTAATCCAACTTCAACAGTGCACCAAACTCGCATCACAACATGACAGGGCCTTACATCCCCTACCGCCTTGACGGCAAAGTCGCGCTCGTCACAGGCTCTGGCCGTGGCATTGGCGCTGCAATCGCCGTCCAACTAGGTAGTCTCGGTGCTAAAGTCGTCGTCAACTACGCCAACGCCGCCGAGCATGCGGAAAAAGTCGTCGCCAAGATCAAAAGCCTTAACTCCGAGGCCATCGCCCTCAAGGCTGACGTGCGTGACGTCTCCCAAATAGCCAAGCTCTTCGACGACGCTGTTGCACACTTTGGCCATCTCGACATCGCGGTCAGCAACTCCGGTGTCGTCAGTTTCGGGCACCTTAAAGACGTGACAGAGGAAGAATTCGATCGCGTCTTCAGTCTCAACACGCGCGGTCAATTCTTTGTTGCCCGTGAGGCGTACCGTGTGTTGCAAGAAGGTGGGCGCATTATTCTCACTTCGTCCAATACGTCCAAGGATTTTAGTGTGCCCAAGCACTCGCTCTACTCCGCTTCCAAGGGCGCCATAGACACGTTTGTGCGCATTTTGTCCAAGGATTGCGGTGACAAGAAGATTACTGTCAATGGTGTTGCGCCCGGTGGCACTGTGACGGACATGTTCCATGCCGTGTCGCATCATTACATCCCTGGTGGAGAGAAGTTTTCGGCCGAGGAACGTCAGCAAATGGCTGCTCATGCCTCACCACTGCATCGAAATGGCTTCCCCGAGGATATTGCTCGGGTTGTTGGGTTTCTGGCTAGTAAGGAAGGGGAGTGGATTAATGGAAAGGTCATTACTCTGGACGGTGGCGCGGCGTGATGATTATCATTTCATATAGTACCTGCAATTCTAGTTTCATATAGAACGCAACACTAAACAACTATTAACTACGAAAAGGACAAATAGTTTTAAAGGTCTTATCGGTAAACATCTAGGGCAACTAAAATCTTTTCCACGGCTGGATCAGTCAGAGACAATTGACTGGTCCTAAATTCCCAGGTAAACTGAATAGACGGGCGCCATATTTATAGAAGATTCGAGATTCGAAAATAGGCACTCAACACAGCACAGTAACTTTACAACCATACCCTCAGCCCGGCCCCGTGTTCAGAGGTAGATAAGAGTGCAAAAACGGAAAATAATGTCTCAACAGCCCCATGGCGATACACATAGGCGTGCCAGTCGGAAACTTCGCTGCTCCATTCGTATTAACCACGCTCACGTTCCTCATATCATAAATCCCATTCTCGTCGTCCGCTGCCTCGATCATTGCAGCTGCTAGGTCCAGGTAGGACACAGGGCTTTCCTCGTCGGTCAAACTGAGCGCATGGCCTCTCTGTATATCCACTGACAGCGCCCCCGGCTTGATGAAAATGGTAGTCAGCCAGTCTTCTTCTGCGCGAAGTAGTTTTTCAGTTTCGATCAGGTCGTTATAGACGTGTGACGCTGAACGGAGGAGGATTAGGCGCAGCAGGTACGGGACGTGACGGGAGAAATGGTCGTCAATAGTAGCTGACGAGAGCAGAACGAGCCTAGGGGCTTGTGCGGTATTCTCATCTCGCTTGGTATTCCGAAGCGACTTGATCACAGCCGTAGCCGTATCTTGTGCTACATGATATCCCGGGATATTGTCGTTGGTTGAAACAACCAAAAACACTGTGTGGCAGCCGTGCAAGCACGAGTTCATAAGCTCAATGTTCTCAATGCTTCCTTCAAATACTTTCACTTTGCCGCCTTCTTTGATGTCCGGCAGCAACCGCAGAAGTTTCGTGCGATTACGACAGTATGCATGGATGCGTGCGTCGGGCTTGCTGTCCAGGATATTCTGAATGAGAGCCCTGCCACAATTTCCCGTGGAGCCCAGAACAGCGTAAGTCTTCGAGGAAGTCATATCTGTATTGTGTTGTCAGGTACTGCTACACATAGATATTGAAAGGTGACAAGCATTTCCGGCTATCTTAAATATAAAAGCGAATTACACCGGTGGCTAGATATTGCTAGTCCCGATTAGATCGGGAGACATTTATCCCGTACGTAAGGACGTATTAAAAAAAAAAAAAAAGAAAAAAAAAAAAACGGATAATTGTGCTAACTGTTTTGATTGGATTTAGGCTTTGGGCTTCGGGGTTGATAATTGTTAACTGTCACTTTCACCCGGTCTAGTATGCATTTGATTCAACCAGCATTGCAGACGAACTGCTTATAGGATGTAGGACATAGATTTATAGGTATAACTTGAACTACCTGCTAATGGAACGCTCCCGATCCCGCCAGATACTTCTGGAATTTAGGGAAGAAGCGCTGGTAAAATGCCGAGTCTACCATCTCCTCTAACTTCTTCACCTTCAGCCCATCTTCAGTCAGCGTCATGAAAATGGAAAATTCATTCGTCCATTTCTCCTCCGGAACAGGCGTGTCTGCAGATGATGTTGCATACACAGCGGCCGTGCCGTTGTCCGCATCATGCACAATGTGTTTGATGTCGACCTAGCTACTAATTAAATTCGATTTTATTTTATAGAAATAGATCGAGGCCTTACCTTCCAGTTGGTCAAGTTACTAACAAGCGCGGGATAGAGCAGCTCAACATGTTCTCGTTGTCTGACCGGCTGCTGTAGCGAAAAAGGAAGCAGCTGCTGCTCAAAGTCGTCGGACCAGAGATCCATTGTGTCTTGTGCTTTGCTGTTTCCCCATGCTTCTAGAAACTTGTCGATCGTCTCTTTTTGGATCTGTGCAGGAGCAGGCATGTTGATAAGCTGCAGTGGTGAAGCTGATTGAATGGTATCGGAAAATCCTAGTTGAGATAAATAAATACAGGTTGGAGAGGGTCAGTCAGGAAATATGTCGGGATATGTTGCTGTGCCTAACATTTCGGGCCATACGGGCTCAGAGACGTTTTATCGGAATCGTCCTATGAGATAAACTTATTTACAAAACTTATATAGCATGCTATGAGCATAAGAGCCTGCTTGTGGCTGGCGGAGGTACCTTACGATACCCATCTTAGGGCACTTTCGCCGTAACCCTAGACATACCTCCTAACCTAATCTACTGTGTTAGATTCACGGAAGAGATTGCTACACACGGGCATTAAGAATATTGCTGATCCTTTTGTTTTTTTTTTTTTTTTTTTTTTTTTTTTTTTGTAATAGTTAACGGATTCGACCGATGCAACTGTAATAGCTTTACCCGTTGCTTAAACTAATGGCCCGAGCAGTGTAGCCCGATAGCCGCAATGTCCCGACGCATCGTAAAACTCGTGTACTGCTCTTGATACACTGGACTATTCTCCTATCCGAGGGCTGCCATTATGGGCTACACAGGCTTTCGTAGTATGGAACGGGCAATAGTAAGTGTCCCCATACTGTTGTCCGAGATTTTAACAAAGGGTGACTCTGGACTTTTGTAGTGACAAACAGCCATACTATGTAGCTTTTTGTCTTCCATTTCTGTTTGCGTCTCTTTCTTATATATGGCCACCATAGTAACACCACACCAGTCCGTCATGGAGACGCCTGGCCAGATCTTTGCCCAGGACGACAAATTCTGGGACAACTACTCAAGAGGCCGACCTCAAGTCCCAGACTCCTTCTGGGATCGTGTTTTTGACTACCACCAGATCAAAGGCGGCGTTTTCGGCACCGTCCACGATGTTGGCGCTGGCAACGGGCCCTACGCCCAGCGACTACGCTCTCGCTTCGCCAACGTCATAGTATCGGACATTGTGGCCGAGAATGTTACTCTAGCGCGCGACCGACTCAAGGGCCAGGAGGGATTCAGCTTCCGCACCGCTGCGCTGGAGGAAGCCGACGACATCCCAGAAGGCAGCGTGGACATGATTTTCGCCACAAATGTAATGCATTTTGCAGAGCCACAGAGAGAGGCTATGGCAATCATTGCGCGCCAGCTGCGTTCCGGTGGCACATTTGCGGCATCACTCTTTGGTCCAGCACGTTTTTATGATGCAAGGCTGCAGAATCTGTGGGAACGACTTAGTCATCAAGGTGGTAGGGAGTTGCTCAAAGTGTCTGATAATCCAGACCAGATCATCAAGGTCATGGCGCGCACACAAGATCTCTACAATGTCGCCCCCCTTGATCGAGCGCTCTTTGGCGACAACATCCGGATACATGTAAACATGGAGCACGGAGGCATTCAAGGCATGTTGCCCCCGGAATTTGCACACAAAAACACTGAACCGGACTACAGCGTGGGTGACAATGAGATAAATGAACATATGAATGGATGGGCATTCAAGACGGACTTGGCAGGTGTCAAAGAACACTTTGGATCATTCCCGTTTATTTCACGGTTTCCTGGCGCTTTCACGGACCTGTACAAGGAGTTGGACGAGCTGCTCGCTGACGGGAAGACTGTTGAAGGCTATTTCCCCGTCACGATAATTTTGGCGACAAGAAAGTAGACAGCTGTTTCGTTGTTTATCACACACTGCTTGTTGTCTTTTTAAGTATCAATCTACTTATTGAGCAGCATATCATAATTAGTCATTTCTCTAACCGTGTTAACTACTTATGTAAGTTAGCCCCCGTGGTGGCGTTGACATTCTGGTTTCTATACAAAACTGTGCCACTCACATAATTGAAAAGAGTCATGTAAGTAAACCATATGTTCCGATGTAGTTATTTGGCCCTGATAGCGAGTCTTGCATGATCAGAGATACGGAGGATGGTCAAACTAGGTAACGCTACGAGTGGTAGAAGTTACATTGTAAAAGTTCTCCATTGGTCGTCTCAACACACTTAGAATAGGAATTCAACTGCACGTGCATACTTGAGAGACAATTCTGTGTTGTTGAGAATTTCTGCGCCAAATTCAACAGCATCCGTTGTATTCCATATAGGTGATCTGGGCTTCTGTAAGGGCGTTATAGCTAAACCTCTCTCGTTACGGCCAGCAAGGATTGTACTTGTAAGGTCAAAGACAGTACGTGACAGCTTACGTTCAATATGTACCTCACTACGGGGGGAACGTATCCCTTCGAATACGCTTGTTCCAATTCGGTTTATTGTCCTCCAAGCTACCAATGACATTTGATATTAATATATCCGTAATTTATTCCAATGGTAATTACATTAGCTATGTAATCTGGGCCAACACCATGACATATTATATCCAGTCTCGTCTGATCTAGTGTACACTGGGTCTGAGTAACAATTGCCAGACGCTTTTCCAAGGATCTCTATATTCACACTCAAATCGAGTCATTATCAAGTTTAAGCAGTTTCCTCCTTCACATCTTCAGTCTTCTCTTTAACAGGCTCTTCAACGGGAGGCATCTTCTTGAAAGGAACCACAAGGGCCAATAAAGCAGTGAATGCTGCACCGGCTAGGGACCAGGCGAAGACGTCTTTTACTCCTACCATGTAAGATGCAAGAATAGCAGTTAGCTCTTGGCCGTGGAAAACTTCACGAAGCTCCGTTGCGCCTGTGGCCAGTACCAAGCTTGTATCAATATTGGGCGCAGTGACGGCAAGTGATTCGAGGAGACGGTTGTCGAAAACAGATTCAGCTCCTGTGACAAAGTATCCACCGCTAAGGGAATTCATCACTGGGCATCTGGGTCAGTGACAACAATTCTTGCTGTATATAAGAAGACATGTGCCTTTTCTTCGGTCGTTAGGGGGGAAGGGGACAGGAGATATACTTACTAACGATGATACTTGTGACCGAAGCGACGTCTTCCGCGCTAGTGAAGCTTTGGAGCACCATCAGTGGAACCTGGCAGCCAAGGCCAATGCCGAAGCCAAAAATAACCTGCGGACCAAGATACCGAGACTTGGAAGAGTTGATATCAACAGTGTAAAGCAAGGCCGCGCCAACTGTAGCTAGTAATCCGCCCACAAACATGAAGGGTTGGAAGATGCGCGTTTTTCCGATAATACCGCCACTCATCATTGAACCCACCGCAAATAAAGCTATAAATGGGAGGGTGTTGACTCCGCTAGCGATAGCTGACTGACCGTGGACAGATTGGAAGAAGATGGGGAGATAAAACAGAACCTGGAATTCTGCACAGTTGACCCTGGAAATCCACAGAGTTAGCACTCATTTGAAGACGAAGACAAAATAATACTGTATTTATAAACTTACATCAAGGCGTACAAGGTGTTGGTCCACTGCAGGCGGGTTTTCAGTAATCTCAATGGTATCATGGCCCGTTCACCTTGGAAGTACTCAACAACAAAAAATCCAATTGTCAGGACAATCCACATGACTAATGTAGCGATGACACTGCCGTTACTCCAGGGCTTCGTCAGGCCACCCCATTGCAAGGAAAGGGTGAAGCAAACGAGCGAAGCGAATATAAATGCAAACCCCGGGAGATCGAGCTGTAGAATAACTTCTTTCCATGAGACCTTTGGGTAATGGACGTGCTTTGGCACGTGGAAGAAGAGGAGCACAGCAACCAGCACAGGGCCTCCGACTGGCAAGTTGATCCAGAAACACCATCGCCATGTAACATGGGAGGTGAAGGCGCCGCCAATAAGGGGGCCGACAATGGTTGAGATCATATAAACAGTTGCCCAAAGACCAATTAACATTGGCTGTTTCGCCGGATGCGCCACATAGTTGATCATAAGGACAGAACCGCCTATGCTACCGGAACATCCCAATCCCTGAAGGGCACGGGCGATAATAAAGGGGATACTGCTCTTTGCGGTTGCCGCCACAATGCTTCCAACCAGGAAAATAACGATGGAGACAAGGTATACGTATCGGGCTGAGATGTACTTGTACAGTTTGCCCCATACAGGCGAGGTAGTGCTGAGGGTGAGGAAAATGGTGCCTCCATACCATCCGACATAGTTCAATTGTTGAAAGTCATCCGTGATGGCAGGGATTGCTGTAGCAACGATACCCTACGAACCAAGAGTATGTGTTAGGAATTTGAATTGATTTTCTCAGGTTCTTTCAGAAATAAAAAAAAGGAAAAGTAATACTGACGACGTCCAATGCGGCGAGCAGAGTGTTCAAATAGAGAGTGCCCATAATTGCCCACAGTCTCCAACCCTCCAGGTAAAAAAACTCGGTTTTCCCATCATGGACAACTGCAACAGTATCGTTCTTTCCGGTAGCTTGATTGTCGCTGTTACTGGTTGAAGCAGTCGAAAGATGGCCCGTATCGTCTTCCGCCTTGGGCGTTGTAGTCTCGGTCTGGGTCGACATTATTGTCTTTGCTTGTTCTTGAGCGATGAGGGGTGTCGAACGCTCTGAAAATAAGAATTGGGAGTTTTTCAATGAGCAAATTTCACTAAGCATATATATCTATATGTATTCAGCTGAAAGGAGAGGAGGACGGGCTATTCTATTGGCTCTTCAATTGTTACCTGAAGGATTAGTTAGGGTTGGAGCATTCAGCCTGTCATATTTATCCCTGGTCCCGCGGGTGCCCGCGGCCGAGTCCACCCCGACTATCACTGAGCAAATCAAGTCGAATAAACGTTTTCCAAGCTTCATGTTCGCCGCGGAAAGTCCGTTGCACCATGCACAGAACAATTTCACGCCCAGAAACTGATCTATTAGTAATTCATTTTAAGTGGTTGGGATTTATTAGGAGGAAAAAGAAAGAGAAACAAGCCATGGATGTTTTTTACTTGCAAGTTTGGACGGTGAAACGCGGACGGATTCTCCGCGGCTTAGGGCACGGTAAACGTTATATATACGATGATATTGTTTTCCAGCCTTTGTTGAATCACAAATATCGGACTATACTTCTAACCCTAATCAATGTATATTTTTTCTCTTATCTGCCTCTTTACGAATATTCTCTATTACGCACTAGCACAACAAAGCTGCGCTGGATCGTCTCTTCCTAGCCTTACAGACCCAGATTTAACTCCAAGTCATAACGTTTCATTTTACGGACCGGATGATTTCATGCTCCATACGGCGCGCAAGATGACCAACTTCAACATTGAAATCGTCAGTGACCCAGTGTGCCCCTGGTGCTACATCGGCAAGAAGAAGCTCGACAAAGCCATCGAGATCCACCAGTCTACACACCCATACGACACCTTTACTAGAACATGGAAGCCCTTCTATGTCAAACCTCACTCTCCCGAAAAAGGTGAGTAAGCCACATCTGCTTAGTGATATATGGGCTGATGAGTGGGTGCACTTTTCTAGGAGTACCCGTACTTCCAAACTTGAGGAAACAGTACGGAACAATGATGGCCAACATGATGACCGAGAGAGTGAGATCAATTGGCGCCGACGCAGGGATTAACTTCAAATTCGAGGGCAAGACGGGCAGAACACGCGACGCCCACCGGCTAATCCAGCTAGGGAAAACGAAATCTCCAGAGATGCAAACTCGAGTTGTGGAAGAGCTCTTCGCGTCATATTGGGAAGGAGAGGCAGATATCACCAGCCACGAGGATCTCACCAAGGCTGGTGTAAAAGCAGGGCTTGATGAGGCGGAAGTGAAGGAATGGTTAGCAAATGATAGGGGAGGAAAGGAGGTAGATGCCGAGGCCGGCATGGCGCGAGTTAATGGAGTACCTAATTACAGGGTGGGAAAGTACACAGTCAGTGGTGCTCAAGATCCGGGAGCCTTTCTAAAGATATTTCATAAGATTAAGGCTATCGAGAATGGGGAGCCTGAAGGATGGGGTTCATGTGTAGGCCAGTGATTAGGACTTCAATTCTGCGCCAAGGTACATATCAACTAAGATTTCCATTTAAAACCTAAATCCTCAAGCATGGAAATATTGGGCTTTATCGGAACTATGAACAATAGAGGTAAATGCTACTTCAAACAGAGGAATTAGCGGCAATCCGTGCTCGAGACCATTCGACTTCCTCAAATATTAACATAGCATCTTTGACCTGCACTTCCTGGTCGTAATCCCACATCCAGTTCTGACGACCATCCATCCGCTCGCTCATGTCTGCAGCTTTCATTGAAACACCAGGCTCAGCACCAGTTAGGATTCGGCCGGTCTCCGAGCTAGTTGTTTGAACCTTTTGGCTTCGATGACGGCGTACTGTGTCAAAAGCCTGGAAAATAAGCTGTGTAGTCTCGACAGTGTTAAGAGGGTGTACTTTTTCTCTTGCAGGATCGAAATATTTCCCGAGAAGCCTTTCCATAACGAGCGAATCCTCGATGGTCTGGCCTGCACCAGCACCTTGATATGGTGTGGAAGCATGAGCTGCATCTCCCATGATTGCTACTCTCCCCTTGTAGTAGGTTGGCGCCGGGGGCATTTCCCAGATAGACCAGCCCAGAGTTGTGCCATCATCAGGTACCAGCTCGACCTGTTTCCTCACATAATCATCCCAATCTGTGAAACGTTCCTGCAGACCACTGAGATCTGGTTTCACCATCCACTGGTCAGGTTGAACGGGGCTATTTTTGAAGGTTGTGACGCCAATATAATAAAGAGTCCCGTTGGCCACAGGAAAGCCGTACACCATGGCGTCTTTGCCGCATCTAATCACAAACTTTTGTTCCGCTGCGTCGAAATCACCCAATTTGGCTTTTGCCCTTTCGATCGGAATCACAACCCGATAAATGATAGCACCAGTAAAGAACGCTTTTGCCGCTGGGTGCTCAGGGCCAAGAATATGCTGGCGAACTACAGAATGAATTCCGTCGGTACCAATGACCAGGTCAGCCTCCGCTGTAGTTCCGTCCTTAAAATGTAGAACAATTGGCTCATTGTCACTACTTTCGGTGATTCTGGCCACCCTCTTGCCAAAATGCGCACGGCTGGGTTCAATAAGCTTAGCTAGCTCATCAAGGAAATGGGCTCGATGAATAGTAGAGCCTTTGGTCTCGTGTTTCCATTGCATAACTGGTTCACTAATATCCGGGGCCTGACCTTTAGTCATCGTTATCCATGGAAAGAGGCCATTTTCGTCAGGCGGGTCTACGCCAAAAGCTGCGCGTCGCTGGAATCCTTCAAATATACGGGGGTCAATCAATTGCATTGCGCGCTGAGAATTAGGGCTGAGAACAGCGCCAGCGCCAAGCTCGGAAAATTTGGCGGTAGACTCATAGACATGCGAGTTGATATGAGGATACTTTTGAAGGCCAACTTGAAGGGCGAGGCCGGAGAAACCACCGCCTACAATTGCGATGTTTATGGGCTTGGACGGTGCTCCGCCCAATATGGGTATGGCTGTAGGCTTCGATGGGTCGGACATGTTTTCTGTGAGTTGAGAGCAACTATGTAAGTCGAAGTGAGGTATTCTTGGTGTTATGGCTATCAAATTAAGATGTAAGGCGCGAGGAGATATGTGGACATAATTACAGTTCGGGAAAGCTCATTGCATCACACGTCTTCTAACTATATCCTCCAGCAAACCCCCGAGCACTATCCGCGTATTTCAAAAGACGTCAGACATGCGGCTTGTTTCTTTGGCCCGAATAGTAAATCACATTGGATGTGGACTATTCGGGATCATTGGACACCACAAGTCTTGAGGGAACATGAGGAAGAAAATGATATTGCTGATGCGTATCTTGAAGTTTTCGATATTTTGTGCATTAAACCGAAATTTACGTTGAGTCCGGTGCGTGCTGACACGGGTCAAACGATGATCGGCCATCGGGACTTTTCATTCGGTCTATTCTTATATACCAAATGCCGGAAGATAGGTACATACTTTGGTCAATGTGCTTAGAGAAACATTGGAAATCAGCATTGTAGACTACCTAGGTACCTTGCTTGCTACTATATATAATCACCTAGTCACGCTCTTATGTCAATTCCGCGTTTCATCTTCAATTTACTGACCTCTTCCTAAAAGTCTGTTGAATATTGAGATTAACCCTGAATCATACAACATGTCCGTTCCTACTCAGGCCTCTGTCCTCGTTGTGGGTGGTGGCCCAGCTGGGTCGTACGCTGCGTCTCTCCTAGCCCGAGAAGGTGTTGATGTTGTGCTTCTTGAAGCCGACAAGTTTCCTAGGTACTTTGATTCAGCGCTCTTTGAGCCATGGAACCCGAGTGAGCCTAACTTATAAAAAGATACCATGTTGGAGAGAGCATGCTTGCATCTATGCGTTTCTTCCTGAGATTCATCGACCTAGAGAAGACATTCGATGAACACGGGTTTGAGAAGAAGGTGAGTAATACTGCTACTTCTACATATGTATATGTACTCAATATACGACTTCTAGTACGGAGCTACATTCAAAATTACCACCAAAAAGGAAGCCTGTAAGCATACTTTTCATTGAAAGAGGGGAGCCGACCACTAACGACGCCTTAGATACCGACTTCGCCGCTTCCCTGGGCAAAGGAGGCCACTCGTGGAATGTAGTCCGTTCCGAGTCAGACGAGTTATTGTTTAGACATGCCGGGAAGAGTGGTGCCAAAACCTTCGACCAAACCAAAGTAGACTCTATTGAGTTCGAGCCATACCCACATGATGGCTTCATTGCTGAGGATCGCCTGGCCAACCCTGGAAGACCTGTATCTGCAGCTTGGTCTCGCAAGGATGGCACCAGTGGCACCATCAAATTCGACTACCTCATCGATGGTAGCGGCCGTAACGGTATCATTTCCACAAAGTATCTGAAGAACCGTCGATTCAACGAGGGTCTGAAAAATATCGCCATATGGAGTTACTGGAAGGGTGCCAAGCGCTACAAGCAGGGTCAGGACAATGAAAACTCTCCATTTTTCGAGGCTCTGAACGGTGAGATACAAAAATCAAACTCCCACTAGAGCCATTACTAAGAATTATTCAGATGGCAGTGGTTGGGTGTGGGCCATACCTCTCCACAACGGCACACTGTCAGTCGGCGTAGCGGCACGCCAGGATTTCTTTTTCGCGAGGAAGAAGGCCTCCTCACTTGAAGGGAAAGAGTTTTATGCCGACTACCTTAACCTTGTGCCGGGTATCAAGTCTTTGTTGGCAGATGCCGAGATTGTGGCGGACCTTAAGCAAGCGTCTGACTGGTCATACAGCGCCTCTGCCTATGCTGGTCCTCATTTCCGTGTGATTGGCGATGCCGGCTGCTTCGTTGATCCATATTTCTCCTCTGGTGTTCATCTGGCTCTTACATCTGGACTTTCCGCAGCTGTTTCTGTCCAAGCTTCTCGACGCGGTCAAGCTGATGAGCGTAGTGCTGCCAAGTGGCACACTACTAAGGTCTCCGAGGGATATACTCGTTTCTTGTTGTTGGTCATGACAGTCTTGCGGCAGTTGAGAATGAAGGAAGCACATCTTATCACTACAGAAGAGGAGGAAGGATTTGACATGGCCTTCAAGAAGATTCAACCCGTGATTCAAGGTGTCGCTGATACTGAAACAAATGACGCGCGAGTTCAGAAGAATGCGGCTGAGGCCGTTGACTTCTCGCTCGAGTCTTTCGAAGTCACACCTGAGATGCAGCGTGCTGTCATCGACAAGATTGAGAAAGCCCAGGCAGCACCTGAGACACTCGAAAAGCTTACGCCCGAAGAGGTACACATTTTAAGTGGTATCGTGACCAGAACTTTTGAGCGAGAGAAAGATGAGCTGAACTTGACTAGCTTCACTGGGGATGTAATTGAGGGACTCTCAGCGAACCTGGTGCGTGGTGACTTGGGGCTTATCAGAAGGGAGGCGAAGTCGGCTACACCTGAAAGTACTACCACCATGGGTGTGCCAGCTGTTGAAAATGTCAAGACAATGGCGTAAAAGTGACCCCCATTTTAAGATAATGATTTTTCTTTTCTTTTCAGCCATAACGCCTAGTACTCAAAGAGATTAAGAGAATGATATATCTATATAAATCTCTTTTCATTTGCAAATAACAAGACAGAAAGAGCCACTTTTCATGAAGAGCTCGTTATTCAATGAAACTGCTTAACAAACTTCACCCCTGGACTTGAATCCCGTACCAAATTAGTTATAACACTAGAATTTCCTGACCTGACAACATCTCGAAACAAAAAAAATAAGGATGAGTTACAGTATTTCAAAATATGGAAGTATGATAGCCTGACATTCACATATAGACTTCGTAAACTCTTATTCACTTAGGTTCCATCTAGTGAGAAGCAGCTCATTGGTCCTTTAGTATTACTAGAGCCTATGAAATAATTGCATAGAAAGCGATAGGAGTTGCATAAACGACCGCCTTGTTCCTTGTAGCATCATGCACAATCTTGTAGATATCTAGCTACGCAGAAAATGAGTACCTCAACATAGCAGGCGACCTATTGTTCCTCTAATTTAATATACTTATAAGTTTCTTACCTTTCTAAGGTATTATGGTTGCAAAACGTTCTATATGAATGGGTTCAAGAACTAGGTTCTATTAAATACAGCAGTCGAACTGTGAAACATATACTGAACTGAAATCATAGCTATCTTTTCTAGGATGATGGAATATGATATCGAGAAGTTCAAACTAGTTGTTTGGGCGCAATTGTCTGTCAGATCTGCTGCAGCATATTGATGATCTCTGAAGACAATAAGGAAAGACACCTGCGCATATCTCTCTCTAGCTGAGCAAACCTTACGGCTGAAAAAGGCTCTGCTTTTGTCAAATGATCTGAAAGGGTTGGATTCTGACTCTCCCATCTAGAATTTTTGATGATCGAAATTCGTTCGTTACTATTGCCTCCTGGTCCATGCCCATGGGCTTGGAGTTTCAGCGACAGATCATTAATCAACCGCTGGACTCGATGTAGCTCATTGAGAATCAACTGGGCAGCCTTTCTCCTGGATCCCTCATCCTCAGGCTCAAAGCTGTTAAGTCGTCTTTTGTGCTCTTTCGTAAAACTTTCAAGCCCATCACCATCTTCATTCGGGTGTTTAAATGCTGCGGCTGCATATCGTCCGACAATTCTGAAAACTATCATCGATAGCAGCATCAATATATAGCCATCCTCACCACACGAACATTGTAACATGGCGGTAAGCGCTTGGATAACCTGCTTATTCTCTAAGACAACATTCTGGGTCGACGGCACCCCATTGGCTATGCTGGGGCCTACATGGGACATTTTCATAGTATATTCTCTGTTATTTGATTGAGGCGAGGCTGAAATTTTATCCGATGAAATCTTGCTTAAAATTTCAAGAGCTAAGATTAGACATAAGCAAGGCTCTGGAGCACCGTTCACGTTTGTATCACTCCTGAATATCGACAAGCGGCGTGGAGTAGAAGGTGAACCGGATGTATTCAAAGGCTCGGCCGCGGTTGCTTCTGAAAGAGGGAGAGCATTCGTGTCATCGGGAATGAGAAGTTTGGCAATATCATTGCATCCTTGGGCATGGAGCTGATGGTCTAACGCCTGCAGCTCACAGAAATCTACAGGCGAGTTTAACAATTCGTCGAATTCGTTGCTTGTTCCCATGTGCTCTGAGGAGCAATTTTCGAGAGACATCCAAAAGCTAGACATCATGTCCGAATTGATTGGCTCCACACCAGAGACGTTGTCCGATCTGGGAGACATCAGGCCGAGGTTTAAAGAATCAAAAATGTTACTGTTCCCAGATAACGCGGAATCTGCAGTAATTGGACTCGTCATACCGAGCCATTGATTTTGAGTAGCGGAAGAACCCTCTCTTGCGGTTTCCATTGTCTCGCCATTGCTATCGTTTTTGGTGCTGACGTGGGTGCTATTATCCCGCTTGCGCCCTGGACGTTTCGTCATAATATACTCGCACGGAATTTTGCGTTTGATGCATCGTGAACATGTTGGCTTTTGCTTGTGACACTTGACTTTGGACAATGCACAGGCCTGGCAGCTATCCCGGAGCTTGGAAGTTGTTGTTGAGCTCGACCTCCCGCCACCATGTGAGAATGAGGCACTAGAGACTTCGGCATCGGATTGTGTGATAGTTGAAGTCATGGCAAAATAAAATGATTGATTGAAATCTTGGAATGAGGAATGAAGAATGAAGATTGAAGTACTTTTCACGAAATGAAGTCAGTCATGAAACGACGCTTAGGCTTATGATATACCGACGTACCTATCACTTCGGACGCTTCAACTGGAGCTTTCAACTTGTACAGGGAACAGTATCCGATATATCTTTGAACGATTCTCGATGCCAGGGTTCTGGTTTTATGCAAAATAGAGGTATTGCTGCAGTTGCTGCAATCGATAGCTTGATCAAATTGTAAACCTATAACATTGGACTTGCTGTGGCTATCAAAGGCCTCGCCCCTCATTTCTGAAGCGCTGAGGCAAAGCTTTACCAATACATTCTTAATTGACCGTGATTATGGCCCCCAAAAATTTCATGAAATACGCGACGCTATGCTCCGAAATCAATCGATTGCATCATCCCGTTAAAAGCCCGAAACCTGGACACATTTTTTGGTAGGTAATAGATAAAGAAAATGGTGTTCGAGGGGGAAAATACGAGAATATGATTTATTTATAAAAAATGACGAGGAGCATGTAGGTTTGAAAACGATTCAATGAAGCAACCCCATGCATGCCTCGAGTCCGGAGGAATCGACGGCACTTTAATTTCGGAACTATTTTATCGGTGATACTCGGTGCATTAGCGAATCTTGTCATCGCGATAGGCTAAAATGAGAGTGCCAAATCTATAGTATAACACAAGCGTCAATCTTGTGAAGAAAAGCGTAAGTGTAAGAGCTCTGGCTAATTCCAATTGCTACCACCTTCTCTCGTGAAACTGAAAGCTGAAAATCATGTCTTACACCAACGATATCACCCATGGGAACGGTGTAAACGGTGAGGTAAAATTCTTTGTGGATGGCGACAAAGAAGAATTCGACCCAGAGAATTGGGCCAGTCCCCAGAACCAGCTCCCAAAACGTGGCAAGGAAACGGGAGTGAACGTTCTAATAGTTGGAGCCGGGCTCGCTGGATTGACATGTGCATTGGAGTGCTGGAGAAAGGGTCATAACATTGTGGGAATTTTGGAGAGAAACAAAGGCCCAAATTATGCTGGTGAGCTCTCTTAATCGACCAAATTGGATTAGTTCCTTATTATGTCCCTAGGGGATCTTATATTTATCCAACCATCCGCCGTACACTTCATACGCTACTGGCCCGATATGCGCCGAGATTTGGAGGAAGACAAAGTTGACATCCCTGAATATTACTGGAAGCACAATGGCGAGCTCATCTACGGACCTTCGGCGCCTCACTTTAACGAGGTCGAGGACATAGTCCTCCGTGAAAAGAGTGGCGTTCCACATGTGGGCGCTCTACAAATTCGGAAGAAGTTCTACCGAATGTTACTACGGCAAGTGGCCAGACTAGGCCTCAACGTAGAGTACGGACAACGCGTTGTAAAGTACTTCGAAGATGAACCTGCTGGTCTGGGTGGTGTGGTTACTGAAAGCGGCTCTGTCAGAGTAGCTCACATTGTGGTTGCTGCTGACTCTTCCAAGTCAAAATCTGAGATCCTCATTGCAGGCGAGCACATGCCGTCAGTACCCAGCGGCATGTCCGTCTATCGTGCGTCATATCCAGGAGACCTGGCCAAAAAAGACCCGGTCCTCCAAAAGAGATGGGGGGGCGAGAACTCAGTATCACATGAGCTTTGGTTAGGACCTGGCATGCATATGGGGCTCTTCTTTTCTCCGGAGTTTGTCGCATTTGGGATCACACCCCGCAACAATTTCTTAGTGGACGGAAGTTCTGATGCCACAGAGTCGTGGGATCCGACCATTGATCCTGAAGAAGTTGTCCAAGTGCTCAAGAGGATACCCGACTGGGACGAAGCCATTGTGGCTCTTGTGAAAAATGCACCCAAAGGTTCCGTGATTCACTGGCCCCTGTTATGGCGCAACCTTCGCCGTGAATGGACTTCCAAGGCTGGCCGTGTTGTACAGATTGGCGATTCTGCGCATTCAAATATCCCAAGCTCTGCTAGTGGCGGAACTCTAGCCCTTGAGGATGCTATAACGTTAGCTTCCTGTTTACAACTAGCAACATACGGAAGTGGACCTCGGGCTGCAGGTCTCGGAGCAAAAGTATATAACCTACTTCGTTGGCAACGTGTGAGTTGTAATCAGAAAATGGCCTTCGTCAACTCCCAGGCCACTAATACGAAGACCATGGATTGGGATGCCATTAAAAAGGATCCTAAGAAGGTCCGCCTGCGTTTTTGCAAGTGGTTTTTCCGCCATGATCCTGAAGCCTATGTGTACGAGAAGTATGGGCAGGCTTTTGCACATCTCGTCGATGGTGCTGATTTCCAAAATACCAATATCCCTCCTGGTCATGTATTTGTGCCTTGGACTGTTGAAGAGATTCAAAAGGATATAAGAGAAGGAAAGAGAATAGAAGACTTCCTGGATGGGGACTGGTCATAGGGGATTCGAAAATCTAATCCTGAGACATTTCTTTCTGATATTCATCTATAGCCCTTTGAGAAAGTAGAACTTTTCGATTTGTTAAATAGTTACATACACTGAGGCATTTTTGAAACCCCCGCTCTTCTCTCTTCTTCCAAATTGCGTGCACTACCGTTATCCAAATAAAAAAGGAGATTTTATTGAAAAAAAAAAAAAATGAAAAAGAAAAGTACAGTGATATCAAAGCCAGATAATTTATTTTGCCGAAAGTTCAACATTGATCGCGGCTCAACAACAGAGAATATGTTGTCAACTATATAGGTAGGTTATTTATGAATAAGCCTCTTGCTTGATAGTCAGACCTACAACGAGACCATTATGTGAACGAAGCTGGTTATTAACAACAAGTTTTCCAACGCCATCCCTTATTGTCTCTACCACGCTTAACAGCTCCGTCATTTCAATCTCGCCCTCATTAGCCAGCTGGAACATGTTGAGGTCGCGTGCACGCGCTACAGCCTCAGCTTTGGGATCAGAGAGACTACCTGGCTCGGGAAGGAGGTTTGCAGTGGGAATAAGCAAGATTCCAGCGCTAGCGCGTAGTATGCCCAGATAATCCTGCAGTTCGGTCTTGATCATTTCCATTATCCCTTCCGCCCCACAAGGAGCGTTTATGGAGAGCACGGGCAGGTGAAGAATGTAAACGGCAGCATGTATCACAGGCTGAGGCACTCCAACAGCGCGGTATCTAACGGTGATGCGACTGCTGGTTGAACTAGGTCTAGAAGTGTTGCTGGTGCTGGGGATGGTGATGGAGTTGGTGTTAGGCTCTGACGGATCAAGTTCAGCGAGAACTTCACCATCTTGGGCGGCAAACCCGGCAATCATCTCATTCTGTGGTCGCATAGAGTCTAGACTTAGTATTGATGTTCTCGTATGGTCGATCTGCACAATTAGACGGAGAGTGGGAAACCTCTTGGCGAGTTGTTGTGCCATAGAAGTCGATTGTGCACCAATCTGCCATTTATCTGAAATTTTAGTATAAATTCGAATATATGTATGATTGAGGTTTCTTACCTCAACGATGGATGCGTTACCAAGGTTAGACCATTTTAGTTGTGACAGCATGTCCACGATTTCCTTCTCCTGATGCAATCCCACTGCTTGGTGAAGATACGCCGACCATTGGCGGCCTAGCTTGTGACGCTCCTGAATGGCTACATTAAACGGTCGCATTGTGTTTAATGCCAGGTTATATGCTGTCTCTGTTGGGCTCTTTGGGGATCCAAATCGCTCCGTGGCCATGGGCATATGTAATGCTGCCGGTGCGGCAAACTCGGCCATGAAGACGGCGGCATCAAGCAAAGATTGATTAACCATGAATTGTGCCGAGAGCGGAGTGTGGGATACATGGTTTGCTATGGGTTCTTGGAGAAACCCAGATGTAGCCGTGAGACGAATAATACGGCTTAGCTGGGTTTTCGGAACTCCAGCCAGGTCTGCTAGATCTCTGATAGATATGCTCCCATCAAGTGGGATACATGCCAGAATTTGAAATTCTGCAAGCCATTTGAGACAGGCCACGATCTCAACCTAACGAGCCAAGAAAATTATGGTGTAAGCCATGTCAGGCTCAGCGAGGGCCATCAGACGAAGTGGAAAATGATGATAACTTAGATTGCACACCTGACGAGCAAAATCCTGGAGGAAGTCGACCGGTCCACAAAGTAGCGTTTGCATTTTGGCCATGCTGGCATGAATTGTTGTCTTGGCCTTGTTGAGTTCTTTATACATGTCAGAGTTCGCCCCAGGGCATTTCAAGTCGCGACGATGTCTGACATAGTTCTTAACAGCAGCTGCCAGCTGGTCACTCTGGACTTCAAGTTCCATCAAATCATCCATGCTGGCGCGAAACATAGAGACATCAGTTGAAAAAATTGATTTCTCGCCGGCTATGTTTGAAAATATCAGGAAGAGTCTCGGATATAACCCCCACATTACTAGTAGGTCAGCCCTAGGCACTAGTATTTTTGACGTGTTGCAGAATTCAGACCCCAATATCGACGCCAGGCCCCCGTCTTATTACGTACTTCGCTACCGATTTTACGTGTATGACTATCGCTATATGATACTCAGCGTGGAGCTAAGTGCCGCTTAGGAAGTGGCTACTGCGGCGAATTCCAGTAGGACCTACCAACGTTATCTTGTTTGGCTAGGACAAAGCGGAAAAGGCGGCCTGGGGATTCGCAGTGGCGTCGATTATATTAATAGCTCACAGGGTATAAATTAATAAGTCAATACTCCGTACATATGCACGTGCCTATAACACCGCGAGTTCCTTTTAGCCCGAATCTAGATCAAAAACATGGTACTTTCCCGATCATAAGGATTCGGCCTCGGTGCATAGTTATAGTTATGGATAAGGGACATTGGCTGTTCATTCGTTGTTATCTAGTACCTTGGCATTAGCATACCAAACATGGACTTTCCGTAGGAGTGTTTACAATTTATATGATAACGCTCATCTGTACTAAGTTGCAGAAATCATGGCGCGGCGCAAATAAATCGTCCGCTGGTTGTGTGTAAAATTGTAGAACAATTTCCACACAAGGATTTGAGACTAAGCGAGAGGAAGGAAAAAGAATAAAATAACTGCTTCCTATGCTCCGAATCTTCAATTTTGTATGTTCCCCCATTCAACCTCGTAAGCTTTTTCTACAGTTGGAAGTTTGAAGCATGCGGAGCTACGCGGATACTCCGCGGCGACCCCAAATATTACAGCCCCATGCCATGTGTTTAGTGTTGACACCGCCCCCTTGATTACTAATAGATATTATCCGCACCGCCTTCCTAATGTGGCTTTCCGAAGTTTCGGAGACCAATGATACTGTATAGATTTTGATTTTTCGGGCAGAATAAGCGGCGGTGTAGTTGGCGCGAAATAAGAAATAAGGGTGACACCACTTTCGACCACCCTCTGTAGCATTGGATGGGCCGGCAGATCTCCAACAATTCGATAGACTTGAGTCTTTAGTAGTTAGGGAGACTACGAAGCAATGACACAGTAGTCGCAAACCTAACTGCAATTGGAAGGCGGTCGAGTAATTATGCCTGAGATGTTAGAATTTAGCTCATCTTGGCAGAGGCTAGTACTATTCAGGGAAAACGTAAAGTTCAAGCAGGCTGGGGACTCGGCCGCGGTGGGGCGCACTGATCCCATGTGGTTCTGTACGTTATAGTTAAATCAAACCTTTGCATTCAATAACCAACAATTTAGTTGGTATATTATGAACACGACCACAGTACATGTCCGCGTCGATTATCCCTAAATAACCCTAATCAACCAACTGTTTACACGTTGCCAGACGCTAATGCGAACAATACTATAGCGAAGAGGATAACATCGTAATTATTAATGCATACAGAATTCTTCTTAGCATGCCAAGTTTGCCAACTGTGCCTCCAACTTTCTGATTGGCCATGGGTTCCTAGCTTAGTGAGCAGGGATAACTACAAAAAGGTCAGCGTTTCACATATTGGATTGTGCTGACAATGCATACTACTAACTATATAGTGCGGGCTCGCGCAGAGCTAAGTTGTGGGGGCCAATTAATTCTTATTTACCAGCAGAATAAAATTGTCTGTTGCTCTTCAACAGCGTAAGCATAACTGAAGCACAAACACAAACACAAACACAAAAAGCACGGTACACCTGAAGAGACCATTGTCACAAGATGACACTGAGCAACTATGGCTGTACTAAGCTACGAGATAGCTGCCATTCGTGTGCCACGTCTAAAATTAAATGCCCCAAGGAGAAGCCGTCATGTTCCAAGTGCACAGCGCGAGGCATCAAGTGTCAATACTACTTCGCCAAACGCCCCGGGCGTAGACGCGAGAACAGCGCCGGTCACCCGAGCAGCCCTACAAGCAATGTCATCAACAACGACGACACTATTCAGCAGCCTAACTCCATCTCCATATCCAGCTCAAGATACAACACGGACACGGAGACGCAGAGCAACCGCTCGAGGGATGGAGATACAATCGAGATGTTGGGGCTTTTTTCCGCGATAAATTGCACAGCTTCCCCCACCAGCAGTTTACCAAACATTCTTAATACGCCTTCAAACTCCACGATTTCAATTTCTTCCATGTCGGATAATTTTATTGGATCGTACTCAGCAGATGTCTTTTCCGTGTTTGGGGACTCTGAAATGTATCCACAACTGGCGGATTTTGATTCTAACGTCAACAACATGGATTTTGTTATGAAAGACCCCTGCTTTGAACATACTGTCGTGGACAACGATAGCATCACATGCACATCGAACGACATTGGTTCGCTTCTCATACCGAATGAGACCATTAATTTTGACACAGTCTCGTCAAACACTATAGATCTCATGAGTGCATCGTCTACCGTATCATCCGGGATGTCTTCTCTTGGCTCTGGCTTTCAGACGCCATCCATTGGACTATCTAGGATGTCACGTGTCACCACCGCTACCAGCAACAATCTAGCATGTGTCTGCGTAGCGGAGGGGCTTGATCTCCTAAAAACGCTTTCTTCGGCTCAATGCTCTCTCGTCACCTCACTTGCTGGCACGGATTCGGTGCTCTCGGGCGATATGAGCTTTTATCAGATTGTGCTTTTAGAGAATCAACAAAATATCGAGGCAGTGAGCAGCATGCTTTCATGCTCGTCATGCGCCGAAGATTCTTTCCTGCTCACCATTCTATCCATGATCGTACTCAAGATTCTAGAGCGATACTCCAACGTGGCAAAAGAACGAATTTGCGGCCCAATAGCAGGAAGCGCGGCACTTGACGCTGTGCCGAGATTAGCAAATGACATGATATCAAGCAGGAAGGAACCTCTAAGCCGTACATACAACATGGCCCCCCATAACGACAGCGTTCATGGTCGACCACCCGCCCAGCTGGTCCTCGGCGAACTGTACCGAGTGCAACGATTGGTGAATCGGCTATCGCCAAAGCTTAAAGGGTCCAAGGAAGGGAGCTATGGTCAAGTCAGCACCATGGGGCTAAAGTTCCAGGCTCATTCCAGAATAGCAGCAGAAGAGAATGACAAATTGACCGCAACAACACCAATCTCTTCTAATACCCTAGCTCAGATAGAGTGCGACTTACGCACGAGCCTCAGTTCTCTAGCTAGAGACGTCATCAGCAAGTTACGACAAAATTAGAATATTAAAGAATTGATCACGCCTCGAAATGGGCGTACATTCTTATTTTTCAAACAATAAGTTCACATCACTGGTGATATCTCTACTTGACGGAACATTGTCAAGGTAAGACCTCCGCAGATAGTGTTTGCAACGCTGAATTGACCCGATCCATCGAAACTGGGTCTAGGGCTACTATGGTCACGTGATCCAGTCCCGTGTATAGAGAAGTGATTCATCGCTACCTATGACATATACTAGAGAGGACATAGTATTTTGAGCGCACGGTCATGAAGTTACTATTGTGTATAGTTGAAGCCCTAGAGGGCGTTGGGCTCAGAAAACTTCCAACATTATATCTACCGAACCATTCGTTAAAGTTTTATTGTCAGTGTACCTCAAGTCAAATATCGTCCAATAAGTTGAGTAAGGAGCCTGAGGACTAAAATTTTACTACGCATTGGTTGAATGAATTTAAACTAATATGAAAAGCAATATATTAGCAAAATACCTACGTGCACGTGAAATGAGTGAAAGTTTCTTCGGGACATTTAGCTGATTCCTGGATATAATAATATGTATATCACCCGACGTAGACGATTTATGACCCGAAAGCGCACGGGGAGCCTACCTAAGTATTTATATCCTTGTACATTTTTCTTAGACATAATACAGGTAGGACCCATCATTGTTCCACTTGTCTTTATATTTCCAACACCCATCTAGTATATCACTAAATAGTGATCATGACAGTCTTGGAAGCTTCGCAGGTAAAGTTGTCAGACGAACATCTGGGGCTTGCTCGCCTCGAGGCTAGTCCTCCCGGTGCCCTTGAAACGGCAAACGAGCTGCTACAAAAGAACCACGACAGCTACCACATGTATTTCCGAGATGTCGGCGGCCACAATCACATTCCGCACTCTGTCCTCTCTGTTCTGGCCATGGGCGGCGGTCCAAAGCAGCTGAAGAGGGCATATGACGACAGCTACGGATTCCAACGTCCACTCCCTCCCATAGACCTGGAAATTATCCAGAAGCTAAGCGACCCCGATGAATTCAAGGCTCGAATGTTCAATCTAGATCAATATACCAACTTCTTGATCTTCTTTGAGCGCGAGATTGGATCCAAGGGCTGGAAAGCCGTTCTGCAGGAATACTGCTTCAGCCGCACAGCTCTTGCAGAAACAATGTTCTCGCAACTGTATGAAGGCCTGTTGCATCCCATCATCCACCTGGGTTTTGGCATCGAGTTCGGGCAGCCCAGCATCATCGCCGAAGGTCTCGCACATGCCGCCTCCCATGACCCAGGCAACATCGACACCTTCTTCAACCGCAGCGAACAGCTCGCACAGTCTGGCACCGTGCCCGCAACGCCGCTTGTGGAGTTGTACGAGCAAGTCCGCAGAAACGAAAAGACGCGCACCGCGGGTCGCATGCAGGACGGGCCATGGAGGCTGCGCGACGGTCCGCTCGCTCGCTCAATGGACCAAATCGTTAGCATTGCCGCTCAATTTCAAATTCCGCGTGATGAGTTGGAACTAGAGCGCTACACGGCGGAGATGATTAACTGTGCTGCTTACAGTGCGGGTGCTGCCCAAAGGCCTGGAAAAGTGCGCAAGGTTGACTTTTTCATCATGCACGACGTCACCTGCTCCATCTTCTTGAGCGTTTTAAACAGACAGTCGTGGATCAGTCTCGACGATAGGGCACGTCTGGTAGAGTGGAAAGCTCGGCTCGACCTGGCTTGGTATGCAGCCAATGGAGCAGCGGAATTGCGTCTTGAGTATATCTCAGAATATGAACCGACTGCAAGTAAGGGAATGGACTGGCTTGCCTTGTACAAAGCTGTAAACGAGGTGCACGATGATGGACATATTGCCAAATTTGTGCGAGCTTTGAAGAATGGCCAGGATGCCTCGAATCCTTTTGAGCAGGGGGAGGGTGCCGCTTCGTTCCCTATCAAGGGTGACTCGTGGCTTAAGATTGCGCAGATGGGCTATGATACTACCAAGGACGGACATGATAATAGCGATAAGTGGGTTTGGGGCTCTGGATTCGATCTTGCGTGGATGAAGGTGCCAAATTTGGAGTAAGGAGCTTGTGATCTAATCTTATACTCTATACTTTCAACAAATGCACTATTTCTCGTATATCTAGATGTATACATAATGGGCAAAAAGCGATGTGGAGCTCATACAAACCCCCCCTTGACTCTTCACTAACAGTCTTTAAAGCCATCAACGACCTCGCCATCTCTCACAAACTCTTCGATCCATCCTATAGTCATCCTGTGTTGAATGTAATTAACTTAATTACTTCTCGTTCATTACGGATGGAATGCCAGATACTTACATGCTTCTCTTGGTATCAGCAAACTTCTCATGGTCACCGACAAGGTGCTCTTTGTACCATGGATCTTGTTTCATACGTTTGTAGTCTTCGATATCATGAAAGACCACCTGGCTGAAGCAATCAAAGTCCGCAACATTAGCCATCTGGTGATCGAAGAGGTGGGACATTAGAGCACGAGTAGAACTTTGGTTATGAATCTTGAAACAACTTTAGTTGATGACTGAAATGAAGCAGTCATATCAGAGCTTACTTGAGTCCATCTCTTGACGCCGTATTTGGCCATTAATCCCTTGGTCATAGGCGCGGAGACATTGACCATGTGATTACGATAGTCTTCCTCACTCATGCCCGGCTTTCGGTATCCGCAGATGGTAAGGCAGAGATACATCTTCTTGCCATCTGCTGTTGTTGGGCAAAATGGCACCTCGGGTTCGGTGGATGTTGTGACAACCATGATTGATACCTCCTCAAGTCAATGATTCAATTCTAGTAGTAAGTTATGTATTCAAAGATATTTACAGAATTGCGAAAAAGAAGGAATTGGAACGTGGAAGAAAAGAAACCTTGGAAGGAGATACTACGGCATAATGTTATTGATTCCCCCGAGATACGATCAATCATACGGATTATTTGTCCCTGTTTCGGCAGAATCTCGAAATTAGACTCATTACATCAAAGATACACCTAGCCGGCTATCTAGGCAAAAACTCAATCAATCAATTCACCATTTCCATGAATCAATTGGAGAATCATGCCACCGCACCATTCTTTCGAGTCGCCCAAAGTCGGCGTAAAGGCTGCTGCTGTAGTCTCAGGTTCCGCTCTATCAGGCAAGCACAAGCAATTATTCTACTCCGTCAACGTGAATGTAAATTGACATTTGAAACTTAATACAGGCGCGATGTTATGCCTTTCAGCAATAGCAGTTCCTGTCTTTCTTGACACGGACGAAGAATCCGGCCACCTCGTCCGCCAATGGTCCCGTACCTACCATTATGGCCATATCATCCTGCCGGCAGTATGCATTTCGACAGTCGGCCTCTACGTATACATTGCCTTGAACAGCAGAAGCCATGAGAATTGGCGTACCTACACAACAGCGGGGGTGATCACATTAGCCATGGTTCCCTTTACCTGGGTTATCATGACGCCGACAAACAACACCCTGTTTGCGCTAGAAGCAGCAGCATCGGCCGCGGACCTAGATGCCGTGCACGAGCTTGTGGTGAAGTGGTCCTGGCTACATGCTACTCGCTCTTTGTTCCCTCTAGTCGGAGCAGTCGTGGGATTCACGGGCTTGCTGAAGGATCTCGCCCCCGGGGCAAAATAATTTAGAAATCGACTTTCTCCCGAGCCTTGTGTTTCTTTTTGGTCCGAGGGCAAAGTTGTCATCTTTCTTGGCTAGATAATTTCTATAGTATATGATACAAAAGTGCCAATTGTAAAAGACCAGCCTAATCCTAATTCATAAAGGTTCTTACCTAGGTAGATTGCTAGGTTATTTCAACATAGATAGAATTTATTCCTCACCCGGCAATTGAGAAGTCTAATGTTGCAGAAAATTTGATTGGTTTTATCTATTGCTCAAGGACAAACCACTTCTTGACTCCTCCCCTGATTTCGAAGGCGACAATGCCATCCTCGGCCAATTTCCGTAGAACCTCATCCATGAAGGGTTCCAGGGCCAGTTGTCTGACTCCTCCATCCACGCTATCCCCATAAATACTCGTCACTAGCTGCTTGACCGTCACACTACTTTTTCCACGGCCTTGCTCTTCGCACTTGGCCTGCACCAGCGCCTTCAAAACCTGTTTCTCGCGCCGCACTTTTGTTGCCAGCTCGCCGGCAATCTTGGACCGCAGGTTGTCAATGACAATACCATGAGCAGGGTATCCCTTGACGCATCCCTGCGACTGCATCTTGTGCAAAGTATCCATCCAGGTGCTGAGATGCTCCACGGCAGAGGTGCCGTGGCCGAGTATGTTGTCCCCCGTGAACATAGCCTGCTCCTCCTCGAGGATAAAACACATGTGGTCACTGGAGTGACCTGGGGTGTGCACCGCGCGGACTGTGGCTCCTTCGACCTTGAAGATCTGGCCGTCTGCAATAGGCTGCTGGGTTTTGCTCGGCGAATGCTTGTATATCGATGGAGCAAGCTTCGGGTACATGCGAATGAGGTCTGGAACACCCCCCGTATGGTCGCCATGCCAGTGAGTTAAAAGTACGTGGGATAGCGAAATTCCATTTTCTGCTAATGTGTGATCTAGAAGGTCTGCCCAGTCCGGAATGCCCTGGCCTGTATCAATGATAAGGCGTTCCGGACCGGTACCTACGATGAATGTGTTTGTTCCCTGCAGAGTGAACTGTACGTGAAATATGTTAGTTAGTTGATTCTCCTCAAGCAGCTCGAAGCTTGAAACATGCCTTTCCTGGATTTTGGCCGAGAACTCGAAGGACTCTCGGGCTAACCTGCTCAACGTCCGGCAGTTCGGGCAGATTATTCTGCTGGCTTTCCAGGTAATCTTCAAAGGCACATATATTTAGAGCCTTGTTAATCTGGCGGTATCCTCCTACACCGGGTGGCATTGTGAAAGTCACTGCATACGTCGAGGACCTTGTTTGGCAGGAGAATGCAAGATGCATGCAAGATACCTGTGGGAATAAAAGACGAAGACAAAGATTTCGGATTAGCTTAGCTTTGAATAATATTCATATATAATTGAACCGAACAAAAATGTATGCCGAGGCTTAATGTCTCATCGGGCATCGGAACAAATGTCTGTACCTAGGTAGTTCATTTTATAGTTCCATCAAATACGCCGTGCAATTATCATATGTCCCGCACGCCCTTTCCAGGAGGCGGATGAACAACGTTCATTACCTTTAACATAACATATATTCATGGAAGGAAAGGTGGTTTATTTTTTAAGCTTTTCAGTGAGTTCAGGCACCTTCTCGAAAAGATCGCCTACCAAGCCCACATCAGCTACCTGAAAAATGGGCGCATCAGCGTCCTTATTGATAGCCGCAATAACCTTACTATCCTTCATACCGGCCAAATGTTGAATAGCTCCAGAGATACCGGCCGCAAGGTACAATTGAGGCGCCACATTCTTTCCAGTCTGGCCAACCTGAAGGCTGTTGTCGGCATATCCACTATCAACAGCGGCACGAGAAGCACCAATGGCGGCACCTAAAGCATCGGCCAGTGGCACCATCACACGATCAAATTCCTCTTTAGACTTCAATCCGCGGCCACCGGAAACAACTCGAGATGCTGTTCCCAAGTCGGGACGGTCAGACTTCGCAAGATCCTCCGATACCCATTCCGTTGTACTCTCTGCCTTAGGATCTGAGCCGTCAACTATCTCTGCCGAGCCTCCCTCTGTCTCCACGCCTTGAAAAGCAGTACCCCGGACGGTGATAACTTTAATTGCATCTTCGGATTGCACTGTGAGGATGGCGTTACCAGCGTAGATCGGTCGAACGAAAGCTATTTCGTATCAGTTGTGTACCTTCAATGAGTTGGCCATTGTTGCTTTCCAACATACTATCTTCACTCTCAATACCAGTAATATCAGAAACCTGTTGTACATCGAGCAAAGCTGCCACACGAGGTAACAAGCCCTTGCCAAAGGCCGAGTGTGCGGCAATCAAATGTGTATAGCCTCCGTTTTTAACGTTGTTCACGAGCAACGGTGCGTAGTTCTCAGGCAATCCCTGTAGTTATAATCCAATAAGTACTTATTCATTTGTTTTTCCTTGTCCTACTTCCTGAGTTCAGCGTACCTTGTCATAAGCCTCATTCTCAACTGCAACGACCTTCTCAACGCCCTTAATCTTTGCCGCTTCGGCGGCCGCAGAAGACTTCACGCCGCTCCCAGCAACGAACCCTGTGACAGATCCTCCTAGCTTCTGGGCGGCTGCGATGGCAGACAACGAGGAGGCTGAGAGCTTGCCACCTCGTTGCTCGAGGACTGCCAGTGTCGACAATAATCGTGTGACCGCCGATAACCGGAAAGCGAAAATTGGTCGCGACGGATGAAGCTGCGACCGCGCGGCACGCAGCACCGTAGATCGCGCGGCAAAAATCATTGTGATATGAGCAATCAAAAAATACACAGTGTGTTATAAGACCGGCACCATCAAGTGAGATGTGCTTCGAGTTGTCCTGCACTCAATACAAGCTTGACAGTGGTGGTGACGATATATAGGCGGGTAGGTCAGAGACCGAGAGCAAATTAGTCGGCACCGCCGACGATTCCCGCGCCTCGGCTGTCAGTCCAGTTACCCAAAGAATTTTGCCGACTGACTCTTACGTTTCAAGGCAATTTGCATCAACCACGAACTGCGTATTTCTTTGGTGTGGGATGTCCAATGGGCATAAAATATAACTAGCTGAGTAATTCTATAGACAAATAGGCAGGAAGTAAACTAAAGAGATAGACCAGAAATCCGATTATCAGAAAATTTTGGACGCCGCATAACTCATGCAAAGAAACACCAGACAAATAAGCATTACTCAAATGAATCGATCGTTCACTTCTTTCCCTTAACCTTTCCTTCTTCCAGTGCTTGCACCTTGCGTTTCTGGAGCTTTTCTTTCCTGAATGCTTCGTCATCGTCTGCAGCTGCCTTGAGCTTTTTGGTCTTCTTGGTCGACTCTCGTGGAACATCGTCACCCTGGTTCCTCCTCTTTTTCACGTTCTTCTCACTGTCTTCTGCCTTTGTCTCCTCCTCTGTCTTTTCTAGGACATCTGTTTCCTCCAGCCATAATTCGTCGGCGAGCCAGATGGGCAAGGCCATTGTCGTGGGTCCCTTAATATGGATGGCTTTTACATTTCTCCAGCCCTTTGTAATGAACTTCTCTGTTAAGCCATTCACCACAGCTTGCACATTTTCAACTAGTTGCTCCGGTGCCAAGCCAGAGGTTCCGACGCGCACTGCCGTTGAGGTAGATGGGGCGAGGTAGACAGGCGCACTGTTCAAAGCTTTCTCAATCTCTTTCGCAACCACCAGCGGTGAAGCAAAATTGGCACTGCGCTCTTCTTTGGCTTTGGGTGACTTGTTCTTCACACGCTTGCCATCAACCTTATCAATTTTCTCGATGCGGATAGGGATTGGGCGCTTGCTGGACTGGTAGAAGATTTTGCCTAGCGTCTCAACCAATCGCATGATAATTCGGTCGTCGGCAAGAAACACGTCGTGCTCTGCAAGCAGCTGTCGCCGACTCTCGAAGCTCTTGTAGCGTTCCCTCAACTTTGTCAGCCCGATAACTCTGGTGATGCGCGAGGAAAGAGTAGACGGAAAGGCCGGGTCAGCGATGATATCTTTGACGGAACGCTGCGGATCGGCAGTGATCAGACAGATGTTTAGCGAAGAAGATTTATTCATGGAGTGTGGGATGCTAATTTTGCCGGGCTTAAGGCGGTTCTTGTCCACCACGTGCTTCTTTGTCGTCATGATCAGCCAGACCAATTCGTTGGTGGTCGAAGATTCTTCAGTGTCGGAGTCATCATCATCCCCAATGAGGGTTATCTTGGTTGATGTCTCTTCCTTTTCTTGCTGTTGGGATTTGATGTGACGAAGCAGCGCGGTTGAGGCTCGGAGGACCTGCGATACCAATTAGGGGTACTTCTCGGTCAGAGATAGAGTTGGGAGACAATACCTGCGGTTTATCAAGCTGGTAGGGAGTTCCAGATGCCACTTTCGTAGTCAATGCGTCTTTTGTTGCGACCATCTTGGATGAGTTATGGTTTAAGACAATCACAATTCTTCTCGCAATTGCAGATTCATTCGGGCCTTCCAAAAAAAAATTATTGCAGCAGGCTCGGCTTGGCATTGGAAGTGGGTCAGCCGAGTTGTTTTGCTGGCTCTCACCGCCAAACCTCCCCACGATTGGCTTAGTCATTCTGCCCGTCGGGAGAACCATTTTTCCGGCCAGGCAGGCTTTGATGAATCATCCCCACCATGCCACCTTCCTTTTTCGCACTCAGTATTTAGTATTCCCATTCTCGCGCGTTCCCTGGCTTCGTGTTAATCATGGATTCCGCAGCGAAAGCACGATTCGACCTCATCAGTGAGAACCTCGCCGAGGCACTGAACCCTGAGATCATTGAAGCCATTTTGGCAGAGGGCCGTAACCCTCGAATCTATTGGGGGGTGCGTCAGTGAGTCGTGCGTTTTTTTTTTCTGCTTCGTAACGCTGACTCTTCTGTTAGACCGCAACGACCGGCCGACCGCACACAGGCTACTTCGTCGGCGCGCTGAAAATCGCCCAATTGCTTGCGGCTGGATGTGATGTTATTGTCCTGCTGGCTGATATTCACGGGTTCGTTTGCCTCTCCAAAGCAGTCATCTCTTTAATGTTATATTTCTAAATGTATTTGCAGATTCTTGGATAACCTCAAAGCGCCGCTCGAGCTTGTTGAGAACCGTGCCAAATACTATCAAAATGTAATTACAGCGATCCTCGAGTCTGTCGGCGTATCTACAGAGAAGCTAGAGATTATTCTCGGCAGTTCCTACCAAAAATCTCCTGACTATGTGATGGATGTCTACCGTTTATCGTCGTTGATTTCGGAGCATGACGCGAAAAAGGCTGGTGCGGAGGTTGTCAAGCAGAGCGGTAACGCTCCTTTGAGTGGACTTTTGTACCCGGTACTCCAGGTTCTGGATGAAGAGCACTTGAAAGTCGACTGCCAGCTAGGAGGTGTTGATCAACGCAAGCTTTTTGTGGCCGCCACAGAATGGCTACCTAAGCTCGGATACCGAAAGGTATTGGCATCCATTTCCATTCAGATCTATTACATGCTCTAATGAATCTCTTACTAGCGTGCGCACCTTATTACGCCCCTTATTGGTGGGCTTTCAGGGGGCAAGATGAGCTCTAGTGTCCAAGGTATTTACCCCGCTTTGTGATGGATGTCTGTCATTACTAACATTAAGTAGATAGTAAAATTGATCTTCTAGACCCACCTGAGAGCATTTCGAAGAAGATTAGGAAAGCTGAAGCAGCGCCTCGGGTCATCGAAGACAATGGAATTATTGGACTAGTGGAGTTTGTTCTGCTACCTGCTGCTGGTCTCAGGGGCCGCAAAGAATTCATAGTTGAGCGGAGGGACGCGGAGCCTTTAGTATATACCGACATTAAGCAGCTCCAGGAAGATTACAAAAACGACATCGTGCGTATTATCGTACATATCAACTTTGAAACTCTCAAACTGACTTTGATACTTTTAGTTAACGCCACAACTCCTCAAGCCCGCCGTCGCAGCTGGACTTATCAGTCTGATGGCACCTATACAGGCGGCCTACCAAGCCTCCCCTGAGTGGCAGGAAATCACTTTGAAAGCCTACCCACCTCCTGTTGTCGAGAAGAAACAGAAGAAGGTCAAGGACAGGGGCACTCGCTTCCCAGGTGCCATCGCCGCTCAAGACCAAACAAAAGACACAACCCCCAAGGACCAATAGCGTTTCCAGCAGTCCCCCCTAAGCACGGTGTCTTGATACAGCGGTGACTGTAACAAGGGGAGACTCTCGTTGAAGAAGCTATGTAAGGCTATTTTCTCAAAAAAAAAAATGACCATGTTACAGTCCGACATACTAGAAAATCTTGATTTCAAAGGCCCAGATGGTTAGGGGAGTTTGCGAGACATCCTTCTTTGTTAAAGATATGGTTAGACTAGCTCAAATAGTTTCGTGGCCTGTGCTGACTTGAGGTGCTGGCTACCTAAAAGTTAACGGTATTCTTTCATATCAAAACCCTCGTGACCCCGACTAGTCCCAGTCTCGGGAGACCAGGAGTACGATTTCCCACGTACTCCGCGCGAACTCAAACAGTACTATTCTGTATCTGCACATTTAGATCTAGAGAAGAAAGTAGCCAGACTCGTCCAACGTGCTTTCGCAGTAACGAGTCAAAGCGAACGCTATATCAGATAGTGACTGATTGATAGGCATTACGCGGCCATACAGCTAGTACGGCGCTACGGATACTCCGTCCTCCAGACAGTCGATGCCTCGATGGTATGAAAGTCTCAACACAAATGAAAATTGAAAACATGTCTGAAAACATCGACAATGGGTACAACTCGGCTGATCAGAGTAATATGAGCTAAAAGGCCTTAAGAATGATGTATAGAGTACACAGCGTTGCAGCGCCATAATGCGATTTCATTTTACTTCTTTTAGCCTTTGAGAAATGCTGAAAATTGCGAAATGATCGACGCCCTGTGAAGCTTGAGCCCCCGTAAACGTCCACTGCTTAGCTAACTACAGCCTGGAAAGTCCTGATTTACATTGCATATTACGTACTGGCGCGTTAAGCTTCAAGAAAACCACTCTACTCCGCATGAAGCTGGTACTCGGTAGAGGATGCATCGCCTACACCGGCCAGATCCGTGGTTCTTTTTAGTTTCGACCCGCCCTTCCACGTAGTATGGTACGTATGCCAGTTGAAACTTTCAAGTTGAGAGTCAATATTTTAGAGTCCGGAGTCGTCCGGACGGAGGTTAATCAATGGCAGTTCGCGGTCCTGCCCCTCCCGTCTTCCGCTAAGTAAATTTGTACATGCATCATCCCAGATGAGCATGAGGGCAATACATATGATACGGATATTAAATGACTAAATGATGCTAGGGATCTCAATGTCTAAGTTATCGTATACATCTCAGACAGGGCAACCAAAACACGGCATATTGAGCTTACTTTAGCTCCACGCTAGCTCAAGCGCAATTACAGGCGCATTTTTTATTGGTTGTGCGGTTCAATGCCCAGGCGCTTGTGTGACCCCTACGCTCCGTGATTGGAGGATTGGGGAGCAGACATATTGAAGGTCTCACGCCAAGTGGGGCCATTGTCAGGAACAGGAAATGGCAAAACAACCGCGCTCGGTAACTAATGGTATTGTAAGGCTCCCATTGTTTTGTCCTTTGCAAATGCCACACAGACCTGCTATATCAGGTAAGTGATCCCCACCGTGTTGGCTAATCTAAGCGCGAGTTGGCATTCGAAAATTAAAAGCCCAGACCGACTGGCCAGTCACATGGTGCGACTCTCGATTTGCGTACTGGCTGAAATTTGCACGGCCAGCGTGTGTCACGCCCTGGCGTAATTTTACTAGTCGCAGAGCATGCGTACGTAGTACTACCCACTCTGGGCTGCGTCCTTCCTTTCCCCTGGCTTCAGCGTGTGCTCCCCCCCCCGTCAAATACAGTCTATAGAGACGGCCTGTTTGACCTTGTCTTCACCCCCCTTCCTTCTCCATCCCTCCTGAACGTTCGATCGTTTGTTCTCCTTGTGTTCTATCGCGAGTTTCCCTCCGACCAGAGAGTCACTGCGCTCTCTACCACGTTCTTTAGGAAGCTTTGAAAGACAAACTTCAACAACACTCGTTACGCCGACCGATCAATTGATCCTACGCGACAAGATCTCTTCAATTGCCTTGCAAAGGAACAAACCTGTACGTTGCTTTCGCAGCTATACTTTTCTAGAGGGAGATGTGTCATGGATGAGGTCGCCACGTCTGCATTGTGTCCGTACAACAGAGACCATGGTCGTTCATCTGTGCTACGTCAATTCCTCCCAGAACAACTTAATTGACGAGGATACGGATGAGATCAATACTAACAATTGAGGTGTGAGATCCAGCTTTTTGCACGGCTTCTCTAGACATATTCTTTTCACAGAAACAATCACTTTGTCAGGGTTATAAAGACAAACGGTCGCTATGAAGCTTTCTGCGACCATCGCCCTCGCTGCTGCGGGCTCGCTAGCCGCTGCCCAAGGCCATCACCACGGTCACCAGCACGTCCACAAGCGCGATACCGTAGCAACCTCGGTTGTTGACGAAGTCGTGACTGTCTACCAACTTGACGGAACTCCGGTTCCAGTCGCCGATGTCTGCAAGGGTATCAAGGATGGCCAATACAAGTGGGCTGAGGGCAATGGTCCTTCTGGAGCCTGCGTTACTTCCACTGCCGCCCCGACCAGCACCAGTGTCGCAGTCCAGGCCGCCGAGTTTATTGAAACCTCTAGCTCTTCTTCAATTGTTAGCATCTCATCGGCGATCACCACTTCCTCGACCCCTACTTCTTCAGCCACTCCCACGAGCAGCTCTACCACCAGCTCTTCCAGTACCAGTACCAGCACCAGCTCTACCCCTACGTCTACCTCCACCTCGACCAGCAGCACCCCTCTTGCTACTTCGTCGAAGACTTCCACTAGCAGCACTAGTACCGCCACTGGCATCGACGCTTCTTTCCCCGACGGCGAGCTTTCCTGCGATACCTTCCCTTCTGCCTATGGTGCGGTTGCCCTCGACTACCACGGACTTGGTGGCTGGAGTGGTGTCCAATATGTTACACTTAACTCTCTTGAAACTCTCGTTGAGGAAATTGTAACCGCTGTCAGCGGTGAGAGCTGCACTGATGGTGCCATGTGCTCTTACCAATGCCCAGATGGTTACCTGAAGTCTCAGTGGCCCTCTGCGCAGGGCAGCACCGGTCAGTCCGTTGGTGGTATCACTTGCAAAAACGGCAAACTCTACAGAACCAACACCGATTATGACACTCTTTGTATTGCTGGTGTCGAGGGAGTTACTGTCAAAAACACCATGTCGTCCCTAGTTTCAGTTTGCCGAACAGACTATCCTGGTAAGTTATGGATATATTTATCATTTACACCTTGGCACATTAGAGATTGTTGTTGACCATCTTTTGTCTTGACAGGAACTGAAAGTGAGACTCTCCCCACCGTTGTCGACGCTGGATCCACTGTGCCACTCGCCAATCCCGATGGATCTACCTACTACAAGTGGGAAGGAAAAGATACCTCGGCCCAGTATTACATCAACCCTGCCGGCAAAAAAGAGTCAGTTGCTTGTGTTTGGGGTTCATCCGGCTCTGATGTGGGTAACTGGGCCCCAATGAACCTTGGTGTTGGCTACACGGATGGAGTGACCTACATCTCCATTTTCCCCAACACGCCCACTACAGATGCCACTCTTGACTACAATGTCCGCATTGAAGGAGCAAGTGGATCATGCTACTGGGATGCATCTAGCCAGACTTACAACGATGACTCTGGAACGAGCAGCACTGGCTGCACAGTCTCCATTTCTGAAGGAGGCAGTGCCCAGATTGTCTTTTCTTCCTAGGCAAAGAAACAGACATGATAACCAAACTCGGTGGTGCATGCAGTTGGTTTCTTGATTGGGTTGTAGATTAAGAACATGATGTCACGTTTTTTTATACTATAAAAAAACAAACGGTCATTTTCACCACCGTGATTTGATATTGGATCTGTGTTATCAAGTGATACGAATGTGTCAGTGCGTATTTGTTTTCATCCTCTGATTTGACTATTTGTTTCGATGCTGTATATTTATAACTTCTCCGTTTACATACCCCCTTCTTCGGGCTATTTGAGCTCCTGTTTTCTCTTTAAATATTCTTCTTTATATTTGATGAGGTTTTTTATTTTTCCTACCTTGCAACGTTTAGTACCTAATCCACAAAAGCTCGTATGCTTTCGTACAATAAGTACATTGGGACCCCATTAAATTCTCCTATGGCTTGTACACCTGAGTATGAAATGATATTTCGAAAGTCTACCAATGTCCTTGAGGACCTAGTATACCTCCAAGGTTGCATTAGCTACTTGTATTTTATATATTTCTAATACATGACACAATTACCTAGGCAATTAATCGCCGGCGGCTCAGATTTGGCGGGCTATGTTTATATACCTTAGAGAGATGAATATTGTATTTCTTGCATTGTTCTGTGCACTTCAGTAGCTTATTTGAGACCATATGTAACTTATGTCCCTATGGTGTATTGATAGGCAAATTTTTATATAGTTTAAGTGTATGCCGGCATCCCGAGGTCGTGTCAATCTCCAAGGTCGCATAAGAAAGAGGCAGAAAATTATCGTCCAGGGATACAATACTACCTAGGTATGGTATGTGTCGTGGTGTACGGATGCCTAAGGCATGTGATGATGGTTATTTATATATTCATCCCGCGACTTCCCAAGTGCGCTCAACCAACTGGGTACATCGGTCACGGGAACTTTTCAACGCTTTTCTTGCCCTAATAACCTGACTGCAAAAGTCTTCTGCTTCTAAAGACAGTGGATAGACGGATTTCGGTCTAGGACCTTGATTAAATCATAGACACCCCTCTAGAGCTGACCTGCACCGGGAAGAGGAGTTGTTTCACGACTTTAGACATACAAAGATCCATTCCGAAATATGGCCGTTTCTATGCTCACTCGACATATATCACATCTCTGAGACCTTGACCGAACTGCACCTGGAGAACGGAGAACGTGATAATATGCAATTTCTTGACATTTCATCAGACCTTGTGACCATCGGTGAAAACAAAATGAGGGGTCCTCGCATTCCGATACCTGCGAGGTCCATCCAAGTTGATGAGGACCAACTCAGACAAAATGTTTACAAAAGAATTAACCTCTATGCCTCAAGACTCCTCAGCTCGCCACAGTCTCTCGGCTGTTCTAGCCTTGTAGACGAGGGATCAGCTGTAATTTATGCAGCTGTCACAGACACCTGTTCATCCAAGTTTATTGTGGCGCGGTGCCGATCATTCTAGTTCAGGGAATTTTTTCCAGGCACGTAACTTTCCCAGGTACTCGGTATATGTTGTGGATGGTTACAGGACACTAACTGAGAGAGAAGCAGGTGGCAGTTCATATGATGACCACAGCTAGTACTAGCTGCATCAACTACCCGGCTGCCACCCATGGACATAAGCTGAACAGTTGCTTGTACTTGAAGAAACACTGCTGCATCCCTGTATGCTTCCCTCAATTTGGCATCATCCTTCTCATTTGGGTCGCATCACGAGGTTGATGCTTTTGATTCCACCTATCAAGGCAGCATTTACCTGCCAATGTCGGATTTCGAGACGAAATATTGATGCAGGATGTGTCTTTACTCAGGCAGCCACATAAGCCTTCACTCTCATGTTGGTGTCGACATTCGGTTTGATGCCTAGCATATAAAGACCAAGGGCAACCGTGATATTGAACTTTGGTCAAACAAAAAGGTCAGCTTTGATACCATCACCCTGGGCAGTATTCAAATACTTCGTAGGCTCTTGTGTCGCAGATATGCCGTCTCTCCTGACCTTGGCTTTCCTTGCCTCGCTTGTCGTAGGCGGCACGGCTGCTTCCTCTCTTCCATTTCCTCTACCAATTTGTGCATCTACTAAGACATTGTCCCTCTCTGGTGGCTACACGGTCACGGCTACTGACATAGTGACCTCGGCATGTTCATCTCCGCGATAGGATGCCGGGTAAGTTTGACCGACATTTTACTTTATTCAGGCGAGTGCTACGACTACTGTGACTGGGGCTCCCTCCGTATGTCCTTTACTTTACCTTAAGCCTTTTATCTGCTATCCATAGCCTCTGATTTATTTAATAGGTTTTGATTGACATCGTGACTATCACCAGCTTTACGCCAACAGTAATTGACTGCTTAGTTACCGCAACAACTCTCTCACCATACGTCCTCCCTTCATTGCCTTTAGTGAAGCGTGAAGATGCGGTGACTATTACCGCCCCATCATTAAGCTGCCCACCGGCGCCGACTGTGACAATAGTACCCCCTTCGGTGTCTGGCTTGCCATGTACTGAAGTTACAGGACCTTTTAGTATTATGTTGGCTAGCCCAAATATCTTTTATACATTTCGCCTTTTCACTGATATGGATTTCTAGAACTGATACCGAGACCATTACCACTACTGGTATTGCCACCAGTACAGTAACTCCTACAATTATTAGCACAGTTACCGAAACTTGGGTCCTTCCTATTCCAAGCTCCTACAATGGTACGTTCTGCTGCGTATAATTTCCAGTGAGTAGCTTGAGATATCTACTAATGCAGTTGATTTCAGGAGTAAATTACTATCAATACCTCAACGACTATTTCTACCCAGACGGGGACCAAGGCTGTGGCTCCTGTGGCTATGGGGGCGGTGGCTATGAAACGTCCGACTGGAATGGAAATTACAGCTACTACACCAACGGCACCACAAAGCAGATCAACTTCGAGTCCGAGGACTACCCCAGCTACTCTACAATCCTGTGCCAGCTACCAGGGCAAGCAGAAGCTTCTGACTGCTCCCAATGGACCGTCGTTTTCCAGGGCTATCTGCACGCGACTCAGAACGGGAACTATACGATTGCACCGGTCCTGAGCGAGGACAATGCCATCTTCTTCTGGGGCGGAGAAAAGGCATATTCCAGCTACAAGAACAATAACACCGATGGCAGCGTCACGTATACGCAGCCAAGCACTTTGCCGCATAGTTATAGTTACTCGATGGCGGGCGAGTTTATGCCTATCACCTTCATCTATGCCAATGGGTACCGGCCGGCTTTGAACAGTCTTACTATTACAAGCCAGAATGGAACGTCGTACCCGACCGACTTGGACTTCTTTGTGCCTCCTTGCCCGAATAGCCCTTTTGTGCCTTAGAAAGCTGGAAGAAATAGGGCATCTAGTGCCATTGCCAAATTTGGAAGTGCATAAACTCGGCCTCTGATTAGCTGGTTGGAACTCGGGACAGCACATACAAACAATGCAAACATACCATTTATCCACATACATCGCGCCTTGCTCAGTAGGATAGTAAATACTGAACATAGCTGTGTGTTAATACATAATATCACGTATAACATTGTTCATGTTGCAGAAATGAAACTAGAGCATGTCTACGGCGTATTCACCAGGTAATGCGATCGCAGACCTCGTAGTCGTGAGCGGGACACGTGACCAACGCGTCTGCCGCGCGGGCGTGATAAAGGCATATGATATCAGTTTTCCTGCGATACACCCAGTTATGGTCCCTTGCTGCAGCTCAGGGCCTGCTGCAATTGCTTTTTCGCAATAATACACAGCCCAGCGCGCATTCATACTCGATCCTGGCTTGGATGTGCCTCAATTCCCAGGATTTCCAGGGCGGCAAAGCGCGAGGACGCAGTGGAGCCCCGTTGGCGCCTGCTCAACGCGTCTCGGAGCGGGCGAAAGCGTGAAGCGGCAGGCGTGAACAGAGACGAGACGCACATACATTCCTGCAGCGCTCTCCGAAGCTCCCACATTTTCCTTCAAGGTTGCCGATTCCTTTGCACGCCCTTCAAGTCTCTTGTTTCGTGCAGTCCCCAGCCTCCTGAGCTGCTGCTGTGTGCTGCTTATTGTTGCCTTTTAGCCTGTCTCTCCCCTCTGTTGCTTTCCTACTCTATGCTCCATGTTCAACTTTTTTTCAAATCGAGGTTCTCTTGGTGCTGCTCGGCTCTGAACAACGAACATCTATCTGCCTTGACTAATTTATATAGCACACCTACCTACCTGTCTATATCCACGGCTGTCTACTAGGAACGCTCTACTACAATGGAGTCGTCTCCTCCCAGGGCCGCCACGTTAGGCGGCGTCTCGGCGGCAGGCGTAAAGCGTCCTGCTTCGTTGCTGCCCGCTTTCGAGCCTCTGAGCTCGTCGCCGTCTCTTCCTCGACCCCAGAAACGAGTGGCACGCGATGCAGGAGATTATCCCACCCCTGTGCCGACTTCTTCTACTCACATCTTGTCCTCGTCTCCTCCCCGTCTGCCCCTGGCGCGGTCAATGCTACAGCGTGGTATCTTCTCGACGAACTCGGAACGTGCCCCTTTGTCAACGGTTCCGACTTTGATGCTTCCCAGTTCCGGAGAATCCCTTCTTATGGGACGATCCAGCGCGTCATGCCACCATCAGCTCTCTGCCAATCGGTTGATTTCACGCGTCCATGTGAAGGCAGCATACAAGCCCGCCGGGAACCCCTTCGACCGTGACCGGGTCGAGATTATGTGCACGGGTTGGAACGGGATTAAGTTGCACTGTCAAGGAAAAACTTACGACTTGGCCAAGGGCAAGACATTTACCTCTGAGATTCGAGATGCCGATATCATGATAGATGTTCATGATGCTCGAGTTTTGGTGCAGTGGCCTCGGAATGAAAGAAAAGGTTCAGCCTCGGCCGACTCTGATCTCGCCTGGGACGCAAGTTCTCCTCGGCGGAATTCTAAGACGCGTCGTGATGGCCGCGAAAGTCCCGTCAGGGAACAACCTTGCCTCGTGTCGCCTACATCCCCCTCTCCTATTGCTCGGTCTCGAATTCCCCCATCTTCACCTTTACTCAGCCCCAGTCGTCTACATAACACCATATCTATTTATGAGGATGAACAATCCCCGACACCTGAAAATCGAAGGGAACAAAAGAATCTTGCCGCGTCACATACAACAGCCTTTGATGAGAGTCTGAACCGCTCCCGAAGTGATTCCCTCAGCCGGCTGTCTGAGCCATACGAGGATTTCTCTGATCATGACGAGGAGAATGATCCAATAGTACACTCCTTTGGTCCTTTCGGTGACAACCTGTTGCCGCGTATGGCTTCCTTCCGTGCTGGCGAATCACCAACAAGATTTGCTCGTCCATCCCAACCTCAGGTAGAACCTCTACGCCCAGTGAACATCCCGCTTCAGCCGCTAGCAACTAAATCACCGAAAAGGGAGACAGACGAGAAGGAGAAGGAAGAAGAAGAAGAAGAAGCAGAAGGAAAAGAAGAGGAGGAGGAGGAGAAAAAGGAAGAAGTAGAAACGAAGGTAAATGAACAAAGAGCTGCCGCTATTGCTTTGATTCAGAACCATGCTGCCAACCAGCTTGCCTTTTCCCGCCTATCATCAACACCGTTTTCAACGATTCTTCAAAATTTGCCGGCTTCTCTCTGGAAGTCTGGAGCCAGTGCAATGGAACGCTTTTCTCGACATGAAGTGCGAGCTATTCTTGAGACCACGAAATGCATTGGAGAAGTTACGCGAGAAGGCAAAGATGCTGCTGGGAAGGCGCTGGAAAGCGAGTTTTATTACATTCCCGATTTCGATGACGATGAGATGCGCCGACAGGCTATTGTCAACGATTTACGCAAACCTGGTTTGCGGAACTGCAGAAAGCAACACAAAGTGAGTTGATGTTATATAGTTTGGGTTTCCTGAGTAATACTGACTTATGATGCTGCAGCAATACTACTGGCGAAAACCCAAATGAAGAGCATGCATTTTTTAATGCCCTGATGAATACGAATTATGGTTGCGCTTGCCATCCGATTTCATTCCCTACCGGCTTACATTCTTGTCACATAGTTGAAACCCATAATTGTCAGAGTTTACCGCATAGCGCTGCGTGGGTATAGTCCCTTTCTTGCATCTCTCATTCTGATTTAAGATGCTTTGTATCGCTATGATGTGGTTGATATTCATGCAATGCTGTACAGGATTGTTGATTGTTTCTCTCATTGTGTTTCAAGCTCCCAAGTCAAGAATCCCTTTCGCTGTTGAACGTGCATGTACCATACAATTCACGTGCCTGTTTAATGGGTTGCATCTCTTCATGTCCCACTATTTTCTCGCCGTGTTACGGACTGTCTGGGTCATAAAATGATCTTGGAAAGTTGATTTCTTGTTTCATGTCTTCTACCTCACTTTGCTTGATGTACACTGTCACTGTATGAGTATTAGTGCCAAAAATGTGTAGTTAGTCAATACGTCGGAAAAAAAAATATAAACATATCATTTACATAAGATATTGATCGATTCTTCTGCTGCCAAAGCCCGCCGCCCTATAATACCATATCACATGCACAAGTCGTACCAGCGCGTCGATCAGAGGTTGTGGCGCTGTTCTTTCTACGTGCGACCTACACATCAATTAACGACGTCGAAGAATCACCTGCTCTACATCAACACTCTATCCGAATCGAAAAAGAGAGAAGACAATCAGAGCCTTGCATCTTTATACTACTACAATGTCCGCCCCGAAAGATTATACAGCCGTAATTCACCCAGTGACACCATTACCATCATCTAATGGCGCAAACCATCAAAATCCCATCTCAACCGGCGAGAAGAGTGACGCTGGTCATGGCGTGAACCAAGCAACATCCTGGAAACCTACATTCATTCGCCAGCAGAGCTGGAATAGTCAAGATCTGAAGCGTGAGATGCAGCAGAGACTGTTGGAGACGGAGAAGGGGAAGGAGCTGGGATATACAGAGGCGGCTGGAAAGCATTAAGCAGGACGCGTTCTTTTCTTTCATTGCCAAGTTGTGATGTGAATATTCAATAAATTGCTCGGGGGAAGCTCCTTTGGCATAAATGACGAGACCGTAACGTTCGATGTTCTGGAGTATCTGTCGTAGTATATCTCGAGTCAATATTGGATGCCTGAGGAAACAAATGAGATGCGGTGGGGAAAGTGCGGCCGGGGCAAGGGCAAAGCAAAGCAACGACGTTGAGCCAGCCCACTTTCCCATAAGAAACACAAAAGCGACTGGACATTTGTTCTATCGTCAGAGCGAGCGGTGCTTCAACAAAAATCAACGTCAAATCGTTACTTGCTGCCAGCCTCCATCCCCACAATCCAATGTGGCATGAAGCTCGTCTTTGGCATTTTTGTTCCGCCTCGGAGTTGATAAGAGAGAACCGTCCGTCATCAATCTTCCGCTGAAATTCGCAAGCGCACTCCATGCGTTACTGAGTGGAAGAAGATATGGAACAGAAAAGAAAGCGTATAATAGTCTCTCTTCAGTAAAAAGACTGGTCTTTTTTTTCTTCTTCTTTTCTGACGCGTATTCAATCTAGGGGAGCTCCGGGATCTGAATGAACGAGCGTGGGCTGGAGAAAGCGGTATGAGTTTTTGGAGCTAGCCCGCGATATTATTTTTTTAGACTCCTTCTAACGCAAAAATATCCTTCTCGCAGATATTTTCGAGGTTAGCAAGTCGTTAGACTCGTCGCTCAAGAAGAACACCGCCTTTATCAAGCGTCTTCGCACTGGTATTACCGCATCTGCGCTCGCCACCTTCCTCACTGAGATTCGTACTCTGTCGCTACACAAGTATCTTTCTGAAATCATCTCGGCATGCTACGAAGGTTTGTGCAAATTGAAGTCTCCAGGCGAGGTCGCGGCTGGTGTTGAAATCGTAAGCGCATTACACCAGAGGTTCGGGCCGAATGAATTCACGAAACAGATCGGATGGCTGCTGGGGCGAGGATTGAGTTCACCAGACAAATCGCAACTTAAAGCGCTCAGTCAGGATGTCCGCGAGAGAGAGGAGAAGGAGCGTTTATCGCGACACCGAGTTCTACTTCGTGTGGTTACGGAATTGTGGCTTGTGAAGTTCTTGAAAACACTGGATGACATCGAGCGCCCGGACGACCTCGGTGCCAAGAGCAAAGATGCCAGTTCAAGCGCTGGTGGGAAGGTCATGGATGGCCCATCCAGAACTAGAACTGTGGCCAAAAGCGATCAGGACAAGGAAGCTGACCCGTATCCCTTGGAAGTCTTAAAAGACCTTTTAGGCCATGACAGGGACCACACGAACCTTCCTCTTGCCGTCCTTTTCGTGAAGACTTTTAGCTGGGATATCTTAGGAGTGAAGCCCGCTGAAGAAGGTCGTAAAAATGTCGACGCAGATGGCACGACTACCGCCGCGGAGGGCGGTGTTCCTCCGGTTGAAGAGGCCAACGGAGACGCCGCAAATGAGCCACCGCTAGCCTCTGAGAAACTACAATCGCGCTTTAGAAATATCCTCACTCGGTACTTGGAAGACGTGAAAACGCATGTGGCTCGCGATCAAAAGGCACTCAGTGCTCAGAGTCGTCGCAACGCCGAAGCGTACGTCAAAAGTGGCGAAATTTTCGAGGATCGACAGGCAAATTTTGAGAAGCAATCTAAAGCGCATGAGAAACTAGTTGCCAATACACATGTTATGTGTGAAATACTTGGAGTTGAAATGCCTAATCTGGTTGACAAGGAGGCAGCAGACTCTTCAACAAGTGGGGCAATTGGCCTTGTCAAGACCGCTGAATATCTCCGTGGGCAAGGTGATGGAGCAGGCATTTGGGAAGACGAGGATGAGCGACGATTCTACGAGAATCTTGCAGATCTTAAGGGGAAAGTGCCTGCTGTGCTCTTGGAAGATGGCAAGAAAAAGAAAGGCGACGCCGACGACCAAGCGAAAGGACAAGACATCTCGGAGAAAGCAGATACTGTGACTGATGTATCTACGATAGAGGGGAAGCCTGCCGAAGCTGATAGTGAGTCAGTCGCAGTAGTTAACAAAACCGTTGGAGCCCAGGTAGATGCGCTTCTGGTCAAACTTCCCGACTTGCAAAACAAGGATCAAGTGGATCAACTTGCGCTAGACTTCTGCTTCTTGAACTCTAAAGCATCTCGGAACCGACTCATCAAGGCTATACAGGATATTCCTAAGGGTCGTACCGATCTACTGCCTTTCTATTCCCGCCTCGTGGCTACCCTTGGTCAGCATATGCCTGATGTCCCCCAGGGATTAATCACATATCTGGATGAAGAGTTCAGAAGCTTGCAGCGTCGCAAACAAAAGGAATTTCTCGGACAGGTCAGAATGATCAATATACGATACCTGGCTGAATTGACCAAATTTGGCGTCGTTCCCGAACATGTCATTTTCCACTGTCTTAAAGTGTGTCTAGACGACTTCTCTCGTACAAACATAGAGATAATGGGCAACCTGCTCGAGAATTGCGGCCGTTATCTACTACGAAGCCCGGAAACATCACCAAGAATGGCATCATTCTTGGAAACGCTGGGTCGCAAGAAAGCTGCCACTCATCTGGGCCAGCAGGAACGAATGATAATCGAGAATGCTATGTATTATGTTGACCCTCCGGAGCGGCCTGCTATTCGACAAAAAGAGCGTACGCCAATGGAGCTGTATATTCGGAAGTTGCTATATCTGGATATGAACAAACGCAACTATACCAAGATACTAAAATCTATCAGAAAACTTCACTGGGAAGAGTCAGAGGTAGATATGATCTACTCAGAGGATTAGCTCTAAGGGCATACTGATATTTTTATTCTGTTTTTAGGTTGTTGATATCCTTGAGCGCGTCTTCAGCAGGCCGAATAAGGTAAAGTACGGCAACATTCATTTGTTGGCCATTCTCGCTAGTGCGCTATACCGCTATCATCAAGAATTCGTCATTGGCGTTGTGGATAATGTTCTCGAGGCCATCACGTTGGGACTGGAGCAGAATGATTTCAAGTTCAACCAGAAGCGTGTCGCGGAAGTCAAATATCTCGGAGAACTCTACAACTACAAAATGATCGATTCTCCAGTAATATTTGATGCTCTGTACCGCATAGTTGCATTTGGACATGGTATGCCGATTGTCTCTGAGTTTGAAAATGTCGTGAAAGGCTAATGAAGAAAATTAGAACATGGAACTCCAACCCCGGGAAAAATAAATATCCTTGACATGCCGGACGATTTTTTCCGTATTCGCCTTGTTTGCACAGTACTCGACACATGTGGTGTTTGCTTTGACCGTGGATCGGCTAAGAAGAAGCTTGATTTTTTCCTCACCTTCTTTCAGGTATTGAATTTCTATGGAGGTGTTGTACCATTACTAATTGGTCACAGTATTACATCTTCACTAAGGATCCGCTGCCTATGGATGTCGAATTTCTCATTCAAGATACTTACTCTCTAGTTCGTCCTCAGTGGAAAGTCGCGCCTGATCTTGAAGAAGCAGGACGATTGTTCAGCGAAGCCATTGCCCAGAATTATAAAGTCCAGGATGGCGATAAAGGTGCCGAGGTAGAGGACGATGACGTTGAAAGTATCTCGTCTGATGCGAACGGCGAGGAAGGCCTTGATGAAGATGGTGTTCCTGATATTGACGACGCGCAATCCTCGACTGATGAAGTCGAACCTTTCGGTCAAAATATAGACCAAGATGGTGAAGGCGTTGAATCGGAATCAGAAGACGAGAAGATATTTGTTTCCCGCCAGGAAGAAGAGAGAGACCCTGAGGCGGAGGCCGATTTTGACCGGGCTTTTGAGAAAATGATGGCCGAAAGCATGGAAGGTAGAAGATTTGAGCGGAAGACTCTATTCGACATTCCCCTTCCTATGCGGCCGTCTCGCCGGGATCCCACCGCAGGTGAGGAGCCATCGACAGAGACGCAGCAACCGCCTAATACTATGGCATTCTCCCTGATGACGAAAAAGGGCAACCGACAGCAGGTTAGAATCCGATTAGATTATGCTTTATACCGGGCGAAAAGGTTAAATACTAACGTTCTATAGACTCGCACGATTGAGTTGCCGTCAGACTCCAGCTTTGCAGTCGCCATGAAAACGCAACAGCAGGCGGATCGAGAGGAGCAGCAACGTATCAAGAATCTCGTCCTAAGCTATGACCCCGGAGACACCGAACAACCCGAAGGTGAAGATGGACTTTCTTCCATTGCACAGGAACCCATTGTTACCCATGGAACCCGCTGTAAACCCAATAGGAATGCAAATGCTAAGAAGCCTCAAAACTGTTTAGAAAAACGACCGTCGCGTGACAGCAGAATGGACAAGTCGAATAAATCCGGATTTCGTGCACGCCGACTACAACTGAGCGATGTTGACTGGTAAGGTTCTATACATATGAATTCTTATAGCACGCCTGTTTGGGGACTGACACTAAATGGATGCCTCCAGGACTTGAAAGAAGTTGCATGCTGTGTGTGGTTCGCACTATTCAATCAATATTAGTTGTGATGATCACAAAGGAGGGAATGGTCTCGATCTTATTTTGAATTCTGGAGGAATATCAGACCAGCGATTCCTACTTATTCGATGGCAAGACGATCGAGTGGTTCCTCGTTAACGTCAGAAGGATCCGAAGAGTTGAAACGAGCCCTATCACACTCTGCATACGATACGAGGACGCGGATCTAGAGTATGTACTATGCACTCCATGTAACAAGCTAGCTAGCTTATCCTCGAATTTGGGATATGCGAGAGCAAGGATCAGTGAGAGGGTGGATGTAAGAATGAAGAGGGTGCAGTTGTCGATGGGGGAAGAAATTGAACTTCAGATGGAAGCTGTTCAAGTATGTATGCATCTCCATACCTAGGTATTTACTTAACTAGTATTACCCGGTAGAGTAGTTATTACTAGATGGAATACGTACAACCGCTATAAAACAAAAGCGATAGCGAACGCGTAGACAGTAACTATCAGGTAATGTACAAATATCTTTATTCTTTCTTGCAAAGGCTCAGTTCTATCTATTATCCCTCCTATTTTAATGATCTCGCTCATGCATGATGCAAGTAAGTCAGTAGTCCAAAATCAAGACGAAAGTAAAGGGGGAAAAATCGGTTGTACATTTTCTTTTTTAGTCGGAAATATGGGAGGAAAAAGAGGCGAAAGAAGAGAGGAGAATAACAATACATGATTTTGTATAGAACAGGGATAGGGATGGGCTGTATTCATTGTCGTCGTATTTGTCTTCTAGTTGCCTCTCTCCGTAGAAGTAATATTGACCGAATTTCTCTTCGCTCATAGTATTCAGATTTCCGAGGTGGGCGGTAAATGGTTCATTTTGAGGGTTAGACGAACGATAGGGTCCATTTATTATTTTTCGGTCTTCTTGGGAAGTCCGTCGCCGTTGCTTTCGTGCCATGATCTTGGGACAAGCTCTTCTTCTTGTTGAGAAGGTTGTGGTTCGGAGGCCTTGCGGATTTCTTCTATTTCGGCATGTTTCTCGGCTTCGTTTAGGCTGGAGACGGCAGGGTCTTGTAATGTGATTTTCCCTTCGGGGGGTTGTTGTTGTTGTTGTTGCTCCTTTTGTGCTTGCTCTTCTCGGTCTCGTTGCGCGATTTGTTCGGTTAATTGTTCGTCGACTTCATCTTCCTGGAGCTCGGAGCCGTAGATATCCGGGTGTAGGCGGAAGCAGTCTTGCATGCCCCTGTTGAAGGAAGTTAGTGGGTGTTTTGACATAATGAGAAAAAGGATACAGAGAAGAAAAGAAATAATAGTGGTGATATAGAGAGAGACAGACTTGAACTTTTCAATGCAGTCCATTCCCTTGGGCTCTTCAGTCGAGTAGACGAAGCAGCTGAACGCGGCTTTAAATTCCTCGCCACAAGGTCCATGGGCCATGCCGCCCAAGCATGGGCAGTCCCAATTGATTTCTCCAGTCTCCGGGTTGAAAGCACCTTCCTGGCCGGCCTGCGATTCTAGATCTTCTAGGTTTCCCTCTTGCTGCGGTTCGCTGTTGGGTTGTGAGGCCTCCTGCACATCGGTTGAGACAGGTTGTGTTTGTTGCGGTTGCTGGATGCCGGCTTTTTCACTGAGTGTGCTCAACGTTGGCGCATCTTGCGCATCGATGGGTTGTGGTCGAAGAGAGAGCGTGGGTTCTTCGGCGAAGACACTCGATGTGTTATAAAAGTAGATGGCACCGCCGGCCAAACCTAGACGTACCAATCGGTTTCTCCAGCTGCGCTGTTTCTGTGAAGGCGGGTTAGGAACAAAGGCGTTGCCTCCTTCGGTGCTCGCGAATCGCCTTTGAGCTGCAATGCGACTTGACACCGCGCACGAGTTGGATGTAGAGGCGGTGGTGCTACTGCGAAAGAGCAGCGTTGCACGTCTCGTGGTCGACTGACGCAACATGGTGGACCAATTGAGAAGAACAAAATCAAGAAAGCGTTAAGGAGGAAAAGGAAGGACCAGGAAGCCCTTTGATAGGGAATCAATCGGTGCTGCGTATGTTTGTTCCTTGCTCGTTTTGCAGGTGTGATTAATAATTGCGCAGCTCGTCTTTTTGAGGCGGAGAGAAGCGGACAGCCATGATCACGACCAGCACCAATTGGGTTAGGCTAGTGCTGGCCGGAGAAACCTGTCTCGCCGTTGCCCAGAGCCGCCTGTCATTGGCTGCTCCCGCGCATAGACAACGTCCGTGGATGCAGCTGCTAACATGACAGCTGGTGTATAGTTGCGAGTTACAGCTCTCGATAGATAGATCTCAATTGGATTGCAAGCCCAAGGGCATTGCGTTGTGGTATACGCAAAGATAACGACACCGACTTGCCAGTCTTGTCAACTCCTTAGTGCAACGGCTGCTGCGGTGCACGGCTTCAATTTCCAACAGTCCAAGGCTGATCCTTGTTGGTGTAACTCTCCTTCAACACCAGCTCCGGTTCTATAGCGACCATTACAAAGAAGGCCCAGCAGAAAGATCAATTCACTACTCTACCAGTTGCACTCCCAAGTTCGTTGAGCAGTCATTGAAGGACCAACCAAGTCCGACTGCATGTTCTGATTGGCCTGTCAGGCCATGCAATTTCCCGCCTGGCCCTGTACAAACCCGAACGGTCTGCTTGCAGGGCGTGGATAGGTCTCAGCCATGGCTTCACGCCTTATTGATAGTGAGACAGGCCATATGCCGTTGACGTTCGACGAGGACAATAGCAAGCCAATGATGGTCATCCTACCAATTACGCATAGTGCTCGGTGTAGAATGGAGCAAATCGTCAACCTACTGCAGAGGTCACTCGGCATGAAGTTCATAACAGACTCATTATTATCTATGTTGCCAGTCTCACAGCATGATATAGCCTCGCTCCATGCTGGGCTGTCATAGATTGCCCTAGGTATTGGCGCTATATGCCGGACTGGGACTGGGACTGGGTGACGGACAGGCGAGTCTCCTCGCCGTCAGCCAGAGACTCAGAGGGAGATATTCACCTTTGGCTATGATTTGATAGTGCGAGGACTGCCTGTCTTCAAACAAAAATAATATTAGAGTAATTATATATCCCGTGACTTGGGCCCAGACACGGCCGCTGATTGGCGCGCATCTGGCGCTAGTCCGTATCGAGGAAGGACCACCGGCAGCCCCCTTTCTCGCCTTCTGCCGTTGGCCGCCCGCGCCTTCTCCAGACAGTTTGTTAGTGAATTCTTGCTGTTTCCAAGTCTCCTGAGTTGCGTCTGTCTGTCTGTCTCTCTTTCTCCTTCTGCCTCCCCCCCGTGCTCTTTTTTTATTTCTCTTCTATCCCTTCGTTGTCTATTTTCGACAGCTTAATGCTCTCCAATTGAGCGCTTTTTTATTTCTTTTTATTTTTGAATTATCTATCCATTGTCTCTTCAGATATTCTCTTGGCTGCTGTCCTTTGTCTTACTCCTGACTGGGCAACCTTGGTCCACGGTACGTACGTCCCAACTCGAGCTCCGTCTCTCTGTCTCTCCCCCGCAGCACGCATATTTATCTGTTTTCTTGCTGGCTGTTTTGTGAATGGAAACAACAAAAAAAAAGAGATTGCAATTCGCTCCTGCATATTTCTGTCTCACCTGACTCACTCGCGCCTTCCTGTTTAACAAGCACCGCTGACATCAACCCGGAAGGAACAACCCTCCAGGACTTTCCCACCGTCCCGACGCTCGCTTCCCAAGACTTGAGTCTTTCTTCTTGCAATAATGGGTAAGCCATATTTTCCATCAACTTCACCATCACCGTCATCATCATCGTCTTCTGGGTCCATTATCGTCGAAGCCGAGAACGTTCAGGGGCTTGTTTGTGTGTATAGCTGTGTATCTTTGTTGGTTGGTTGCAACATAAGCTTCGGCAGCGTGATTGGGCGAGAGAGAAAGACAAAATGCCTGGTCCCAAATATCGCGTCGTTGGGGTCAAGTACCGTTCCAGCATCGATGGAAAAAGCACCCGCCTGTCGAGAACCGATATCAACGACCTCTATCACAGCACGTCGACTAGCTCTCAATCCCAGTCCCAGTCCCAGTCCACCCCACCTTCGCTGCCTTCTCCGTCTTTGATATCTGATGATAGCGACATGGAACGATTTGATTATACTAACTGGGATCTAGCAACCACAGCTATTAATGGCTCCGCTACGGCGCCTGGCGAAAAGCCCATCTCGCCTATCCCCAGCACCTCCAGCAAGGCTGCGTCACCATATGTCGAACGAAGCAACCCAATGGGCGGTTCTAGCAATGCTCAAACCGTGAGCTCCAAGGACCCCAAAGCCGTTGCACAAGCTGCCACAGACATGCGCAATGTCGTTCGCCGTAAATTGACCGGTTACGTCGGATTTGCCAATCTACCCAATCAGTGGCACCGCAAGAGTGTCCGCAAGGGATTCAACTTCAATGTCATGGTTGTTGGTAAGTAGAGACAAGGAAGAGAAGGAGGGAAGAGAATTATATAACTAATCCAATTCCGCTCGTCTCTAGGTGAATCTGGTCTCGGAAAGTCAACATTGATCAACACTCTGTTTAACACTTCCCTCTACCCACCCAAGGAGCGCAAGGGACCTAGCCATGATATCATCCCCAAGACTGTCTCTATCCAATCAATTAGTGCAGATATTGAAGAAAACGGAGTCCGTCTTCGGTTGACTGTTGTTGACACCCCAGGATTTGGTGACTTTGTCAACAACGATGACTCATGGAGACCCATTGTCGAAAATATCGAGCAGCGATTTGACGCTTACCTTGAAGCCGAGAACAAGGTAAACCGCATGAACATTGTTGACAACCGCGTTCATGCTTGTGTCTACTTTATTCAGCCTACCGGCCACTCCCTGAAGCCTCTCGATATTGAGGTCATGCGCCGTCTGCACACCAAGGTCAACTTGATTCCCGTTATCGCCAAGTCCGATACCCTTACCGACGAGGAGATTGCCCTATTCAAACAGAGGGTACGATATATCGTTTCCCTCAAGTCCTGTCTAAACTCATGCATACTAACCACGGTCTTCTCAATGTAGATCCTCGCCGATATCCAGTACCACTCCATTCAGATCTTTGAAGGTCCCCGCTACGAACTTGACGATGAAGAGACCATTGCTGAGAACCAGGAGATCATGTCAAAGGTTCCTTTCGCCATTGTTGGTGCTAACGCCGAGGTCACCAGCCCTGATGGACGTAAGGTCCGCGGTCGTCGGTACCCATGGGGTGTCATCGAGGTCGACAATGAGGAACACTGTGACTTCGTCAAGCTGCGCCAGATGCTTATCCGCACACACATGGAGGAACTCAAGGAACACACGAACAATGTCTTGTATGAGAACTACCGCTCCGACAAGCTTACCCAGATGGGTGTTGCTCAAGACCCCAGCGTCTTCAAGGAGGTCAACCCGGCGGTCAAGCAGGAGGAGGAACGCGCCCTGCACGAGCAGAAGCTCGCTAAGATGGAAACCGAAATGAAGATGGTCTTCGAGCAGAAGGTGCGCGAAAAGGAGAGCAAGCTGAAGCAAAGCGAAGACGAGCTGTATGCTCGCCATCGGGAGATGAAAGATCAACTGGAACGCCAGCGACAAGATCTAGAAGAGAAGAAGGCTCGTCTCGAGAGTGGACGGCCTATCGAAAAGGAGAGCAAGCGGAAGGGTTTCTCGCTCCGCTAGATTCTCCCAAGCTAAGGAACAGCGGGGAAGAACTGCCATTCCTCAAATGCGACGACCTAATTAATGGCGTGGGTTATTTTTACGTGGGGAGCTGGCTATGGAGACTGCACTCTTTTCCACTGTCTATTGATTTACTTGCTCACTCGTTCTTACATCTTTTTTTTTCCCTTGTCTATCTGCCTTCTTGCCGCTTACGCTCATTGACATCTCCTATTTTCGTCTACTAGTCTCCACTAATGACTGCTTGATATCGGCCCAACCGAGAAAAAGAATGTCTATTTTCTTTCCCTTCTCACTGTTTTTTTCCCCCACATTAAAAGAAAGACTCTTAATATCGGCATACCCGCGCCTTTTCATGTCGGAAGTGGGCTGCTCTACAGACACAAGCTTCTACAGTGAGATCTGCTTTTTTCTTTTCTTTTTTTCTGCAAACCTATTAAGATGGTATCCTACGTCCAGTCACTAGATTTATTCTCTTCTTTTCATGTAATTTCTTGGCCTGTATACCTCCTCGTCCGCCGTCTATTTCTTTCCTGTCCTTTGATTGTGTTTTTAGGTGCTCAATAAAATCGTATTTCTTCTTAAATCAATGGAGCGTTGCTACGTATCTCGATAGTAATAGTAAATGCAGTAGTGCGGCAGCCTGAGGCCGCACACTGCCGGAAAAGGACGTCATGGGCGAGCACTGACCAGCTGAGCTGGGCTGGCCAATCAGCTGCTTATCTTCCTTCCTCACCTTCCCCGAAGCATACTTGACCAGCCAGCCAGCCTCCCACATTGTCCGTACTACCAACACCTCCCGGCACAAAAGAACAGCACGGAAAAGAAAAGAAAAGAAAGAAACAAGAGAATTCCATCTGTGTGGTGTTCTCCCAATACGTATTTGAACTCACTTGCTCAACCCTTGTTTTTCTCTTTCATTTCTTCCTTCCTCTCAGCCGCTTCTCAGAAGATCCGCGATGGCTCCTCCACCTCCGGCCACCTTGCCTTTGGGCGACAGAATCAAGGCCTTGGCCCAGACTTTGCAGTATGTTGATGCTCTTATGGAGAGGAAAAATAATTGATTTGAGGATCTTGCTAATACTCATACCCTTAACAGGTTCGGTTGGTTCGTAGGGTATGTTCAACAAGCCTCACCGCACAAATGATCCTCGGCAGGATGCGTCACCGAATCGAGGGCAGCACGCATGGACGACGGAATCATTTGACAAGCAGAGAAACAAATCAAGCTGACATTATCTATTAAAAACAGCCACCTGACCCTTCTTTTGACAGTCTTCCGATATGGACTGTCCTATATCTTTTTCAACTATTACTCCCGCTGGGCCAAGATCTCCTACCGACTAGCTTTCGTTTCCGCCGCGGCTACTTATGGAATTGTGGTGTATAAGCAATATATTGCTCGAGGCAAGCTTTCTGGATCTCCTGTGCAGATCGCTTTTAAATTATTGAGCGATGAGAATGTTCAATATCTCGGTAAGGACTCCCGCCCCTCTTCCTTTTTTTTTTTTCTGAAAATTACAGTTCCAGCTCTTCATATATGCCCTAATTTTCTTTCCATTCCTTGCTTACCCATTTTGATTCAGGAATGGCCCTTGTGTGGCTCTACTCTCGCCAGGTTCCTCTGGCCCTCTTGCCCTTCAGCGTCTACTCCGTCTTCCACGTGGCCACTTATACTCGTACATACCTGCTTCCTACCTTGCAGCCAACCCCTCAGGGCAATACCGGACCGGCTTCCCCTGGTGGCTCACGCCAGACCACTAAGCAGTCACCCCTGGCAGAGAGCATTGGAAAGTTCGTCAAGCAGTACTACGATTCCAGCATGTACCTCGTCGCATCCCTCGAGCTTGGACTGCTTTTCCGCCTGGTTCTCTCCGCATTGACCTTCTCCAAGGGCAGCTGGGTTTTGTTGGTGATCTACTTGTCCTTCTTCCGTGCCCGTTACTCTCAGAGTTCTTTCGTCCAGAGCGCCGTGGCCCGATTCACTGCCCGCGTGGATACCTTGGTATCTCACCAGAGCACTCCTCCCCAGGTTCGTCAGGGCTGGGAATCCTTCAAGGGTGTCACTGGCCAGGTTTACGGAGCTACCGATATTAAACGCTACCTCGGCGGTGAACCGGCTGTTGCAGGCAAGAAGCCTCAGTAAACACTCCACACTCCGGAATGGGGTTGAGTGTATTGTGCAGCAACATCAATGCAATGCAAAGTAGCAATGCGTTGTTGCATGAAAAGAGCAACCTCGATGATCGGTAACTCCTATAACGATTGCATCTATTACGGCACGCATGAATGACATTTCTAAGCTGCAGCTCGACATGAGCGTTACAGCTATAGGAACTTTGGGGGGAGGGTGATCCAGCCAAAGTGGATAGGAAGCTGAATAGGCTTACATTACAAGCAGGGTCAGTTCTTACTTATCCTTAGACTATGAAGAAACAGGCTGTGGGAGGTCGTATTTTCCTTATCTGTAGCACGGTTGCGTACAATCAGTGAGGCGTGTTTGGCGTCGAGGGATGACCTTCTCTGTCAGATTAGTTTCTTTTTTCTTCCATCGTTTGGTTCAGAACACCTGGTTTCTATTCTTTTTTTTTTTTCCATGTTTTTTTGTTTATTGTTATCGCGCCTTGTCAATATTTTTTTTGCTTTGCACTGGTTGTGTGTTGTATACAGAGCGAGTGTTGAGTGTACGTACGTGGACGATTCTCGGTCAATGATACTCATTGGGGCCTAATTAAGTACTTCTTGCATAGTCTCATAGTGTAACCTATCAAATTCAGTCGACAGGTGAATAATTGACTGTAAAAAGTTGTAGTTAACTACACCACTGTAACTAACTTGCGAAATTAATAATGGGCCGGCGGGTCCGGACCGAGAAAACCATTCGCCGCAGAGTCAAACTCAACACCGGAAAAAGTCGTGAGCCATCGATCGCGTGCTGCAAATCCCATTGATCGAGTACCACATTGGATGTTCTGTCTGCCTTCTTGTTTCCTTTGTCTTTTCTTTTTTTTTCTTGCTTCATTTACCCCTCCCTCTTTTGTTCTCGTTTAGAATTTTCTTTGGCGACCTCGCCGGTCTTGTCGATTTCCGCTTGGCGCACTTTTAACATTTCGAGACACATATATACAATAGAATCCAACTGAGCGACGACAGACAGAACGGCGTCAAGGGATTGTCATGAGCCTCGACTCGCCATCGAAAGCGCCGGATATTATCAACCCCGCGGCGAACTCGAATGATTCCTCTTTCCAACACCTATCGTCCTCGTCACCTTCATCATCATCATCCTCCCACAGCGATTATCGTCATGATGAATCGCAACTGAATCATGCAGAGAACACCGGGTCGAAGCAATTATTGAATCGGATATTCAGCAACACTTTGGGATCGCAGACAATGGAATTTTCGCGGGAGTCCGTAGTGACGACCAAAGAAGATTATGGCGAACATGAAGAACGACCGCTATATATCCACGTATGTCTCTCTTTTACCATCTCCTTCTTCCCGCTGACGATACTGGTGATTGCGAACAGTCAATGCTGGCAGGCGGCATTGGAGGCTCATCCGGTGACATGCTCATGCATTCCCTCGATACGGTCAAAACTCGACAACAGGGGGACCCTCACTTTCCGCCAAAATATGGTTCGACGTCAGCGTCGTACTTGAAAATTTTTCGAGAGGAAGGGTTTCGACGCGGTCTTTATAGCGGTGTTAGTCCGGCGTTGATGGGCTCGTTTCCGGGGACGGTTATCTTCTTTGGCATGTATGAATGGTCCAAGAGGCATATGCTTGATGGGGGGCTCAATGCTACGTTGTCATATCTTTCTGCTGGTGAGTTTTCCCCCCTATTATCTCACTGGGCCGCTTCTAAGTAATCATCAAAATAGGCTTTGTTGCAGATCTGGCTGCGTCAGTGGTCTATGTGCCGTCAGAAGTTCTCAAAACGCGGTTACAGCTCCAGGGACGCTATAACAATCCATATTTCAACTCCGGATATAACTACCGAAGCACCCCGGATGCATTTCGTACGATTGTCCGCACAGAAGGGGTCAGAGCCATGTTCTCAGGCTATAGGGCTACCCTCTTTCGAGACCTACCATTCTCGGCTTTACAATTCGCTTTTTATGAGCAGGAACAAGAGTGGGCCAAGAGATGGACTGGAAGGAAGGATATTGGGCTGCCTCTTGAGGTTCTCACAGCTACAACGGCCGGTGGTATGGCGGGAGTTTTGACTTGTCCGTTGGACGTTGTCAAGACGAGGATTCAGACGCAACAAAATCCTGATTCGAAACCCTCACTGTCTTCGTCGTCATCGACGGAGCATATGTTGAAAAAGGATAGTCGCCCTCAAGCGCAGCATCAACAACAACATCAAACAGCAACACCATCAGCGTCATCATCCAAAACCCATTCACGACCAATCTCCACCTCCTCACCATCAACAACTACGCCTCAACCTGGTGCTCCCGTACTACACACGTCTTCGGTGTTCACGGGCTTGAGACTCATCTACAAAGCCGAAGGATTCGGTGGCTGGTTCCGTGGCGTTGGACCGCGAGCTGTCTGGACCAGTGTTCAAAGCGGCACGATGCTGGTTATGTATCAGTATCTGCTGAAGAAGCTTGAAGCAATGCAGCAGAGTGCAGAATCGGCACCAGTTATATGAAAGACCGCACCGTCCACTTGCACATCTACCATAGTCTATGACTGATCTGTCATTGACATTATCGTTTTTTCTTTTCCGCCTGCAGATTGAGCAGGCACATACATAATATAGATACATACCCTGCCCTTGGAGCGCGGTATGAGGCATGTTTGGCGTTTTTCTTTGCGGTTGGGACATGCGAATAGACTTGTTTGTATGTATGGTTGGATGTATTCCAATACACTTGTATATTACCTATTCACTACTTGATACTGTATAGATCTCTGCACGTTGTCCTCACTAACATAGTTGAATATAAAAGCGCGGAGTAAGAGTGGCTGGAATGGCGCGGGCCGAAAAAAGAAAACACGCTAGGCGCATGTAAACATTAAACAAGCACGCCGCCTTCCCGCCCGAACTCCTCCACCTCGACTAACCCCCCTCTGACCCTATACCCTATACCATACTCTGTATACTGCACTTCATCTTGTATACCAGCCCTCGAGTCTTGCACCCGGTTTACGGTCGCATGGTCTACGCGATTTAGATCCTTACTATATACCTTCTCTGCTATCCCAACCACCATGTCGTCCGCCGCTGGTCCTTACCTGCGCGGTCTGCGCAAGAGCCAACTGACCGAGCTCGCCGAAATATCCGATCTAAAAGAGTGCGTGTATTCTTTCTACTCCGTTCCTCCTGCCACAGTTGATCGCATAACGCGAACGAGAACGAAGCTAATGTTTGAATTCGTCCGCGAACAGTTATGCCGACCTCAAAAAGCCCGAGCTCGAACTCGCTTTGGACGACCATTTGCGCGCCAACAGCTCCATCTTTTCTGGCGAGAAGCGCCTTTCCGACTACTACAGACGTCTGTCGCAGCCTTCGCGCGTGTCATCACCGGTAAAGAAAGAGCCAAAGGCCGAGGCGTCTACTCCGTCCACCGAGGAAAAGAAGTCGTCGCGTAGACGCAAAACCTCTGTTGAAGCGTACGTCTCACCTCCCTCAGACTACTTTTGACGCGTCGCGTGGGTATACTGACTAGAAAGAACAACAGTGAGGAAAGCGACGGTGCAAAGACACCTGTGTCAACTACTGTTGCTGCTGTCGCCGCGCGCACTCCGGCACGCTCCCCATTGTCGTCGTTCGTGTCACTGCCACCGTCGCCTGCCGTCGTCACTGATGCCATTGATCGCCAGACGACCATTGTACGCGAGAAGGTGTCTACGGCGTGGACAAAGTCCGGCATCTCGGAGCGCAGGGACGCGCTGCGTTCTGCGCTGAGCAGTGTCAAGTCAATTGAAACCATTATTGTTGTTCTGGAATTGATCGGCTTGTTTCGCGAGTTGATTCCTTTGCGCTATCTGACAACCGTTCCCGCTGTTGAGACTGTCTCGACACCCGAGTTTTCCGTCAAGATCCCGGACTTTTTCATCCTGATTACGGGCGGTTTCTGGGCGCCATTCTTCCTTTGGGGCTTGACTAGCTTGGCCCTGCCATTGACTTTTGCCTATTTCTTCAATCTGAGCCTCAATGCGCAGTCTACCCATTCGCACAACACCCGTCGCGCTTCTGCGGTTGCGCAGGAACTGGCCAGCTTTGATCCCTTGGTGTATAACATTACCAAGGCCTTGATTGCATACTTTGTATATGCAAACCATTTCACTTTCTGGAATGCCTTTAGCCATTTCTCCGTGGAGAGAGTGAATGGGGCTATCCCTGGACAATGGACTGGTCTTGTCACGGGATCTGCCATTGGTATCCTTACCAGTTTGTACGAAGCTGTTTTGCGGAAGTGAATCAACTTCAATCTCATCTACGTGGAGTGGATTGCATTGGATTTACGAATCGGTACCTACTTCGTTACCAACACGTGCTTTGAGCACATCGTATTAGCAATTGGGGTTGAAATCCCCATTACAGACGTTTGGTTGAGGACTCGCTTTTATTATATATTTCTTGCACTGTTTTGGTTGATCCATGCCCCTGGTTTGTTGTTTCTAGGCGTTTTGGAGAGTTTTTCTTCTTTTTTTGTCTCCTCTTATATCTTATTTTCCTCCTTTTTTTTCTTTGCAATTGATTGAACAGGATAAGCACAGGAAAGAAGAAAAGAGACGGAGAAAAAGAAATGTTGAGCTGAGAAATGGAAAACACAATGCCATGCATATAAATAATGAATGCGGAGTTTGTGAATGGGAGGTATGGTCTGGGGATTTCCTTTCTTGTCTTGCTTATCTACTTGATCTGGTCAGACTTGAGTTTCAGAGTCCATGTTATTGGCGTTTGATAAGCTCTCTTGTAGTTGATGTTTCAGGTTGCTTTCCAGGCTGGTTGATGTTATGCTCCATGCTTTGTGTTTATGGGTTGGTTTTAAATTGGATATCCCTTCGCTTTCTGTTCGTGCACATTGATACTTGCCTCAAGTTGTATTCCGAGCTCGATGTGTTGATGTTGACGTGGTGATTTGATTTTGATATTGTTATGGTTATGTGCCCGACGCAATCGGTTTATGTATGTAGTCTAGCAGACGCAAGGTAGGATAGTGTAGACTGAGGTCGGTGCTATTTGTTTATTGCCAGCCAGGTATCAAGTTTATCTCGAAGCATTTCATGCATATCTTACCAGTCCGAGTAAGTTGTGAAGATGCTTCGGCTTTTCAGATCAGATCTATGATCCGCTTACAGACTAGATGTACACAGGCCATAGTCAGCTTCAACTTATTCATTTGAAAAGTATAGTATTATAGCAATATCAGCCCTGTATAGCGGATTGACCCTTCTTAAACCTCTCACCCAACTCAACCGTAAACAAGACCGCTCTTCCCCTCGCTTCGTCCACATCAACTCCAATCCGATCTGCGCGAATATGATTGCTAGTCGACAAATTCCCGCCTATCTCGGTGCGCCAGTCGGTGACGTCCCACTCAAAGCCGTGCAGGGAGATGAGCGTCGGCCCGGAGAGCGGGATTATGCCTACGTTCTCGGAGAAGACCCATTTTGAGTCTGTGCTCTCTGTTTCTCCGTTTCCGCCTTGTTGTTGTTGGTCTCGGCGGTGGGTGAGGGGTGTGTGAATGACGTTCTTGCCCGGGGGGAGGATAAATGATATGCTTTCTTCGGAAAGGAGGTATAGATCTCCTGCCGCTTGGCCTTTGGTCTTCTCTTTCTCCTCTGCCTCTTTCTTCTCTTCGTATGCGGCGTATAGGTGGTGAACTTGTGAAAAGCCCTGGTCCACTCTTCCCCCCAATCCGCCTAGGACGACGATATCGAGCTTTTGCGCCTGTTTCGGCTCGGTGCCTGTCGTTAATGATGATGACGACGAGGGTCCGGAAGATGTCATGTATAGATCATGGTTGTCTGATGTCACTGCTGGATTCTCCTGTGACATGATTGAGTGTGAATGCGCACGCAGGAATCGGAGGCATTTCATAAAGTCCGTCGAGTATTGATCTGGGTTGTACAAGACGGGGATTTTGTGTGAGGCGTAATGCGCGCGCACGTGTGGGTGAATCGAGTCAAGGTCGCCGATGATGCAGGAGGGGAGCTGTTAAAATTATACGTTCAATATGAATCTTTATAGTTCTCAATGTGGATGATCCGTACGTCGATATTCTCGACGGAGCGCGATTTCATCAGGTCATAGTACCGGTTTGCGCCGCCGTCAGCGAGGAGGATGTAGCATGCTGTGTACAGTATAGATTGTTAGTATCATGCATGGTAAGGCATGTAGATTGCTCTCTTATTCTTCGTCGTCGCCAATTGGGTATGCCATCTCGTCTAGGGAAGTGAGGTTCGCGCAAAAATTGGCGCGGGGTACTCAATTCAACATGGGCCACATACAGCGCCCTTCGCGTAAGTTTCAAATGGCCTCACATATTTTCAATAGCATGAAATTAAATGAGAATTGGCAAGAGATAAACATACCATGTCGCCGCGCAGCGTCAAAGGCGTTCTCATTGATGGGCTGGTTCAGTATCAATATCGCGTACGGGTTCGGCGGGATGATATCTGTTCGGAAGAACGACGCTGGATGCCACTCCATAGCAACTAGCAAATAGATAAACAAATAATGTCTTGATAAATGATCTATTTGTAGAATATTTCTGGACGACAAACGATGAGGCTTTCGGATTTCTGCGACGGAACGTCATAGATTATTGACTGACCCACTTGAATTGACCAACGAGACGCTGAGCCATAATCTATACAAATGCATCATTCATCACCCTTTAATGCGACTCCAGAACCAATGATACAAACTGCGCCATTCTACGGCATCATCTTCAACGTAGTCGCCAACTATTTCAGCCATTTCATGCGTGTCTTCAAAAGGAGAATATGCCGGCGGCGCATGTGACGACATATCAACGGCTGCATTCGTACTCGTCACCGACGAGACACCCTCTTTTACCGTCTCGGCCACGTCTTTGGCGCCTTCTCGCATGACCTCTGCATACTCTTCGGCTTGCAGGCGCGCTCGAATGATGAGTTCTTCAGGACTCGGGTACTTCTTCGTTAATATCAGCAATGCGTAGTAAGTATGTACGATTCCGGAGTGCACGGCGTCCTTGGTCAACATTGTAATTCCGTGTGAGAGAAACCCCTTCAGGACTTCTCCGATGAGACCGTCGTATAATGAACCGATGCCTTCTTCTGCGGCAATGGCTTGAAGACTCGTGAACAGATTGAATGCAAATGCTTTGCGTCGACTCTCTTGCCTATCATCTTTACCCCGAGATGGATCCGCTTGTACTCGCGTCTTGGCTAGCGAGACGGGGTATGTGATTGTAGAAGCGACTGATTTACTGATGGCTGCCAGCAGAAACGTCACTGTAGGCGGAGGATTACGTCGTTTGTGACGTGGAAGAAGCAAATATTTCAGGAATTCGTTCAAGAAGAACGTAATAGACGGGTTCAATGTCAAGACTAAACTCTCGGAATATCCAGACCAGAACCCAGGTATCCCCTTCTCAGCCATAATCTGCTCTGCGAGTTTCCTCGTAGAGATTGGTTCTGAATGGTTTGTAGAGGCTGCAGTTTGCTTTCTCGTCACTATGTTTGCTAAAGGTGTTGTCCATAGTTTCGAGAAGGCCCCTGCTAGCATACCGATAGCTAGCTCGTCCAAGATTGGTAATACAGCACGTTTTCTCCCGCTGGCCTTCATCCTCGAGTTGAGTCTTTGTTGTCGCAGGATAGTATATGCGAGGAAGAACAGGAAGGAGTCCGCTATTGTTTTCCACGTGTCGTCGCCCACACCAATGAAAAACCCCCTTATACCATCTTTTGCATAAATCCGGCGTGCTGCGTCCACAATGGCGTGATAGCCCGCCTGTTCAACACCGCTTTTGCTATTAGATTGAGCAGCCTTTTTTAATTGCATTCTAGTAACGATCAACTTCAATGGATATGTTGCAACATTCGACACGGCTGAGCCTGCGGCACCTGCAACAGCGTGTCCCAATGCTGGCAGAGCTGGGCCTCGTAGTGCAGCGACCTTCCAATCGCCATTCTGCCTGGAGCGTGCAGGGTATTCGTATTTGTGGTATAGCTCGAAGGCGTCCTGTTGGAGAAGGAGAGTAAGTCAGTTTGCGAGATAGCATGTGATGTTGGCTTCATAACATACAAGCCTTGCTTCATATGTTTTTCTGTCGTCGTCTGTCATAATGAAGTAGCAGGATAATCACGAGATATATGTATATAGAGGAAAATTAGATAACCAGCAGCTGACTGTAAATGGCTTGATGTCGGCAAGGTAGCCTGCTCACGCACTAGCCAGTGGCCGAGTAGCATCGTACTTGAGCTTCAACAACTGACATGTTCCATGAGCACTTAACAAAATAGTTCTGTTCACTCGATTGTTAATATAGCCTGAAAAATGGGAAGCAGACAGAGTTGCTTGAATGATGAAAAGCCGAGGTTGGAGATGCACGACGGCTACGTCATTCACGTCTGTCACATGCTCCTACACGTTCTTTCCTCCTCCAAGGCTTAAGCTGCATCAACCACCACTTTATTCTTCTCTATGAAATCGAAACAATTATGCAAACTCCTATCTGGAAGGTATGAAGAAGACATATAAATTGGAACTTATCTGATAGGTACTATAGAAGCATAAAACCCGCGATAACAAAGAGCATCCATCACTCGTTGAAATATCGATTGAGATCGCTTCCTGCGACCAAAAACCCTGCATCAGCGCGTAAACCCTCCGTCTGTGGGATTGCTGCGACGACGCGGCCGACATCATTATGATGTGCGATCATGAGCTCCTTGCAGCTCTCGCAGAGAAGTAAACCACACCCCTGAGCGTCCGGCGACGAGGGGTCAATATCGTCAGCGAATATGTCGACTATCTGAATGGTAGAACATTGGAAAAAGGCAGGGTTTATGCAGAAAGAGCACCATGGGTTGAGCTGTGGTCGTGTTCCTCTGCCCTTTTTGCGCTCATGCAGTCTGTTGAATGCCTTCTGGTAATCGAACCTGCGTGGATTCAAATTTGCTATGGAGGATATCTCATGGCCTGCGCAATTTAATACGTGCAATCGCTCGAGTGCACATATATTGCAAATGCGCGTTTGCTCCTGGCCTTCCTCACGGTGACCTCCTTCAATTTCCTCGAAAAAAGAGCCGTGGTCGATTACTTCCACTTGTCTTGACCCAAGGCCAAACATGCCGAAGGTGAAGTCTTTACAGAATTGGCATGGTACCCCGCAGTTATTGCCCAGTTCACAGTCAATGGGATGGGAGAAGGCTGTGCGAATATTTCGCACACCTCCACTGGACGGCTGCTCCTGCATGCATGCACCTTTTTTGCTTTCGTTATTGTCGCCCATATGCCCCATAGGTGCCTGCCCAGTTATATCATCATCATCTCCCAAATCAGCGAAAGCAGCAGCATGCAGTAGCTTATGCAGGAGCATCTTAGCACGTATCGACGAAAAGGAGAATTTCACAATACGCCTTTCGGGCGAAGTCGAACTTGATCGTTGCGCGACTTGTTTGTTCTTCTTTTTTCTGGACGACTCTTTTCTAGGTCGGTAATTCGCGTCATTTTCGTCATCATCCTGTATTTCCAGGTCCATTGCGTCCACGCCACGTGATTGTCGTACACGGAGGTTATAGGATGATCCGAGATAGGTTCCGAGGTTACTGTATTGCAGACCACGTCTTGTGAAACGGGCCTTAAATTTTCCGAATACTCGGAGGGCTTGTTCGAGTCTCTCCACGCTGTAGGGCTTGGTGGGCGTGAACTTTGCGCGCTGTCGCTTTGGACGAGCCGCTGTATCTCGTGACATGGCTGTTGGATGGAATTGAAGTGAACACTGTTTCCGAAGGATGTAACTAACAGTCATCAATGCCTTGAGGAATAGAACTAGCAAGAAGTATTGCTAGTGCAGCTCGGAGCAATTACATCAACAAAGTCAATTCCATAGGTCAATGTGTGTCACGGAGCAGCACTCACCGATTGGTGGTTTCGGTCAGCAGATTTGGAATGTATTTGTGTCTATTCAAGTCTCAGTAAGAGCCAAACCACTGCAGAGGATTCTGCTGCAAGCTGATTAAGTCACTTTGGATAGTTGCGGTGAGATCGGGATCAGGTCTTCAGAACGGTCTTCAGGATACTTCGGGATCATCTCATGCAGGTTAAAGATCAGGGGTCGGGCATGACATTTTGAGCTGCCACCTTCTCACAGCCTTTGAATCTATCACGAAGCACTTCCCTGCGAGTCAGTAGGGCCATTCTCACATCTCTCGCTATTTCGATAACATTGCGCAAGTGAGTTTTCCACTAGCATGTTTGGTGATCACCAAAAAATAACCATCGAAAAATATATGAATCAACTGGAACAGTCGCCTCCCGCTCTTATGTGCATTGAGGTATCTTGCCTTCAAACCATCAGCTTCACCTCACCTCACCTCACTTCGCCATAACTTCAAACCTCGGTACTTCAATATTCTAGTATTCGTCCTTGCGGGGATCAACACTACATAATCATGCCTAAAAGGGCAAACCCTGCATTCTTCAAACCTCCGCCAGAGACATTTTCAATGTTTGATGACCTCGTCGAAGACGATGACGACCGGATAGAGGAGGAGTCTGAAGGTAAGCCGATTCATTAGCTAAACCCATTTTATGCAAGCATATATGCCTTGCGTTCAATCCGCCAAAATTTCAATTTCTAGTACTTTTATACAACTGCTAACTAGCGAATCAAAAACCAGTTGTATCATCGACGCGTTCGCATAACCAAGGATTCAGAAATCTTTTCGCGGAACTGTTCAAGCCTCGACGTGATTCGGAGTATTCGGGAACTCGCGACGATTTCCATGTACGAAACGGACATGGGGCAGTTGAACAGACCCGGAAAAAGGATAATGATGAAGAAGGCGATGATGATGAGCCAGCGGTGTTCTTGAACAAATCCAGACGCTTACCTACGCTGACAGAAAAAGGGAGACGTCTTCCGAAGTATTTAAGAAACCCGACACGGCGATCTTCATATTCTCTTCCAGTTGCTATGAATGTTTTTCAGTCAACAGCTAGGCAGCGAAAAAGAATCGAGCAATTGCAACGCCTGGTGAATACTGAGGCAGAAGTTTGCAAGTATCTTGAAGAGTTTCCGACTGATACAGTGCTCTGTGGCAAACTTCTTCATATTCAAGCTTTCAAAGGCAGGCTTGAAGGAGGGGAAGACGAAGTTCTGAGCGGTGGCGAGGTCAAGCTTCTGCATGAGACTAGCAGGTTGCTTGAGAGACGACGGATTGCGAATCAGGAGAAAGCGTTCTTGAGAGAGGCTCAAGAGAAGATACGTTCCCGAGGAGGAGGGGGAGGAGGATCCAAGAACGTGAAGAGGAAAAACTTTAAGCGCGAAGAAACGGTGGTTCGATCTTCTTCCAACCCTTCGTCTAGTCTAGTGCGGAAGAGGTCATACTCGCCACCTCTTCATCCGACTACTAGTGGGAAAACGGTTTGCCAGGATTCAAAACGACAGAAATTTGTTAGTGACGATGTGGATGACGACAATGACGATGAGGAAGAAGAACACCGGGCGTATGGTGGTAAGACAATTGGCCACGTGGAAGCATTCAAAGTCGAACACTATGACGTTCACGCAGTACTCCAGGAACAGGAGGACGGCGAGGAAGGGAATGGCAAAAATGACGAGGAAAGTGAGGAGAGCGATGATAGCGATGGGAGCAGTGGTGACGAGACTGATTCTGATGGGGTATGATTGCATGTTTCTAGAACTCAGATACAATTGCCCAGCCTAATTTTACAAGAAAAAATTTCCTGGGCCTAAGACATGCTCACCGTAAAATCTACAGTCATCAGGCTTTATCAATAGAATATCAACATGACAACGCTAAGGGGTATAAGATGTAGCCCTGATTCGACCACATTTTCAATTTTCAACTTTTATTGGTATGTTTCCACGACGAAACCCTATAATAAACGGCTGAGAAAATGCATTGCGCTCGAGCAAATGCCGTTTGCACATGAAGAGGCCTCTATTTATCCCCCCAGACAGGCAAAAGAGATGGTAATGTTGCACTCATCTTTGCCTGGCTTGCCCCAAGGCAACTTTCAAGGTTCCGAATTGGGAGTCTTGATTGGGTACGTAGGTAGATAATGTGTCTGAGAAGAACCCCCCGTGATATAAAATCTCTGACCTCCTCCAGACTCTTCCTCTTTCACTCCTCCTCATCGCTCTGCTTCCAAGGTTGCTGCTGAAGAAAGCTTTCGATGATATTTCCCCTTTTACTTGAACTTCAACTTTTTATTTTAATTTGAAGGGTGTTGTATATTGACGTGAAATCATCTACAGAATCGCTAGGACATGCCTCATGGCCGTCTGATGTCCTCAAAGCCTTCGAAGACCTAGGACTGGTCTACTTCCATGAGTATAAAAAAGCAACGGCAATACAAACGGAAACGGCAAAAGCAAAACAAACACCCGGTTCAAGATCATTCTTTTTGTCCTCGAAGATTTCATAAAGATGGTCATATCTCATATTACTATTACTGTTCATTTGTTCATTTCGTTCATTCTCTCCGAGTTGGGATCACTGTTAATCATGACTACTAGTGTGCCGCACGTTCCTCTGGCCTCAAATAATAGTTTTGTTTTATAATTCTTACATACTTCCCTGAAAGATTTTCGAGAGAAAACATGCAAAAAACTCCATGCAAAGATCAACCTGCCAAAATCTTGAAACACTTTCATAGACCACCTACCAGCGGATTGGGAGCCGTGCATGTACCTATGAGTATTAGATGAATACCTTGAAGGAGAATTTATGGTCACTAGGCTAGGGAAAGCACAAGATTAAGATCTTGCATCTTCTTGCAATCTTACCAACCAATACCCGCAGAGAAAGATTTCCACATTTCACAAAACCATCAGATGATGGGCTCAGAGCCAACAAGTCCCTTGCTTATTGCAACAAACGCTGCAATTACTCTGAATCTCCATGCCAGTGACATGGCAGACATACCTACAAGGCTTTAAAAAAGTTGCGAGACTTACGGCAACTTTCTCCTGATGGTACCACAGATCTTGCCAGGCACTTTTTGAGTTATGACTGTGCGCTATGTATGAAATTCTGGCAATCGGGAACATGATACGTTTTATGACATGGTGCTAGGCTTTGACGGAATGATTCCGTATAAGGGTGGCTTCTACTACTAGATCGTCTTATGGGAAGACCAAACGCTGAAGGGCTAGAGAATCAGGATAGTGAAAACATTATTGAAACTCTGCGTCGTACTTCTAGTGAGTTGAAATATTCTAGAAATGGAAAAAGGTACAACGTGCCTATGTATAGGGAATCATCTAAATGGCTAGGAGCTCTACGTATCGCGAGTGAATTGTGTGGCCTGTGGGGATTTCTTAAACGCCATCACAAGAGAAGACTTGAACATTCCTTTTGTCGAGCGGCGACCGCTAGATGCCTACATGAATGGGACCGCGCGCCCGGGATAGCCTGGCATGGACTTTGGGAATAGGGGTTCCTCGCCCTTTCGAGTTGGTTATATTGAACGGTGGTAATTAACATAAGCAGATATTTATTTTCTATTTTCAAATTCGGAAAAAGGGTGCCTCCGACCTATTATAACTGGGATTTGTCTACCAAGGGAATAGCCAAGCAATGGATTCCCACGTCATGTAAGTAGAATGGTATGGTTGAAGGAGTGCCGCCATTTAGACATTGAGGCCATTCCCGAAGCCAGCTAGCCCTAGCCCTAGCCCTAGCCCTAAAAGCTCGGAGACAAGTCACAGGAACAGCTACATTAAAGGCGTAAAGTGTACGGTTCCTACGATTCCGACTCGGTCATAAATAACCAACACACGGACGTTACCCGCAGAAACAGGGTTTGACCGTGCAAGAGGAAGAGGGGTGAGGGGAGAGAGTGGCAGGGGCAGGGATAGCGAGCGATGGCGGTGAGACATAACCTGCGACATTGTGATGTCGCTATTTACTTTCCAGGGTGGATACCTAGAGACTCCAGAATAAGTGGGTTTAGAGTAGGGTGGACAATAGTATCGGGGATATTCTCCGTCGCAAGTTGGTAGTAATTACATCTAAGCGTTGGATCACCCACGAATGTATGCAATGCATCACCAAATGCTGCATGCTTTCTTTGACTCCTATTTCTGCGAACATGATACCTCTATCAGGTAATATTAAACGCACATCCAGGAGGACCGAGCTGTGCTTACAAGGGTAGGGTAAAAGGAGGCTTATATTTATCCCCCTACATAGGCTCGGAACACTTTGGTCGTAATAGGAAGCTGTCGTGGCTTTGGCGTCAACGACCTGGACGTACAGCAGAATAATCACCTGATATTGATGGGATTTGGGGTATATGATAGCTCACAAGCATTGTCAAAAGAAGCGCTACCCCGCAATATGAAGCCAAATGTAGCCAAATGTTTAGTTGGACTAGAATTATCCCTGAAATCCCCTCATTATTTGAGTAGTTGGGCGTAACCACCAGATAGTAGTACTATGTATGTATGTAGATGCTCGGACACTGGGCGAAGCGTTGAGTTGGCAGACCAGGGTCTTGCCCCGCAGATAAGGATGAAATTCGTCAGCCACATTGTTTTTTTTAAACTATGTTTTATCATCTGGGGGTGAGTCCCAGTTACACGATAGATTTAAGATATTGCATGTTGTCTGTGGTACGTATAATATGCCTGAGCATTCAGGCGCATACATATTATTGGGCGCTTTGACATGCTAAGCATGAAACATCCATACCTTGACCGCCATTGCATTCTCACTTTCATGTTGATGTCGAATAAAACTTTTTTCTTTCTTTTCTCATTTAATTGAAGTAGCCAACCAAGAGCATGTATACGAAACTGGTGTAGAGCAAAACAGGGAACCGTGGAAGCGCGCACGAATAAAACAGGGAACGAGACAAAGCCTAGACCGGGACGCACGTCTTGGAACTCTTAGCTGCATTAGTTCTCGGCCTAGGCCTGGAAGTCGTTTAGCACGAGTATGTAGTAAAATTTTCTGACTCTCACACCGATCAGCATGGCGTTATAAGGTTGTGGTGGCTGTATTGGCTGTTTTCCGTAGCTGTCGGACATACATGTGTGTATAGCTTCAAAGAAGTCTTTACAAACGTAGCTTAGGAACTTGATTGCCAGAGGTGAGTGCATAATATAGTAATACTATGACACTGAGAAATGGGGGCTGGACTGTGATTGGATGACGTGTTGTAGTCGGACATGCACTAACCGGTTTAGGTAAACAATCTATGATATCAACACGTATTCCATGCTTGATTGATAGGTAGTGTATACAGCATTTAATATGCTATGGTATAGATATTATTCCGAATATAAAGACGAACTGCCCGCCGTCCAGGCAGCATTGACCACCAAGTCAGTGCGCAGTCAATGCTCGCTTGAGGCATGCCTTCAACAAAACTTAGCGGATACTGCGGAGTATAAGCTCCATCAAGATGTGGCGGTATCACTCTCCAGAGTCTCCACCATGGGGTAGGTTGATGAACCGAGGATTGCCACTGTCTGCCGAGCGAGTGAATAGTTGATATTTAGATTTGTGATTCGCCAAGGCGTATTACGTATTGTTTCACGTCTATCGATCAGATAACAAGGGATGTCCGACAAAAGTATGACACCTCGTAAAAGGGTTTCACCGGAAGCAGATGCGTACTAGTAAGTTGATTGAATTGCAATTGTTATATGTGTGCACAGCCACTAGTCTCTGTTACTGTATTGGAAATAGACAGCTAATTAGCCTCCATTAGCCAGGCCTCCCTCTATCTGCTCAGACTTGTAGCCATTCACGATGGAGCAGACAAACAGTCGGATTGATCTCCTCCGTCATGGCCAAATCAAGGTTTGCTCTCCTAGTCTCGTCGGCGACAAGATGTTTTGCACTTTGCATGGCTAATGCGTACAGCCCTACGCTTGTTGCTGCACGTACTCCGTCCGGCGCGAGATATGCAGACCAGACCTGGTGACTGCCTACGTAGGCCGTAGGACAAAGTAGTAATTGTCTGACAGAGTACGGAGTATGTATGTATCTATCTTCACAGAATATCGTACACTGATGCCAAGATTTTTTATACTATGGATTATCAGTTACAACTTACGAGAGAATCAGTTGTGGTAAATGTAACTATTCACACTCCCTACAGCGTCGTTATGGCATATCCCAATATAGTAAACGGCGCGGTTGAGTCTAGACTGGGCTAATTGGTGACGTCATGGGAATTTGTGCCTTGGAAATTTGGCGCTAACATTCAGCAAGGAGACGACGAGATACTGATCATAGATGGCACGTGGTGTTTTCCATGTCATTGTCAGATCCAGAAAGATCCCTGACAATTAACGATTCAATGAGGTTGATCGATCTCCGAGGCGTTAATTGCTCTCCTCTGGGACGTCGGGATATATTTTGTCTATGTACGGAGTACTATATAAAGCAGGCGCCAAGTGGCGATATTAAAAAAGCGGGCGGGGCGGCCTTTATCTGGGCTCCATCCTGTGAGACAGTGGAAAATTAACAAAATCAAGGAAGTTTCTATCTATGCACTATGACCGGCATATAGCCAATCAGCATTGCCACTTGCCCTGCAGGGCTTCAACGTGCGACATAGAGGTGGCGTGATTATGTATTTAATGTATTGGCCAATACAGGAGGCGCGGCATTCCCGGAAAAACTACCGACTGAACACAGATATCCTCTATTCTTGTGCGTTGTACACAAATACAAACATATAGAGGGATGAGTCAACGTAAAAATTGTAATAGTTAAGTATATATATTATATAGATATGAATATGATATGACCATATGGTGTATATATCTAAAATACCGGCCATAGCCGCCCCCGGAGAATGTAACGATACCGTACCGTATGCTATCAAAGTTTTCCGGTGGGCCCATCTGCGCCCGCATGCATCGCTTACTGCTCAGAGTTCTATATACATCCTCCGTCTCTGGCTCTCGGTCAAGAGTGAAGAACCTTGGGAGCGTATATCGTATCCAAATACATTGACAAGAGGCGCATCTAGGCTAGAGCGGACAATGGTAATAATGATATGATATGGCGCCAATTTTCGCCGATACGGCTTGTACGGAGTACGCACGGCCCCAATGGCAGATCCTCTCCAGACCGGTCCATGTTTTTTCACCCTCCTTGTTATGGAATGGAACCTGCGATGGCGGGGGGATTCGCCCCCCCAAGAATCATTATCGTTGCATGCAGTGCAACGTGCGTTAGATACGGGAGTAATAGGACATGGATTAGAATGTTGGTTACGCATTGAGCACTGATATGCTATATTTTATTATATAATGAGATTGGGGCTGCGCTAACTAACTAACTAGTTAACTAGTTAGTCCTTATGTAAGTGGTCTAGTCTTCCAAACTATATTATTCGACTTCCCCCGGCCAGACATCCTCACCCGGATCTTCCGTACACTTCCTTTTTCTTCCTGTGCTCCCTTTCCTGAAGGGTCCAGGTGTGAGGCTGCTGTCAAAGGATGCTGGGAACATTCTGCCATATCAACGTGTGAGGTGAGTGGCGTCTGTTTTGCTCTCGTGTCCTATCATATCACCGTTATCTCTGCCGGTCACGTCAGTGTCGGGAAGTACAAGAAGTGGCTTCGATATGAATGGCCTGAGGTGTCTCCCTCACGAGGTTCATTCCTTCCTTCCTCGGCGTTGCCCCTCCTCTTTCCCCTTCACTATATACACCCTGCAATAACTCGATCAATTAATCAATCAATCACCGCATCTCTACTCACCGATTGCAAGGAAGACACTCTTGTGCATGCCATCTCTCTAACCCTCTCTCCAGGGTGGTTCCCATCCGACTTTGGCTGGACGAGCTCTCCTAGAGCGTCATAGAGGATGCCCTACACTTCACCGTCAGCGCCACTTGCGCAACCGCCAACCACAGCCTCAGAGGCGAATCCATCCGATTCGCTTTCCCATCCCCACACCCACTCGCATACGAACGAGTGTGCAAATACACACGCAAACGCACGCTCACTATCACTATCACTCCTACACGCACATCCTAATCGACCGCCGCTCTCGCGTTCGTACTCGTCGCAGTCCTATCTTCGCAGGCACCGACGCAGTCCCTCCTATAGCAAGGTGACACTTCCATCTGTGGGGGGAAAGTTAGACGATCATAGCTTCTTGACCAGTTCGACCGTCGGGACACAGTGGTAAGTTACGGGGGATACCATGACGGGAAAATGAATTGAGTTAACACAAGTCAAAAGGTCCATGTCCATTGACCCCCATGCAAGTCTTCGGCAGTCACCTCCACCCCGGAACAATGCCATCATTCCCTCAGGCGCCGTGATCTCGCCCCCCGAATCTGCTGGAAATTCGAGCGATGAGGAAGTATCGCCGACCGATGTCCGCCAGGTGGATCTAATAGACGCCGCCCTCAGGTCGCTCCAAGCTGAAAGAAAGAACCCAGATAGCCCGAATCAGGAAGACAGTGATAGTAACAAACGAACACCGGAAAGCAATGGAAACAAGGATGTGGCCCCAATACCAGCGCTCACGCTCGAAGCACGGAAAATCTCACACTCTCGCTCTACATCAACTGAGTCTAGCTTGGCTCTGATTTCCGATTCCGCAGAAACCTCCTCCGTCGACAGCGAACACGAGGAGGATGGCGAACGGGGCGCGAAACCACCAATGGTTCGTAAAAAGTCAGGTGAGCTCGTTCGTCCGGCATTGCGGTCGAAGCGGCGACCATCCAGCATGCCTGGCACCCCGGTATTCTCGAAGAACGTCCACTTCGATGCTCACTTGGAACATATCCGGCACTTCCTCCAACTTGATAAGCCACTGGCGGTTAGTGCCAACACCTCCCCAGTGGAGACATACAGTGAGGAGCACGAGTATCCTTTTGGTAGTAAAAAGGCTCAAAGCAGCATCGAATGGGAGATCAAAGTGCCCAACTTTCCTTCCAATGCAGCTGCCCGCCGAAAACACCAGCCCGTCCGCCTGGAGCGCATGTTTTTATCTGCTGACCAAAAGAACCTGGTGGGAGTGGTGTCTGTTGCCAACTTGGCTTTCCAAAAGAAAGTTGTTGCTCGCTTTACCGTTGATTATTGGAAGACAATCTCTGAAGTCACGGCCGAATATAATCATGATATCCGTCGCAAGCAGGCTCACGATGGATACGATCGGTTCGATTTTAATGTTCAACTATCTGATATCACGGATTTAGATAAAAAGACGCTTTTTGTCTGCATTCGCTATTCAGTGGATGGACAGGAATATTGGGACAACAATGACAGCATGAATTACCAAGTTGAATTCTCCAAGAGGGAGAAGACTCGATACCGTGAGCAGGAACAACAACAGATTCCGTCCACAAGGGACCACGGGCGAGCACTGCCACGGAGCAGAAACAGTCCTTTTATTGCGACTCGGCCACGTTCGATGCCTCCTGCAAGTTTTGATGACTTTAGGCAGTCTGATTCCAGCTTCCCTGCGTCGTTGGACGGCAGCAGCGGTCGACATGCCGATTCAGATTTCCACCTCACTGCAGCCGATTCTCACGATTGGCTTGTCGAAGTACCTAAGCCGCGAGAGAAACCGGCCTCACAGGCTTTTGGTGCTCGTTATGATTTCGGACTTTCACTTTCGGCAGCGAGAAGCAGCGGTGCGACCGAGGACCGCACCACGTTGTCGGCCAAAGCCAAATCACTGTCCTCGAGAGCCGAGAGCCCGACTACTGTACATGCGCACCCTCTACCGCCAAGGGGTGACAATACATTTCAACCATCTGCGATTGTTTCCAGCAAACCGCATCTGGAATCGCCTGTATATAAGGAATTGGTGGACAAATACTGTTTTGTAAGTCGGCGCTTTCTTCTGCTGAATGAAAACATACTAACGATGATACAGTTTAGCTCGACTAAAAAGGCAGATTCGGGACTGGCTGGCAGTCCCCTGAGTTCTAGTACGAACAACCCGGGCACTGCATCGCCGGAGGGCATACCTCGTGCCGACTCAGGAGTTGCAATGAGTCTACCATCGGACAGTCCGACTGGTTCTCCTTATAACAGTTCGCCAATTATATGCAACGCGCTGTACCGCGAGACTATCCCTCGATCACACAGCCCGTTTCTCCCCGAGTCTCAGCCTGCTGCTATTCTCGGTTGACGCTAGACCCTTCGTTCCTCGCACAATCTTATGCTCGAGATTGTGGAAATATTTTCCAATCATAACGCTAATACATATTCTTGACTTCGAGATACCTATGAGCATTTCTGTGGCCGTTATATCTATATTCTTATTGTCTAATGCATTATACTGCCATTCCGTCGGAAGTTTGATTTGGCGTTTGTTCTTTCTGCATTGTTTCTGCACGGAGTTTGGAAAAATGGGACGTTGTTTTTGTCTGTTTTTGCTTGGGTTATACTTATGTGTTATGCGGCGTTTAGATATTGTTATCATGCTGGTTGCTGACGAGACGGACGAGCTATGAGATAAGAGTTATGGTATACATAGCATGCGTTATAATATATGTTTATTCAGTGTATAGAAAATAAGTCATGAATTATGGATTATGGAACAATATAGAGTAACTACTCTGAACATCCAACGTATTTCCCGGGTAAACCGCGCACCTGTAATTCCTATACAAAATAGACACTTTTACCCCCCTGTAAATTCCACAAATTTATATATAAACTAGACTTGAAAAGTTTATATATCAAATAATATTCATATACTATTATATATATAGCTTTATAGGTTCTATATATCTTATAAACCCTTTCGTATTAAAAATTACAATAATTACTAGCGTGTTTCTTATTGTCTTAACAAATCTATAGATAGATTCTTATTATTTTTTATACATGAGCTCTTATATATATTATCTAATATATTAACTTTTTAGATCTACTTTATATATAAATTTGTGGAATTTACAGGGGGGTAAAAATGTCTATTTTGTATAGGAATTACAGGTGCGCGGTTTACCCGGGAAATACGTTCTAAGCCCAAGAGCCGCCAGTCGAGGGGCAAGTCACATGTCTGACCAGTCCCGATGCGGCCTAGTCTACCCGCGGCCCTCAAAGCCAACGCAACAACGTGATTGGCCGCGTTAAAGCGCAAAAACGCAGGCCGCAAAGCAGCACATCATAACAGCAGTTTGAGCCGCCAATCAGCGGGCCTGCACTTCATTCTTGCTTGTTTTCCTGGCTTAGTCATTCTGCCCTTTCTGCCTTTCTGCCTTAGGGATCTGGTTCGTTAGTTTCGGTCCTATTTAAACAGGCTGGCTTTCCCACTTTTCTTTCCGACTTTCTCCTTCTTTCTCTCCTCTCGTTTTTACCGCGCTCGAACCGGTTGATTTTCATCACTTTCCATCGATTTTCATTAATCTTCATCGATTTTTTTTTATCAGGTTTTCGATTATCTTTCATTCCTCTTCATCATGACTGGTCGTAAGTAGTTATTTTATTTTATTTTATATTTATCTGCCCCTTACTCGTGATCGATGGAATCGATATTATTGATGTTGACGGCGTCGCGTGGTGATGACTGCATTACATAAGCAACGCGTGTCGCCTACACCTACCATCCATCACCTGTCCTTACCTATCCTACCTATATCGTTATTATTATTTTATTCTTGATCTTCATATAGAATATACTAACCGTCTCTTCAGGTGGAAAAGGTGGCAAGGGCCTCGGCAAGGGCGGTGCCAAGCGTCATCGCAAGATTCTGCGCGACAACATCCAGGGTATCACGAAGCCTGCCATCCGCCGTCTGGCGCGTCGTGGTGGTGTCAAGCGTATCTCTGCTAGTACGTTTCCCTCTCATCCTTCCAACGAATAAGTATATATAGTATTCTAACGTGTCATCTTTTCTAGTGATCTACGAGGAAACCCGTGGTGTTCTCAAGACCTTCCTTGAATCCGTCATCCGTGATGCTGTCACTTACACCGAACACGCCAAGCGCAAGACCGTTACCTCGCTGGATGTTGTCTATGCCTTGAAACGCCAGGGACGTACTTTGTACGGTTTCGGTGGTTAAACGCGTGTGTGTGTCTCCTCGGTTTATGTCACGATGGTGTTAATATCATCTCTGTCTGTTGTCGTTTAAGATGGATAGATATATATGGTATAACCGTCGAATGAATGCTTGTTTCTATATGTTTGGGTTTGGTTTTATTGCTTCCTTTTAAACTGGTTTGCTCGGTTTGGTTTGGGTCTGGTTCGGCTGGTCGTTGGGTCGGATGGTGTGCTTATTACTTTACTGCTTTATTACATTACAGAATGAATCCGTTTTTTTTTGTGTGTGTGTTTATTTTTCTTTTTCATATTCTAAGAGAGTTGTAATGATGAGTTGGAATAGATTATTATTCTAACATAGTAGATCCCTATATCCATGATTGAAATCGAGGTATCTGCCCAAACGCCGATAATATGTGTAACTTTTGTAGTCAAGCATCGCGAGGTGGTATCGCAGTAGAAACGAATAAAAAAGGTCGTATCGATCGTGGATTTCAGTTTGGTTTTTTTCGTGTTGCTTTTGTGTTTGATTTGATTTGATTTAAGGCTTCATCAGCCAGCCGTGTTGGTTGTATACACGGAGTGCGTATCTATTTCAACGAGAAAACCGTGGCCGCAGCCTTGAACATGCTTAGACGCTTCTTCTGCCCGGGAGTCGCAGTGCTCTGCTGCATGTTCCTCTTCTTGTTGTCTTGCTCATCAAGGGATGTGCGAGTAGACGAAGTGGTGCTGCCAGAAGTAGGTGTTGTGCTACCGCTCTTTCTTGCGGCGGCGAGCTTGAGAGCGAGAGCCAGTTGGGTGTCGGAGCCGTCGAATTCGCTGCGAGTGATGGTGGGAGCGTGGAGGCCGTACATTTTGATGCAGATTGATATTATGGATAGGTTGTGTTGGTTGAGTTGGTTGATTGTGGTAGTTATCGAGGATTGAAGATAGTAAATATAGTAGTGCTTTGGTTGCCTTTTGACTCTTTGATGATGATGGAGATGATGATGATGATGAGACAGCTCGACAGGAATTTACTCTCCTTATATACTTGCCATTTCTCTATACTCTACCTAGTATACAGAAAATTTATGCTCATTCCGTAGCTATTCCACTCGAGTCCGAGACGACGATCCAGACGAGCCTCAGCACAACCAATCAAATGGCCCAATTGAGCCTCGAGTATACTTTCTATTAGTCACGTCAGGCAACTCGCATGATTTTCGACTTTGTGGAGAGAGGCTATTCGCGGAGTTGGGCATTTTGTCTAATTCCGAGAGTTCCGACGACTATTCCGAGGGCAGTGCTAGGTCCACTTTTGCTAGCCCTATACTTCCGCCTAAGCCTCGAGCCTCACGGAGAGACTGGCTGGAACGTTTGTTTGTGCCTGGAATACGAATATCCTGACTCACTTGTAAGCCTCGACGTCATTTTGTCTGTTCCTCACCTGTCTCATGATGACTGGCATGTGCTAGAAGCGGCTGCCTGCTGTGATTTCTAATTCGTTTTATAGTCAGTCAAGATAATTAAAATCATATGTTATTTGTATAGATTTATTGCTTAGTTATGCGTAGCTAGTTATGACAAATTATGTACCCGGGTGAACAGTGACACTCCTCTGGACGCATATCCTCGGGACATGTTAGGCGGTTTTTACGTCTTTGATACCCGATTGATATTTACAGTGAACAGTTGCCATGCCATCCATCATAGTTATGAAGGTATGGAGATCATGGCAAAAATGACAGAAAAATATTTTCTTCGTATACACAACATCGAGGATCTGCAGCTTGAATAGAAATTCTTCGGTACACTCCGACACTAAACCGCTTGAGGACTAGCTCCATAGACTTGCGTCGGGCCATCCGTGTGAAAAATTGTTGAAATTCCGATTTACTCTTGAGTACTCCGTTGTGGAATACGATTGAGATCCTAAGACTTCCCCGAAAAACAGATATTCGTTATTGATGGGTAGTTGGATAGATGGCCATATGGGCTTGTTTCAATGTAGTGAGACAGAGGTTTATGTTTCAGGTTTTCTAGGATGGAAAAGACTTAATCGCAACCAGGACACGTGACATTCCATGCCCTAACACATCTCCAAGCTGACATTCACATAAAGCAACGAGCAGACAAGGTCTGCACGAAATGTCTGGTTTTGTATGAAAACAAACAAATATACAGCTGCCTAGGCATCGGTTCATGTTCCAGAAGTAGACCTCAGACAGCAAAGTTCCTGCGCGTTGTCTGCACCAAATCCTGCGGTCCCTCACAAAACATAATCTTCAACTCGGGCTGGACACTAGCTTGCCTAAAAACCACAGAGACCATCTTTTCGAAAAGAACGGTGAACTCGACACGCCCTCTAGTACACCATCCAAATATGACTCCATCCCATGCATTTCCTTGGATGGTCTTCTGAAGACATTCCAATGTCTCTGGTACATTAGTCGGGTCCACGGTGAAGCCGACATTATCAAACTTGTCTGCGATGTCTCGCGCCTTGTCCTTTACCCAGTCTGCCTTGACGACTTCGCTGATGGGGCGACCGGAGAGGTATTGGCTGGCGCTGAGGATGAGGATAGATTTGCGCGCTGCGTTGCCGCTGTTTCTGACGATGCTGCTCATGGTGAAGGAATTTGAGGTTCGCGGCTGTAAATGTAGGTATGTATTTTCAATGAAGTCTAATATTTTAAGTGCATATTAAAGAAAATAGCACATGGACAACGGACAGTTTTTATATCCTGCCACCTAGATATGTAGTTTGGGCTTCGTGGTGGTGAAGCTAATTAGCGTCGGCCGCCCGCTGGAGACTGCGGCCGCTCATGTGTGGAATCATGAATGTAGCCCTCTCAATGCCCCGGTTCGTTGCATGAGCTTGAGTCAGCAATAAATGTCGTTTCCTGATGATTACAGCTAAATGCCTAGCATAGCTTATCTCGGATGAAAGGTTTTTCAGTGAATAAAATCAATTCGGCATATACTAATACTGAGTATTGCCCAAGTGAAGCCAACTTGGCTCGGAGGCCATATTGCTAACTGTCAAACCAAGTAGAGTCTAAGTTTTCAGATATAGATTAATAGTGTAAACTTCTACACCTTGAGCCCCCCAAGAGGCACACCTAAAGAGCTCATAGTAATAGGATAATTTCGCCGTTCGCTTCTCTTGTACAGGACTGAATGCCATATCGCGGTGTACACAAGCTAAATGAAAAATCAAATTAACCGTGAATTGAAAGGCAATAATGGAAGAAATTCCTCACTTCCAACAGGCAAATACGGTGCAGTATGTGTGGCAGGTCTGCACAAAGTCCTCTATCAGTTTACCCTTGGACTGGTGAAGTAACTCTTTGTCGAGTCGAGATAGTCGCTCAATGGCTTCGTTAAAGACGGACACTGCCGAGTCCATTGCGCCCTGGACAGATTGTCCGTCCCTGATGTGCAGGAAATGAGACTACAGATTTTGTTGTTTTTCTGAACGTCGACACTAAATAAGTATTTAATCATTTGTCTGAGACTTTCGGGTGACGGAAAGAACGATTTCCTTTCTGAGAGATAGAATGTCATTTGTTCTGTGATTGTGTGCTAATACTATTTTATGACCAACATACTTCTTGACCTTACACAGACACAATGACATTTGTGACATGGGAGATCTCTTCTACGAGATTGTGACGAATGACGGATGTATGGAGGCATGACTGAAAGCCTAGTCTTGATGACGGACCACATATTAGCTGGATGAACATGGAAGCTGTCCTCGTTGTTGGTTCTACGGGCAACCTTGGCGTCTCCGCCGTGATTGGTGCCTTACGCTCTCAACGCGCCGTCCTCGCTATCGTGCGCAACGAAGCCTCTGCTGAAAAGCTGTACAAGCATGTCGGGACTCGAGAAGGAATCACCACCGTTGAGACCGACATCACGTTAGATTACGGAGTTCAAAGTGTTGTAGACCAGGTCAAGGCCGGCAAATTGTCAGCATTTCAACACGTTTATTCCGCAGGTATGGTCCATGTGGCAGTTGAACATTTTCTCGGAAGCCATGCTAATGTATGTGGTTTCGCAAGCGGGTGGAGTGTATGGCGCATCACCTCTGCATGAGGTTGGCACGGAAGAGCTGCACCTGGAGCCTCTGCACTGGTGCGATGGGCGAATTTGGCCTATGAGCTACTCTAGCACTCACACAGGGCGCGCTTTACTCTATAGCCAATGTGGCATGCTGCCACAATGAAGAAACGAATGTGCGTTTCAATGAAGTGCAGGCTAGCAACCTACGACAAATGAATGCACATTCTCCGTTTGCCATAGTCATCTGTGCAAGGAGTTTGTCAACTTCCTTCTTAGCATCTAGGCAGGTACACCACCATCAAGCGGTACTCCTTCTCTACAGACACATTTACGAGCCACCGCATCTTGCGAATCTTGACCCCGTTTAACTGGCTAAAGACTGTAAAACCCATCTCGTCGGTCACTACCCCGCGATAACCTCCTCGTGCGCCCGAAGGCGAGCAATTCGGCACGTTTTTATGTCCCCAAGGTATCCGATTTGAAGGATCTCACCCGTGAAGAGTTGACGGAGGCCATCCAGACCGAACGAATCTCTCCTCCCTCAGATTGTGCGGAAGAGAAGATGAAAGTCTATGCCCACACAAATCCCCGTATTTCAGGGGAAATGAGGCATTGTTGGAGACAAAATTTGACAAGTCCGGCGGCGGAGGTAGGTCAAATACATCTCTGTTCTGTGTTTGACATTGACTGACCAGAAAATCAGATCTGAAAGAGGGTTACACTATTGGCGAAGACATTAATGAGCCGGAGTAAGATGTGCCTGCCAACCTTGACCACTCTCTATACCCTAATGAGCCTATGAATCAATGGCCAAGGACCCCTAAAGACTTTCGGAAAGTAATGTGCGAGTGTCAAAGTGCGCTCCTATCATTTTCAAGAGAACTTCTACGATTCGTCTCAATATCCCTGGATATGGAGGAAGACTTCTTCAACAAGCTGACGGAGTTTCCTATGGCTGCGCTTCGTCCGCTGCATTATCCTCCTCAGGAGCTTACTTCGGAGGTTGGTATTGACGCTCATGCGGATTATTCTTGTAGGCGATTTACATCCTGCTGCATCTAAACATCTACGAATTTTTGTAACTCTTAACGGTTCACACTCTCGTCAACCAACTGAGTCCAATACCAGCACTAGAAGTCCTGAACCACAACGGCCACTGGATCAGTGCGCCACCAGTCCCGAACACCCTAGTTGTAAACGTTGAAGACTTCCTCAAACGTGCCACGAATGAACATATTCCAAAGCACCGTCCACCGAGTAGTAAATCGTTCCCCACTTGAGGATCGGTACTCTATCCCATACGTCTTTAACCCAACCCAGGGGACCGTCATTGAAACCATTCCGACTTGCATCACCGCCGAGCGACCTGCACAGTATGAGCCCATGCCAGTTTTGAATTGGCAGACGAAGAAAAAGTTGTTGATGGCTCAGCAAAAGCAAGCCACTGCTACTAGCAACAATGAGTAGTAAGATGTGAGAGACTTTAGGGATTGCTTGGTAATAATGCTTGGTTAATCAGGAAGAACTTTTGTTATCGTATTGGCGCGCAGGCTATTCTTGGGGTTCTGATTGTGGATGCAAGGCAGATATGTCAATCGATGATTTGTTGAGGAGTTATTGAAACTGGTCTTATCGCATATATAATCAGTTGCTAGGCCGACTTGACTTCGACTAGTCGAATAATGGACCAATTAGATGAAAACACTTGTAATAACGAGGGGCTTGAAATCTTCAAAGCTGAGGGCATTCCTCTTAGTAAATTGGGTGCAAATTTGACAATTACACAGAACTATCTGAATCATCAAGAATTTGCAATTCATTCTCAACCAAGTAACGCAGGGTAAAATTACCACGCTATATCCAACACAAACAGCTTGACTTGAGTTAGCCATTCCGCAATTAATCTAGTCCGGATCAGATCAAATGTGACCTCCATCATCTTCATCTTTGTACCAACTTCTAATATTTGCCTAGTCAAGTGCTCTATTATCCTTGCCATTTATTTACCATCCTCTTGCTTCTTTCCTTGCCATCGCAACATCAACTTCGCTTTGGCGGCTCCCCACGTTGGCAGCCTCTTTGCGGAGTATACTGGAAAAAATGAGATCCCAACCAGCATCCCACGGCAGAAGACGTGATAAGCCCGTTTTGAGCTGTTCCTTCTGCAGAACACGCAAGTGAGTATATCTCTTTTGCGGTGATAAATCATACAAGGCCAAGACCCAACGTGTTGAGACTCTTCAGATTGCGTTGCGACAGACAATCTCCGTGTAGCTCTTGCTTAAGACGTGGCAAGCCGGAGGAGTGCACATACAGCTCCTCGGAACAAGAGCGTAAATATGCAGTCGATTATAGGCCACATTATGGAAGCCAACATGCCCGTGAGAGAGTCGCTCACCTTGAGAAGCTTCTGACCGAGATGAGAGACCAAATGAGGGTTATGGAGCGGAGTTCCCTCGAGGTTTCGGGTATTCTAGCATCATCACCCGAGCCTTTTCACGACTCTGAATCACGGCTTGCTCCTCGGAACGGCCATGTAGCGGACACTGTGGGGAAACTAACCGTCACCGATGACCATGCCGTCTATATCGGCAGCACGCACTGGGTCACCATCTTAGAGGAGGTAAGTTTTGGTTCTCAGATTTCCATGTATTGTCCGGTGACCTTTTCATTTTCCAGATCCAAATTCTCAAAGATGAACTGTCTGATGACCACTCGGAAGCCGTCAGAAGTCGAGAGTCGACTGTATTCGATGCCCCTTCAACAGACGAGCCCCCAGCAACCAGGATATCGCTTCTCTCGAGTCACCCTTCTCTTACAAAAGAGCATATCCTGGCCATGATGCCTCCGCGTAGGGTAGTTGATAGACATGTTTCTCACTTCTTCAATGCTTTTGACTTTGCCTCCTGTAAGTTCCTGGATGGATCCTTGAACCTTGGACGGCATCTTGTCTTTGTTAACGCAGTTTAGGCATTCTTTATCGGAGGAAATTCCTCACAGAGGTCAGATATCCCTATAGCCGCATTTATTACTTCTTTTCTTTTCATGGCTCATTTTTCTGCATGTAGTATTCAAACTTCTGGGAGAATCCTTCGGCTGCTCCCATCATGTGGGTAGGACTCTTGTTCAGTGTGATGGGCATTTCCGCATTCGTCCAACAGCAAGATGTTGCAACTCGTGGCCTATATGCTGCGGAGACACAGGAGATGATTGAGACCTATCGAACTCTTACTATCCACTGTCTGGTCGCTGGAGATTATCTGCGACCGAACCGATACACCATCGAAACACTGACCTTGCATTTTGCCGTTGACCAAAACATGAATCTCAATACAGATACTGGCAACTGGATTCTAATCGGTGTAATCATTCGGCTTGCTTTGCGTATAGGGCTGCACCGTGATCCATCCCACTGGCCAAATGTTCGACCCCTAGAAGCAGAATTCCGACGGCGGCTCTGGATTACACTATATCATATGGATTTCTTCACGAGCGCCCGAGTTGGGCTGCCACGTATCATCAAGGACTCTCAGTGTGATACACGCCCACCGGTAAATTTATTCGAGGATGATCTGAGCTTCGAACATAATGAAGTACCGCCTGAGCGGCCATTAACCAGTCCTTCTCCACTCTCACATATTATCCAGCGACATACAATCATCAAGGTAGCAGCAGAGATATATGACGCGACTGAAGCAAGGCTGCCATCATCCGCCACTATTGCTATGCTAGATGCCAAATTTGAAAGAGCCATCAACTCCATACCCGAACAGTCGAAGTATCGATCGCTTGAAACATCAATTGCGGATAACCCTACTATGATCCTACACAGAATGTTTATGGACATTCTTATAAACAAGGCCGTTTATCTCCTTCACCGACGGAGCTTCATGAAAGGCTCCGCGGAAGAAGAAACCACGAGGTCTAGAAAGCTGTGCATCAATGCTGCCTTAATGATTCTGGAACATCAACGAAAAATGAGCGAGGAGACTCAGCCGGGAGGCATTATGTTTGGTGTCCGCTGGCGTGTTGCTTCATCACTTAACCATGAGTTTCTACAAGCTACGATGATGCTATGTTTTGCTCTGAGTCGATTCCATGAGGGTCACGTTGGTCAGCCTCAATCTGGCACTTTCCATCGGCGAGGTGAAATTTTAGAGGCATTAACCATTGCAAAATCTCTGTGGGAAAAGGATGCCGATCGGTCTGCAGAGGCGCACAGGGCAGCAAAGGCTATCACCTCCGTGCTCAAGCAGGATTTCGACAGGTCAAGCTCGCCTATTTTGATTCCTTCAGATGGGGCAGAGAATACGCAAATGCGCGAGCAGCCCGCTACTATTGATCACCCGACTGGGTTTTGTGAACAGGGTTATCTTGATGGTTTTGACTCTGAGCAGATTATGATTTCGGATCCTCCATTCTCTGCAATTGATGACACGGTGACATTTGGGAGCTTGTGGGAGGACTTCGTAGCTGAGCCTGTAGAGGGGAATTGGGCGGGGATGTATTGAATGCATCGGATCTTGAATGAAGTTATTTAGACTCTACGATCTTAACTTCGCCTTTGACCAAAGAGTCCTCTACTAATTACATAACAGTATCTATAAGTCGAGACATTTAACTATCCTTCTTCAGAACCAATTCCGATTTCTTCTCCTTGAACTTCAGCTCTTTCATATCTTCTTCTTCGAAAATACTTGTCTGAGTACTTTGGATCTTAGACTGGGTGAGGATCTCCTGAAAAGTCAGTGAAAATTGATGCTTTTAAAAACCCTGTTTCTCTGCTGACTCGTCCACTTCCACATATAAGCTGAGATAAACCTTATTGAATTGTATATTTATTTATTTTTTATTATAATAGACTATATTAGCTAGGGAATAGAGTGTATTTTGTGTAAGTGCTAGTGCAGCATATGTATTAAGATCACTTATTATGCCAGTGCAGAGAGTCTAGGTACTATTTGGAGTGTTTTGTTCCAGCAGATATAGGATTCTGGTTTGGTAAGTAACTATATATAGAATTAGCTTGAGTTTATAGGGCTTTGCTGTGTGAAGGTGAAGGAAGATGTATAGAAATTAGATTCAAGGTTGATCTTTATGTAATGCCATAGCTTTGTGCTGAGACCTTCCGGAGGCATTCCGCCGTATAATAATTTAGCAGCCAGCTTGTAAGGATTTTTACATGTTACGACGGTACATGGACTCAAAATACCAGCTGGATAGACGTGCTGGAACGCTGGCAATTTATCGGCCTTGACCTGGCCTAAAAACACTTTGAATTCCGTGGTCTAACGTGATGTACATAAGCCTCAACGTTCCTTTCAGAAAGCTGCTGGTTGACCAATTTGTGCTTTTGGCCCATACCTCCACAAAATACATAAATCACCCATGACAATGTGTGGACGATTGAGTGCCAATATAATCCGAAGCCAGTATTTTAAAGACTAGTGAAAAGACTGGTGAAAAAGAATACCCATCTCGTTATACATACGAAGATGTGGGTGCTCGTACCTGGGCCGGTCCCCGACCCAAGGGTTTCGACCTAGGCACGAGTCCGGCTGGAAGAGAGACTATACTTCGCGAAGATGGCGGGTTTATAGCACTCTCTTGCTTTTCCGTACGAAATTGGTGGCATGAATAGGCATATGTCTTCTCTTATTTTCTAACTGACCACCGCCCATAACCGAAGAAAGCGGAGATAGCCTGAAAAGATGAGTATGGAAGTGACAGTGTATATAACAGAAGAACACTGTACCACTTACAGATAGTTACATATGGTTATGTGCAACGTGTTACATAGCATTAATGTGTTGGAAGACCCGTCCATTTTGGGTTTCAGTCCCGACCTAGTCAGCCTATATATAGACGCAGCGACATATATAGGCTTAGTATGTCACCGTAATCTATATCTGATCAAATCCACCATCGAAAGATACCTTCTTTGGGGTTAGACAAAATGCTCCGTATTTAAGTTAGGCCCACACGTGGTCCGGGACGCGGCATCTGATATGAGGGAGTGGGACCCAGACCCACTTCATGATTGACCACAATTTCCAATCTCAGGTCAACGTTTTTCATTTCCTTTTCCCAACACAACCTAGCATTTGCTACCCATGATTTTCCAATCCATTTCATCATCATCTTTGACCGCCCGTACAATTTGGACCACCTCTCTTGTTGATACTATAACACTACAAGCTACCCAGCTTCTAGCCCTTTGATACCAAATCGAGCGATGATGTTGATGGCGATCCCACGGCGTTTACTGGTGAATTTCATGGTTTCTGTTGAATATCCCGGTAGCTGAAACAACAAGACAGGGATGTGGGGCTGACAACACATATATATGAGGGTTGACTCACCTGTACGTAACCAACAACTACAAGAAGAATGTTATCACCTTCTTCACAACCCACTTCAACAGTTCCTAAATGAGTTGCGATTCCCTATACTCTGGTATCTCTCATGGGCGCCAGAGCTTTCATTAGTACGGTGGCGACTATCATTCCCCTGCGGAATAATAGTCCTCGTGGGCTTCAAGCCCCTAGGGGTAGCAGCCCGTATGGGAAGGCCAAGCCATGATAGCCCGTAGGAGCTTGAACCCCGCATAGGAGAGCAGCTCACATGGGTTGCCACGGTTTGACATTCGCATGCGGGTTGTCATTCCGTGCGGGCTATTGTTTCTTGTGGGATCATGACTCATATGGGAAGCCATGGTTTGTTTAACCCCTGTGGCCCATAGTCTCCTGAGAGATAGTGCTTTATGTGGGAAACCGTGATCTTTTTTCATTGCACACGGGCTATCATCCCCTGCAGGTAGTGATCTTTTGAGGGATGACATTTCGTCTAGGATATGATGGTTTCCCCGTTTTACGTGGGTTGCTGACCCATATAAGATAGCATTTGATACCATGATCTGCCAATCCCCCGTAGACTCTTGTCTTATAGGGGATAGTGCAGCTACAATGATTTGTCCATCACACGCGGGCTGCCGTCTCATATAGGCTCCGGTGTGCGGTAACACGCCGATTCAGCCAATTGTCATCTGTTGGTAACGTCAGTCTAGCTTCCTATTTTTCGAGCCAGAATTGTTATTGCTAATGAGATTCTCATTCTGTCGTCTCAGAAAGCTCGTTCCGTAAGTCTGAAGAAAGCTCCTCCACTAGTAGATCTAGCATCCATGAGATATCATCATTCCTTTCTGATAATTCAGTTTCGGACTTTGAAGACGCAAATATTGGCGTGAGCTCAGACAAGTTGCCAGCATTGCCTCTGGCCTGAAGCAGAGAGATGATGCTCGACCATGTGCAACAGAGTTGTTCCTGATGTTCAACAAGACACATCCGCCTTCATGAGTTTTTAAGGTTTCCGATCTCTTCTGAGAGCAATAGTTGATATTGCGTCGAAGCCTTCCCAGATAGCTCGTTCCCAACCAGATTTCTTTGTTTATTACTCTCCTGCGCAGGCGGTGAGACTTTCTTGGTCTCAAAATCACCTTGGGCCTGGCTCTCAATATCGTGATCAGAATCTCGTGACTTTAGTTTTGACGATTTATTTGTCGCATCTAAGCCCAATGTATCCGGGTAAGTACAGACGTTCTTGTGGTCATGATGCTCTCTTGGGTGCCTTCTACGAAACGCATGCCACCAGATCCAGTCAGAGCAGAAAACTAGCCATATATGAATAAGTTTTCCTATAGCAGTGACGAGATTTGTCAGAATCGGTATGGCAAGTAATGACCAGAAAATGAAGAAAACCGTTCCGGAATTGCTTGTGGGAAAGTAGTCCCCATACCCGATCGTAGTGAGGGATGTGTAGGTGAAATATAGGGAAATGAAATATGTCCAATTTTCTTCCTGTTCGGATTGACGAAAAACACCCGCACTGACGAACCACAGGACGAACCATGCAGCTAAGAATAACCCCAGCTCGAGCCACCTCCTTTTATAGAATGCAGATTTGACGTTGCGTACTTTGGTGATCCCTTCGCCCTTGCAGATACGATTTTTGACTAAAGTGGTTTGTGAATGAGCTCTGTCGGCTGTTGATAAACTATCTACTGTGTTCTGCAAGGAAGCTATGTTATCATCCTCCCTAAGAGCTTCCTCAATTTTGCAATTGAGCTTCAACTCCCTCATCTGATCCGTAAAGGATGCCACAGCGGTGACAATGAAACCCAAGCTTGTGATACCCAAAGTAGCGTAGGGAAACAGCAGGCTGCGGCCTAGATGAGTTTTGGGGACTAGATTTCCAAGACCAATGGTTAGGAGGGTGTAGTCAGTAAAGTAGAGAGCATCCATTAACGACCAGCCTTCAATGGTGCTAAACACTGCAGCTCCACTGAGAAGCAGGATCATAAAAGTTGTAATCCGGAACACGATGCTTGTACATTCAATCTTTCGCCTATCTGCCGGATTGAATGGGGACACTAGTACGCTGATCATATAGATAGAGACGAGTCCTGCTATCAGAACATAGAGACTAGCGGATATAATCCCGGCGAAAAAATTTTCGGTATATACGTAAGCTTCGTGGCCATGGACTTGCCGATGCTTTCGGACCTCAACGCCAATGAGGCCGAATAGGATAACAGCGGAGGCGAACCAGCCTATCACCGCAACCATGTATCCCTTGATTGATCCAATGTGGAGAACCATCGTGAGTATATGTGCCATATAAGCAGCAGTAGACAGAGCTACGGAAGCCGCTTTGAGTCCTATAGTCCTGAAAATCCGTTAATAGCTAGATGGAATTGGAAATAGGTGTGAGGTGCCTCTACCAGCTGGGTGTGCGTAGCTCAGATACTGATCCGTTATCCGAAACACCCTGTTGCCATCCCTTAACCAGCACGCAGACATTGAACATAACAGCCATAGAACAAAAAGCGCCCTTCCATTTCATTAGCAACGTGTTCATGGTGTGGAAGGGCTATATTTCTCATACCGCAAGAACAGGGCAGCCAGTCGAAGTGTCCCACCAGTGGCTGCTATTATTAGAGGGAGACCGAAGTAGAGAATGTAGGGTGACTTGCCTTAATCTTGTCCGATTTCTGGTCGTTGACACAGCGACCTTTCCATGACTACCTGATGAACCTGGCATCGTTGCCTTTTAGCCAATTTCCCGTCCGGCGGAGGCTATTTAGATAGGCAAACGAATAGCGTTGTGAGAATCAGGATACTATATGAGCCGCGGTATCCGGCATCCGACAGCCTCTATTCTGGGCAAGGTTGAGGATGATTTACGTGAATATTCAAGTTCGGTCCTGTGTTGGGATATGCATTAGTGTAGATGTTTGGAATACTTCGTCCCGGGCTCTACTATGTATATGTAATAAAGACGTCATGATGCGATAGAACGACCTCGTGACCTGTAAGAGTCTTCCTTTGCAATTAAGAGACCGATATCAGTTAATGGATCCTAAGCAAGTAGGCTATTAATCAAGGATACGTCATGAGAAGAGCAGCTAGCTGAAGGAAGCAATTGAATGATTGCCATTTTTGACCAGCCGATTTCAGCCATATTTAGGTTACCCTGTCCTAATACTAGATATCTCCTTAGTATAAAAGTTAGCATTTGTTGATTTCGTATAAGTGGGAAAAATCAATCGCAGCCTGAAATGAAATGGCTTCAAGCACAACACTTGACTCATTCTTCATGCTCAGAAAGGACGTCACACGGCCCCTGCAAACTCTCTACTTATGATATGAGACTCTCCCAAACTGTCCAATGGTTCGACTGATCATAGAGAAGGTAAAGTCCGCTATGTAGACCAACAAAGTGGTTTGACCCTTTATGAGGGCCCAGACACCTTTCTCGCGATAGTAGAAACCTGCGCTGGATGGTATAGCTGCAGGTATCGCCAAGGCTACTGTAAGAATGATCATTCTTAAGGCATATAAACCATCCGAGTTAAATAACCACTTTTGTGTAGCAATGATGAAAGTAGCCAGTCGACCCCGTCGTTTGACTCCAGATCCACGACTGCTTCGAAGCTCGTTCTGGGCCTCATTAGACTCTTTTTCATCTAGGTCAGGATCTATCACGTTCGATTGGCCTGGAATTGGAGCTGCAACATTTCTGTTAAAAGCCCAGGCAGCCGCATATCTGATTCCTCCCGGGATCCAAAGCTTAGCTTTTTTCCGTCCCTGGCATAGCTGTATGATTCGTTCCAAAAGCTTCTCCAAAGCATCAGCAACAAATAATAGATGTGACTCGAATACCATCCCAAACATGACAAATCGAAAGGGATGGATGGCAAGGTCGCTGAAAGACTGCAGATGACCAGCTTCATCAAACAAGCCTGCGTAGGTTTGGAGCGATTTCTCTGTAGTCTCAGCCATGAATGCGGAACGAGTCGATTTTAGAGCCTTAAATGATGTTTGGCATCGATATAGATCTCAGTCATGTTTGTCATTTGACGGGCGAGCAAACCATCCTCCGGAGCTTTTTGTATGTATACACTCGAGGACGGCGGTAATTGCATCTAAGCAGGCAGGGAGGATACCTGTTGTGGATCGACGGAAAATCTCAACGACATCCGACCGAAGGGATTCACTCTCGGGACTCTGTAGTACTTGGACTAATTGTGCACTTTGCAACAACTGAAACTGACCGATCTCATGCTGCCTCTGCTTTTGTGCATAATCTCGTACCCCTTGTGCGTCAGAAATGACTGGGAAGCCTTGCAACCGCTTTCGTTTGACGAGCTGTGCAGTATGATACTCAAGTAACGACAAACTCGATATCATGCTTTGGCGTATCGGGTCTCTCAAACTTTTTATATCATCGGCGTTCCAGCGACCTATTGAACAATCTAGTGGTAGGAAAGTAATTTCCGGTTCCATTGCTCTGTATCCTGTAATAATTTTGGCTTTCAATTTGTGAAAAACCTGGAGATCCAGCTCTGACGACTTTTTATCTAGACTGGATATAGTAAATTTCAGTGGCTGCTTCGCAAATCCAAGTAGCTCTTCGAAAGCCACAAAGAAATTGCGAGAGGTGGATTGGGGGAAGAACAGTATGGATGAGGCACATCCGAGGCCAACACCAATGGCTGCCGGTCTGATTAGTGAGATAGGTAGGGTTCCGTTGAAGGATGGTTGAGACGGGCCAAGGGTGAGGAAAAGGTCCGAGATTAAGGTTGCGTAGACCTGCAGCAAAACAAATTTCAGGTTGGTTGTCCGAAGTCGTGCCTATTGCAGCCACATAATCAGTTGACAGTCAAGAACGATGAGAAAGCGAAAAGAAAAAAAAAATGAATCCAGAACGATGTTTTCTCTCTTTTTTTTTTTTTTTTTCGCCTACCGTGAGATAGATAAATAGACAAATTAGAATGAAAAAGATCGCAGTAACTGGAGAATCTAGCATGAACCCATTTAATACGAGCATTTGCGTTTCGTTAGCAATACTTTAGCCAGAGGCATTAGCCTGTATAGATGCCCTCTCGTGTAGTGCGGTCAAACGAGCCTGCGTTTCTGATGCTGAACGAGCTGCTAGAGCTGCCTTCATGACAATGATTCCCCATGCCCAGGCAAGACTCATGCCAATGAGAAGAGTCGATTCTCCAAGAAAGAAGGCGAGAAGAATTCCCTAGGGAGGCAGGATGAAGAGCACAATACAGGCGAAGAACGTTTCTGTTCCAATGGTGTGTAGCGTAGGGCCGCCACCCATGCGGCGGCCCAACAGCGAAACAACACCTTCAGATCGCGCACATTGAAATGATCGAGCCAAAATGGGAGTCATCCCCTTCGCTTAGTGCGTTTCATAGCACAATCTACACATGTTAAGACGATACATCAGCATATAAATCCTAAATCCAGAGAGTAGGGTAGGTTTTGCCCGCGCACGTACATTCTGGAACCATCCAACATGAGTAGGCAGTGGCAGTTAGAATCACAGGCAATTGCAGGAAGAGAAGTTCTAAGATCGGACGAACTAGGGGAGCAATAAGCACATGGCGTTCCTGAAGAAATACACGCATGATTCAACTCACACAGCAGCCGATTTTTGGCTGTGCGGATTATACTGAGAATTATATTCTGCGTACTGTGTCCTGTAATAGCATTTCGATCAATGCTGATAAAGTAGTGAAAGGACGGTTTTCATGTATTGTGTGTCAGGGTCTGTCTTAAAACAGATCTATTTGTGTCTATGATGTCATGACTTATGACCTGATATGGTTAGGGTTATGTACTCCCAACTTGGCGTTAAGCTTTTGGCTGGAAAGCTCTTTTCATCCTTTGACAAATTTTGCGTTAGCATTTGATTGGCACAGAGTATCGAGTATTTTCAAAGAAGCGTAGAACTTCAATGACTGAACCGGGGGGAATGGTGAGTCTTGAATCATGTATGCTAGTCGGTATTCCTCATTGTCTGTCGCAATGCCCGCGAATGCAAATGACCCCTAAATACATATTCTATGAATCATCATGCGCTGAACATTGCGTCGATATGTGATGCTAATTCTCGAATTTTCTTTGTATTCAAATCTCTGTTGATTCCTGTGACGGTGGGTAATGTGTTGATGGAAACTGAGCATAAGAAAAAGAGGGGGGTGGGAAAGAGCTGGATAGTAGGACGCGTATAAAGACTCCTTTTATATACTTGCTTGAGGCCCCATTAAAGCCTACTTGAAAAATCCTAAAAATAAAGAAGAATATCTTCATCTATATTATCTTTTTGAGATTTAGGGCTCAATCCTGCCCCTGTTTATCTGGAATAGTAACAAGGTTCTTTGTAATGAGTGTAGTTCTAAATGATGGACCGGGGCTGTTAAAGAATGGGTAGTTATACAACCTTATGTGACCTCATGAGGTCAATAGTGACCATATATCCCCCTAGGTATGTTTGGCTTGGTGCATCCATGTATGTGGTTAGTGAAGAACTGCACATAGCATAAGAACTCCTAATCCCTTAGGAAAAACAAGAAAACACATGATATAGATGTACATGCATATCCATGATAGCGTAGTGTAACACGTAAAAAAAAGGGGAAAGACATGTTCAAAGGTAGACGCTAAAAAACAAAAGCGCCGAGTCTATGCGAATAAATATATAAAATTTAAAAAAAAAGAAAAAAGAAAAAAAAACCTACAAAAATAGAGAACAAAATTATCTATCACGGCTTCTTTTTAATATGGTGTTTCCCCGTATCTTTCTCCAAGACGCCCCCACTATTACTGCCACTCTTTATGTTGATAATATTATGATGATGGTCATCCGTCTTCAGTATTCGAATGATGTGTTGGACGGAAAACCCGCCTGATACGAGGTAAACGATAACAAGCCAGGCCGAGAAGATATTGGCCACATGGTGGAGTAGGTAGGCGTATGAGACGCCATAGACAGCTGAATAGCCGGCGAGACAAAGGAGGAGGATGTAAGTGATGTGCTTGGCCCTGTTTCGTTTGTCAGCGGGAGAGAAGAGAATATGGTTGGGCAAGACATACCGTGAGAATATTCGCGGAATCATCAAACCGCTCGTCATTGTCTCTACAAGAATCAAGAATGGCATGATGGATAATACGTTGTGGTGAGAAGAAAACGGCGTCAACCAATGTACAGCCAGGTTGTGTACCCAGACTACCAGTACAAGAATGTTGATCGGGAGTACCCAGAGCATGAGGGTAAAAATCGAATGCGCATAATTAAAGAAACTCGCGTTGATTGCCAGGCGCTGTGATCGTCAGTACGCGGAATACTCGGTCGACAAGTAGAATACGTGGGATTAGACTGGGGGCGGGGAGGGGGAACATACCGTTTCCCTTACGTGCCAGAGTGCCCGCACACATGTCGCAACTTGCACCATACATGCGACCATGTATGCAAACTGATATGGAATAACGGTTCCAACAAACACGAGCAATATGCTAGCATTGATAACCCTTCGGCGAGGACTCGGATGTGAAAAAATCGGCCCGTTCCTGCAACTGGTTAGAACCTGTCATACACAGGAAATTATAAAAGAAAGAAATTAAACGCACCCTCGTTCATCGCGACGGATGTAACCAGTCCTGGTCCGAAGCATTCCATACACAGAAGACAGAACGTTCAGAATTACAAGCGATGCGTAATTAATAACAACACAGGCACCAATGCTGACCAGACCGAACAGAGGAATTAGAAACCAGAAAAATGCATCTTGCGCGCCAAGAAGAAGATCGTATTTGGTAAAATCAACGGCTGTCTCCGTAGAGTTATTGCGCCAATGAAAGGGGTCATCATTGGAAGGAAGTCTTCTGCTAGAAGCAAGCGAGGATGCTAGCAATGAAAGTATGCACAGTATTAAAGGCAATGACGAACGGAGACACAGATTCAAGCTTTCCATGAAAGTGATGAAGTAGCCGGTTTCGTCGTAAACCTTGAATTGTTTGCGCAATACAAGGGCAACAACTAGTAGCGGAAATGCTGCAAATACGGTCCTATACCGCATAACTAGCTCCCCGAAACTGTTGGGAATACTGACAGTCAAGGATAGGTCAACGTTCGACGAACATGTCGGATCTGACCACAGGTGGAACGATACGCCGTACGCTGCTTGTTCACGTAGAGACGGGGGCATGTATGGCGCCACACCGTGAAGATTAACATCAACATCATGAACATTGACGAAGAATTTCGACTCATGGGGTTCCGGCATCGACTGGCGTAGCAAGGGGGCGAAGAGCGGAGTAGAGTCAGAGCAGCCCGAAGTTTGCACCGAAAGCTTGTATCCGAGTAAACTGGAATGCAACGACGGAATTTTGACTTCTGTAAGCATTGGCCTGTTGGCGGGCAGCTTCATATGAAGTCCAGCACTAAGCAAACGGCCCAATCCTACACGCGTTGGAATTATTGCATCTGAGCTATCTGAGAACTCGGCAATCACCCATCCGGTAGTTCGAGACGTTGCCTTATCTACAACTGCGACAAATTGGTGTTCAGCCAATTCTTCTAAGTCGTACTGAAGATACGAAAAAGGTTGACCATCACTAAAAACTTTTTGTGACGATGATGTAGATGCCGGAAGGAGTATCCTGTCTGAAGCAGCATTTTTGCATGCCAGCCGTGTAGATCCTGATCCACCGCGCGAGAGATCCATGTTCATCGAGAAGAGGGAGGATCCACGTCCTGCTTGCATAGGGAAGACAGTACAGAAAAGTACTTCCAAGTTTCCATCTGCCGCGTCGAATGGCTGATCCGTGAGAAGGGTAAACTTTTTTCCCGGAACTCCCGTAGGAGGAATAGGCATCAAATGCGCTTCTGGTTCTTTATGATTTCCTAATGCGCGTAGTACAAGACGTTCGCCCTGAGACAGAATAGTGTTGGTGTTGGATTCTAATGTAAGGAGAAAATTCGGGTCTATAACATTTATGTCAACAATGATCAAGGAAAAATGGAAATGAGACGAAGTGTAGTGTACCTTGCTGAGGAAGTGTCCGCTCCGAAATCGACTCCATACCAGTGAGAAACCATTTCTTGAAGATACGCATTCGTTCTGCTCGAGGTTTTGTCTGACTTGGCCGGTGAACATCCACCACTTCAAAAAGCGACTTGACAACGGCTTTTCGGAACTGGTCGCACCAAGTTATTGAAAGATGATCAGTCCCAACCCAGACACCAGGGATGCTAGACGTGAAGACTGTGAAACCGTGAGTTTCAGGGACAAGAGAAGAGAGACTAGCGTAGTCAGATGGAACAATAGTATCTCTAGCTCCTCCAGCAATGGAGATGAGGGTCACATGCCAAAGAGGGTTGTTGTTGGCCCATTCTTGCGAATAAGCGCCTCTCCAGTAATCATTTATCTGTTTATATGTATGGACGATGTCTGAATCAAAGGATACCGGGGGCTTTGCATGTGGAGCTGACATGGTGATGATTGTGTTTACGGAGTTTGCTTGATAGTTGGCCATTGTCAAGACAGTGCGTGCTACAACGCCACCCATTGAGTGACCGACCAGGATGACGGAACTAGGATCGGGTAGGCTTGGGTCACGGTGGGAGCGATTCGGATCGTGGTATAGTGAAAGAATATATGCTAAAGCTTCGTTGACGTACTCCGCCTGGTCCAGAAGGGTCTGTCCATGAAAGGCTGCCATATCTTCGTTGAAATCGATCATGAAGAAGTCTAAACTCCGGGTTCCCGTATCCAGGCGTTCCTGATCGTGCGCGATGACCTCTCGATAATGCCTTGAGGCTTCCGCGGCTAGCGAACGTACTTGTTTATAGCTGCCGGCATTGCCAGGGAGAAATAATACGGGTGCGCCGCTAAGCTAAAAGTGTCGGGAAGTTAAAATGTTAAGGGACTGTATTTACTTTTTGGTTCGTATATTGACTGAAACGTACCCCGATGTTCTCTTGCGAGTAATGGTCGACGCCTTCCTCTCGGTAAAGATAGAGATTATATTTGCTTGCAAAGCGAGTGTGTTCCGCATCGAATCCGACCATCCGCAGATATGTCGGACTCATGACGGGAACCTGACATCCATCGACTCCGACAGGCCGGTTCACAAAGGAATGCATGATGAAAAGAAAGAAGAATATACCAGCAAGCGCAGTGGACAGTGTCAGGATGGACACCGACCATGGGCTGCGAAGCCGGTGTCGACTGCGCTGGGTCTCCAGCGAGCTCTCAAAGGAGAGCTGCCGGGACGCCAAGGGCATCATCGCGGCCGCTGGCTTTGTGGACGTCGGCGTTGGGGAGGCATGCGCAGCAGCGGCAAAGGAGGAAGAGGAGAAAGAGTTTCGTACGGCGCTTGGATTCCGAGAACGGGGCGAAGAGACAGAATGGTTGAGGCGATGGTCCGAATTGCTGGCGACGGGGGCAGCTATTTCCAGTTGAGTATCTGCGGTAGTGGAAGCGGTGCTGCTAGCTCCATGACCACTATCGGTCGACACGCGAGACTGAGAGCGATGCTGATACTGAGTACTCAAGGAATGTCCAGTCCCGTCCGAATGTTCGGACGAGCGCCTGTGCATTTGAAGGGCTGGCACAGCAATGCAGACAGACGATGGCACGACAGGGCATTCAGGAGCAGCAGCGCGAGGGGAAGAAGTCGGAAGGGCTGGTATGCGCCTCTTGCTTGGCAGCGTCCCCGGCCAATCATGTCCACGCGATGTGCGTGGCTTTTCTGCCGCGCAAACGGCTGGGCGGTCAGAACACAGATTCACAGCAATTTATTGATTCCATCCATACTACCAGCATGTGTGGCTCGTCTTATAAAGTCAGCAGGGCGCCTAGATGCTGTCCAATGTGCGTATTCTATGAGTCTCTGGCCACTGTCGGCCTTGAATATGCCCCTATATGCCAGAAGTACCAAAACACGCTCAGTGAGATGTACATATCAGGTCCGTCTGATGTATGCAGGGCGTGTCAGATGAATCCAAAGGTCTTGAAAGCAGGTATCCGACCATATTCTCCCGGTACTCTAAATACTATGAGTCCTATCTATGCATATATATACCGACACAGGCTTGATCTTTGCGTACCTTGTTTCAGCATCCCAGAAGTTCAAGCCCTGCATTACCAGTACTCCCGATATCTCTTTGACAGCCGTCCCTAGTAAATAAATGGTGAGTGATGATTCACCGAAGTTGGTCCGAGAAGCAACCTTTTCTCTTATAATGAAATGCCATAACAGCTGAGGCTTTCGAAATGCCGGATGCATACTTCCACAATAGATGACGGAGAAAATGAGCACTTCAAACCAACAAGTTCTCACGCTATTATAAGTATTACAAATCATTAAACTGTGAATAGACTAAACATTCTTACGGTTGCTTTCGTAGGGCCCACAACTCTCTAGGGTAGGACTCTTGATGTCATTGCCGCATTAGGAAATTTCGGGTGCCACTCGGGCGGACTGCTCAGAATCCTCGAAGCACCAAATTTGTATACAATCTTATAGCTAAAACTGTGCTCTGAAGAGCTTTTTGAGCTACAATATATAATCGATTTCCCTTTCTTTTTACTGATTCTACTTCCCACTGCAAACAGCTTCCCACGCGTTTTCAAACCCCATCCTTGACGGAAGGAAGATGTATTACCGTAGACAGCACTATACAAGTTCAACAGACACATCATAGGCAAGTTCTTTGAGATATCTTCCGGCAATCGTTATCTAGCGGATATATACACAAAAATCCCTAGAGGATGGAAGAAAATGCTCGGGTGTAGAGATCCGGAACCAAAGCCTTGGGAAAAGGACGGTTTACCTGGTATCCGGAAATAAGATTTTTCCGTAGGTATTTCCCTAGAGCCAGCCTACCCAAGGCAATGACCTGGAATTTTGAATTAGGTCTTTTCTTTCAGCAAGTCCGAAGACGGTTCAATGCGACTACTAGCAGCTGGATTGTCCTTGCTCTGGGCCATCTTAGGATGTATAGATCCCGATACTCGTGATTTGTGTACCTGAAGTTCTCCGAGCGCACAAGGAATGCTTGGTATAGAAGTAAAGCACAGAAACTTATGTGAAAGCAGTCGGTCTGTCTACTTCCATAAACCACCAGCAGGGCATCCAAATGTGAAGGTTACTTATGAAAAGGAAAAGTGGTCCATTGGGCACAAGCCGGGGTACAAATGCGCAAAGCCTGTATAATCTGTAATGAATATCGACAGACCTCCAACATATGCATCTTCCGTGCCTACTTCCAATGCTCCTCCATCAGCAGCAGTAGCAGCAGCAGGATACAGCTACAATGAATTCCTTCAAGGACAAAGTCTCCAAATACGCTCTGTCGCTGGTGATCCATCGGAACCATGGCTGCGAACTGTCAATCGAATTGTCGCGGGTGTCGGGATTGGGTTGAGCACGAACTTGCTTATTATGCGAATTTACACGAAAGCCAAGATCATGAGGAAATTTTGGTGGGATGATGGTATGTTTGTTCGTGTCGTGAAGCTTTCAAAAATCCGATTCTAACATATCTAGCCTTTATTACTCTTGCATGGGTATGTTTGCCTTTCTTCTTTCGGCTGATATTAGCATTCACCTAGTGCAGTCGTAATTGACAGTGGAACACATCATCATAGATATATTCTATGGCATGTCAAGCCATAATGCTCTGTAAGTACATCTCCGTCTATATATCTCTTCCCAGTCCAGTCCCTGACTAGGCATTGATGTATTTCAGATGGATACGTACACTCAGGGTATGGAGTGCGCGTATGGAATTTGAGTCTGACTGCTCTACAAATATACCCAAAGGCATGTCTGCTGCCTTTAATGCCTAGCGGTAGTTAAGTAACATATATAATTTTGCCCAAAGACTATGCTTGCAGCATCGGCTGTCTATGTTCCATGTCTAGCATGTGCCAAACTAGCAATCCTGATGTTCTACTACGCATTGTTAAACGTGGTACAATTCTGGAAACAAGTCATATACATCGTCAGCGGTATCATCACGGCTTACAGCATTGCTCTTCTCCTCGCGATCATATTCGCATGTCATCCGATCCAGAAAAATTGGGATGATCCTCAGATGACGACACAGGGCTGGCGTATCAGTCGGCCACGCCTGTATTTTGCACTGGCAACCACTAATACGGCCAGTGATATAGTTTTTATCTTGATTCCAATTTCGACTATATGGCGGTTGCATGTGCGAACTGTGCAAAAGTTTGGTATTGCAGCTATCTTTGGAATTGGGTGTTTGTGGGTAGACTCTTATTGCTCGCTGCATAATAATTTCCTATGTAACTGACAATTAGAAAATGTTCAGAACGATTATTAGAGGATTGTGCGCTTGGCAACTATATGGCCGTTAGCGACCTCGGAAGATCAGCCATATGACATCGCATTGGCTGCCTTGCTCGTGTGAGTTTATATGGTCCTTCGTACTCAATCTCTTTTCCTTCTTCTCATTTTTTCTTTCTCTAGAGCTTGATTGACTGACGAACGACACACAAGTCACATCGAAGCGGACTTCATCATCATTTGCGGCTGCCTTCCTTATCTGCGCCAGTTTCTTCGCCATCATGCTCCCAGATTGGTTGGGCATGGGAGCAATGCAAGCTCTTCCGAATCAGGACACCAATCAAAAGGCAGTTCCTTCAAAAGGATCAGATTGCATACAAGTGCATCCATACCCAAAAGTCTGTACGAGGGATCGGCACGCTATGCCTCGTGGCTTCGGGTTGGCATCGCGTACTTTATAAAAAGCTTGGCTTTTGGGTGTATTCTCGACTAGCTGTACGAACAAGCCAGTGCAAAGACGAACTTAACATCAAAAAAGAGTCAGGTGAGCACCTGAAAGATTGATAACAATTGACACACGAGTGGCAGGATCAAAGTGGGCTCGGGATGCAGACGGCTGACTGGCCAGATTAATTTCCCCGGCCCAGTTAGCGGAGAAGAAAACAACAAGTGCGGGGGTCTGTGTGCTTAGTCGCGTTTCGACTGTGCTAAGCACGCTGTGAGCCAGTGACGCAGTTGTTTGATCGGCGGGGAAAGAAAGCAGCTTGTACGGAGTCTCTGTAGGTTGTAGTTGTATCAATCCGGAGTATATAAAGGGCCCCTCCCTCCTTCCTTCTCGCGCTGCTCCTGCCCTTCCGCCCCTCCCCCGTCTTTTCTCTTCTCTCTGGCGCACACCGCCAGCTTCACTCTCCAAATATACACATATAATAGAGCATGCTTCTGGCACTGGACAGACAATGGCTGATACAAAGGAAACTGGAGCCCAGCCTCCTGCGCACATCGAAAATGAGAAGAACATGAGCATCGGTCGGTATCTGGCCACTCGTGTGACCACTTTGGTCCCCCCAATGAACAGGGCGCCGAATCCTTTTAAAGCCCTGATGTTACTGAACAAACAGCAATGGCTCTTTTTCCTCGTAAGTTCTATATGTAGTGACTGCGGCTATCCAGGCTGGGCTTCTGACAATCGCATTGTACAGGTTGCCTTTTGTGGCTGGACTTGGGATGCCTTCGACTTCTTCTCGGTCTCAATTGCATTAACTAGTCTGGCTACGTATTTCGATCGTCCCAATTCCGAAATCACCTGGGGCATTACGCTCGTGCTAATGCTGCGATCTGTCGGTGCCATCATCTTCGGGATCCTCTCTGACCGCTACGGCCGCAAATGGCCCTTTGTTGCCAACAATGTACTTTTCATAGTGTTGGAGTTGGGCACTGGCTTTTGCCAAACATACAAACAATTTCTGGCATGTCGCGCCCTTTTTGGAATTGCCATGGGAGGTTTGTATGGTAACGTTGCCGCCACCGCACTGGAGGACTGTCCTCCAGAGGCGCGAGGAATCGTCTCTGGAATCCTACAACAGGGGTACGCTTTTGGTTACTTATTGGCTACCGCGTTTGCTCGCGCTCTCGTTGATACTACTCCGCATGCCTGGCGCCCACTCTTCTGGTTCGGCGCTTGTCCACCTGTGTTGTTCATCATTTTCCGTCTGTGCTTGCCTGAAACCCAGGCTTACCAAGGGCGTGAACGAGTGCGAAATTCGCTCGCCGGTGGTGTGGCTGGAAATTTCCTGTCCGAGGGTAAAGTCGCTATCAAGAATCACTGGCTTCTGCTGATCTATCTCGTTCTGTTGATGACTGGTTTCAACTTTATGGTATTTCCCTCCTTCTCTTCTTACTTGTAAGTGAGGCTAATTATCGGTCACAGTCGCACGGTTCCCAAGATCTTTACCCTACCCTTCTCGAATCCCAATTCGGCTTCTCTACCAATGCCGTAACAGTTACACAAGTGGTTTCTAACCTTGGGGCTATGGCTGGAGGCACGATTTGTGGATGGGCTAGTCAGATATTCGGACGGCGATTCTCAATCATTGCGATGTCCATCGTCGGCGGGGCGCTTCTGTATCCGTATACTTTTGTCACTTCGACTTCAGTCATGGCAGCAGCATTTTTTGAGCAATTCTGCGTACAAGGTGCCTGGGGTGTTATCCCCATTCATCTGATGGAACTGGCTCCCGGACCAATTCGCACATTTACTGTTGGCAGCGCATATCAACTGGGTAATCTGGTGTCATCAGCGTCGTCAACAATAGAGTCAACCATTGGCGAACGTTTCCCGCTACCCCCAACTGCCGATGGCACAAAGCGGTATAATTATGGCAAAGTTATTTGTATACTAATGGGCTGTGTATACGGGTATACCATTCTCGTCACGTTCTTAGGTCCCGAGCGTTTAGGCCGTCAATTTGACGCTGAGCACGACACGGATTTGAATGAAGCTGCTGCATCTCGCTTCGCGAGTGACAAGATGGATCCAGAGAAGGGTACCGTTCAACATGCGGAGTAATCTGCTCTATACCAGAATTATTTTATACGTGACCCATGTTGCACCTTCTGTGATGTGTATCTATACAGTTATGTGATATGTGATCTTGGACGTATAGTGAGTATGATGTTGGTGATTTTAATTCCCGCCTATGTACTATTCAATGCACGGTAGTCATCTCGTTCCTCCTTAACAAGGAACGTAAAGCAAACAATAACCCTGGCTGGTTCCATGGAATGTTTGACCAGATTCGAACCGATCCATGGTTTTTTTTCCCCCCCCTAGAACTGCGCCACCATGCACTGACTTCATAGCAAAGAAAAGTGGAAAAATGCGTTCCCGAATAATTGTCGAACCGAAGTTTTTCAGGGAGTCGGATTGCCACTGACCTCAAGACTTGTAGCTGATCCACAGTTTGAATCGCCTTCCCCTGCCTTACTGGTTTGTGAATCGGTAGATAAATTCCCAATTGTCGGGTCGACACATATTTTCCAATAATTGCCTTATCTTGATTTAGGGAGTACGTAGTAGTGCGGTTAATTGATTTGAGAGATCGTACCACCTGCGAAGTGGCAAATATATGTATGTATGACATAAGACCAAAAGTTCCGTAGTTGACCTCGAGATTTTTCGAGTCAGTTGACAAATCCAACCAAAACAAATACGGAGTAGCTTAAGATCTGTAGAAAATCCGGAGTAAGTTTTAAGGTTTTGCTTCCCAGACCCACTTTAGCGGTGGACCCGGTTTTTCTTCGCTTTTCGCGGGGTATTCCGATATGAAGTATGGAGTAGGACTGGCTGAAAAAAAGAGGGAAGGAAGAGAAAAAAAAAAAAAAAAAAGAAAAAAGGAGGGGGGGAATCCCGCAGATAGTATACTCCACAATTTGTTTAAGAGTATGCGGGAGGGTCTTTGAGTCTGCCGACCTTTTGTATTACTCCGTAGTTGAATTTTTAGGGGGCTGAAAATTTGGGGATGGCAAAGTTGTCAAGGGGCTGACGTTGTTCAGCAATAAGAACTTCAGATCAGCGTTCGTAGCAGGAGTAAGGGGGGTCGAGCATTAATCACGATGAGAGATACTGATTAAGACATCTGCTGAGTCTGTATAAAGCAACAATGCTACGAAATCCAAGATTTCTGATGGCCAAGACTCAACAATAAATGGTGATCAATTTTCAGCAATCTCCGTCATCACATTCCTGCAAGTGACTTTGGACTCTTCAGGGGCATTTCGACGGCTGACATGGTACTGTTACTCCGTATAATCCATGAAGATGGATGCATCCCTGTATACCCCGTAACCTAAAGTCTGGCTTGGTGGCAATTAAAATAGAATTTTGGACCCATCCGATTCTATCGACCTCTCTGGTCTTTTCTCGAGCCGGAAATGAGAACCCCAGGGTCTGAGTGATGGCTGTGCCCCGAATCTACCGGTGCATTGTTTGGTCACATCGGCTGTAAAATGTATTGATTGCCTCCCCCTAGGCTTAATGCCATGCCTGTCGATATTATGACCGGTGCGCTTTGACTGGCAATGCACATTGAATTTACTGTCGACACCCAGATATAGCATGTACTCGTAGTGCTACCAGCGCACACCGCTTTATAGCTAAGGCCCCAAGGCAGCAATAGATGGTTCTCCCGCCAACCAATCACCGCCTAGCTTATTCTGCTGAGCGGGCCTCGGTTGTTTCAGGCTTAGCGGCGTGCAGGCTCTGCAGCGCTAAGCCACATTGGGTCTTAGCCCGGAGCCAAGCCCGAATGGAAAAGCAAAAATAAAAAATTTTTTGGGCCAGGCGAAAATTTAGAAGAAAAAAAAAGAAGTTTGGGCGAGGGGCCACTAACACTTAGCGATAAATAATCTTGCCAGCCCACTCTCTCACCCCTCCTCTCCCTCTTCTTCCATCTCACTGCCCAATTTTTTTTTTCTTTTTTAATCCCCATTATCTCTTAAGACAAACAAGAGGTCGGGTTGTCTTTTGCATTTCTCTGTCTTGAAAATAGACTAGACAGCAGATAGATCTTTTTTTTTCTTTTCTCCGGCCTTGCTATAGCGTATTTGCGTTGTCGAGAAGCGCAAATTCGTGGGCCGCCACCAAAGGGAAAAAAAACACCGCTTTTCGCAGATACCCCTCATAGATCAATTTTTGCATTCCACGCCTTAATTTCTTTTTTGTACCACGACTCGTCAAAATCACTTCCCCTACGTCGTCCAACATGCCTGCTGTTGATGTTTCCTCTCTCCCCGCCGTCTCCGGCAAGGAGACTGCCAGCTCCGTTGCCGTCGTCGAGAGCCTGATCAAGAACTTGTCCATTTCTAAGACCCCCGATGAGGCCAACACCCACGCTAACAACCTTGCCTCTCTATTGAACGGCCCCATTGAGGAGAATACCGTGCCTCTCAAGGCTGTCGAGTCACTCAAGAAGCAACTCGCCAACAAGAAAGATGCCAATGCTCGGGAGCGTGCCCTCGAGGCCATCCGCGCTATTGCCGAGCACTCTTCTGTTGCTCCCGGCGTTGAGCCTTACTTGGTCACTCTTTTGGGACCTACTCTGAATGCCGTTGGTGACAAGATGACCAACGTCAAGAACGTCGCCCAGGTGGCCGCCATCTCTCTCGTCAAGTCCATCAACCCTAACGCCACCAAGGCTGCTTTGCCTTCCATCATCGAATCCATTCTCTCCGCCCAAAAATGGCCCGAGAAGATGGCTGGTCTTCAGTGTATTGAGGCCCTAGTCGAGACCGCTCCGGCCCAACTTGCTTTCCTTGTTCCCAGCCTCATCCCCGTTGTCTCCGAGTCCATGTGGGACACAAAGCCTGAGGTCAAGAAGGCTGCCTACGGCACTATGGAGAAGATTTGCGCCTTGATTGTCAACAAGGATATTGAGCGTTTCATTCCCGAGCTCATCAAATGTATCTCGAAGCCCGAGAACGTCCCCGAGACTGTTCACTTGCTTGGTGCCACCACTTTCGTCACCGATGTCCATGAGCCTACCTTGGCTATCATGGTCCCACTTCTTGAACGTGGTCTTGCAGAGCGTGAGACTGCTATCAAGCGTAAGTCCGCTGTCATTGTTGACAACATGTGCAAGCTTGTCGAGGACCCTCAGATTGTCGCCGCCTTCTTGCCCAAGTTGATGCCCGCTCTCAACAAGAACTTCGAGACTCTTGCCGACCCCGAGGCTCGTGAAAAGACCAAGCAGGCTCTTGATACCTTGATCCGTGTCGGTGATGTCAAGGATGGCAAGATCCCCGAGGTCTCCCACGCAGGTGACGTCGCTACCGTCTCTGCTATTCTCAAGGAGCTCCTTGAGCCCAAGTACAAGGCTCTGATTGCCGTTTCCGAGGCTGCCATCAACTACATTGCTGCCATTTCTGGCCAGCTCATTGACGAGAAGGTCATTGAATCAGTCATTTGGATTGAGAACACCACTTCTTACTTGGCCGCTCTTGTCGGCGACGAGGATGCCAAGTCCCTTGCTGAGAACCTTCGCAAGCGAGCTTCTCCTGCTGCTGCTGAGGAGGAAGAAGCTCTTCCTGACGAGGAGGAGGGCGAGGACCTTTGCAACTGTACTTTCAACTTGGCCTACGGTGCTAAGATTCTTCTCAACCAGACCCACTTGCGTCTGAAGCGTGGTCAGCGTTACGGTCTTTTGGGACCCAACGGTTCCGGCAAGTCCACCCTCATGCGTGCCATCAACAACGAGCAAGTGGAGGGTTTCCCCAAGAAGAACGAGGTCAAGACTGTCTTCGTTGAGCACGACCTTGACTCTGCTGATACCGAACAAACCGTCATTGGCTGGACCGAAAAGAAGTTGCGCAGCGTCGGCGTCACCACTCCCCGCGAAGAGATTGAAGCTAAGCTGGCTGAGTTCGGTTTCCTCAAGGAGCAATTTGAAGGTCCTATCACCGCTCTTTCTGGTGGTTGGAAGATGAAGTTGGCTCTAGCCCGTGCTGTGTTCGAGGATCCCGATATCCTCCTCCTTGACGAGCCCACCAACCACTTGGACGTCAAGAACGTTGCCTGGTTGGAGCAGTACCTCATCAACTCTCCTTGCACATCCATTATCGTCTCTCACGACAGCAAGTTCTTGGACAACGTTATCCAGCACGTCATCCACTACGAGCGATTCAAGCTCCGCCGCTACCGTGGCAACTTGACCGAATTCGTCAAGAAGGTTCCCTCTGCCCGCTCCTACCACGAGCTCAGTGCCTCGGACATGGAGTTCAAGTTCCCCGAACCCGGTTTCCTCGAGGGTGTCAAGACCAAGGCCAAGGCCATTGTCAAGGTCAGCAACATGTCCTTCCAGTACCCAGGTACTCCCAAGCCCCAGATCACAGACATCACCTTCCAAGTCTCTCTCGGTTCCCGTATTGCCGTCATTGGTCCCAACGGTGCCGGAAAGTCGACTTTGGTCAACGTCTTGACCGGTGAGCTCATCCCCACTAGTGGTGAGGTCTACCAGCACGAGAACATCCGTATTGCCTACATCAAGCAGCACGCCTTCGCCCACATTGATAACCACCTTGACTCGACTCCTTCCGAGTACATTCAGTGGCGTTTCCAGACTGGCGAGGACCGTGAGACTATGGACCGTGCCAACAAGATTGTTACCGAAGAGGATGAGAAGGCTATGGACAAGATCTACAAGATCGAAGGTACATCTCGTCGTGTCATTGGCATCCACGCTCGTCGTAAGTTCAAGAACTCTTACGAATACGAGTGTTCTTTCGCCATCGGTGACAACATCGGCATGAAGAACGAGAAGTGGACTCCCATGTCTACCCAGGACAACGCCTGGATTCCTCGTACTGAAATCCTGGCTTCCCACGCCAAGATGGTTGCTGAGGTCGACCAAAAGGAGGCTCTTGCCAGCGGTCAGTTCCGTCCTCTGGTCCGTCGCGAGATTGAGCAGCACTGTGCCAACTTCGGCTTGGATGCTGAGCTTGTTTCTCACTCCCGCATGCGCGGTTTGTCTGGTGGCCAGCGTGTTAAGGTTGTTCTTGCTGCCTGCTCATGGCAACGCCCTCACTTGATCGTTCTCGACGAGCCTACCAACTACCTTGACCGTGACTCCCTTGGTGCCTTGTCCAAGGCTATCAAGACCTTCGAGGGTGGTGTTGTCATCATCACTCACTCCCGGGAGTTCACTGAGAACCTCACCGAGGAAGTCTGGGCTGTTATGGACGGTAGAATGACTCCTTCTGGGCATAATTGGGTGACCGGTCAGGGGTCAGGCCCCAGATTGACAGACAAGAGCGATCCAAATGAGGTAAAGAAGGACGCACTCGGCAACGTCGTTGAAGAGGCTAAGAAAAAGCAAAAGCTTTCGTCGGCGGAACTCAGGAAGAAGCGGAAGGACAGGATGGCTCGTCGCAAGAGAGGTGAAGAAGTGTTCTCGGATGAAGATGAGTGAAATTCGGGGACTGGTTACATGGTTTAGCGGTGTTTATGATTATGATTCATGCATTTTTCCTTATGTCTGATTTCATTTGTTCATTTAATATTTTCATGTCAATAGAGCCTATAGTGCTTTACAAAAAAAAGTCCTGTATGACAGATAGATCAATTCATGGATAAATTACCGACATAGCGTTATTATTTATGAGCATAACCTAGATTCTACTGAGTATGACAATTGGAGTTAACGACGTTTAACTCGGAAGGCATGATATCGATATCCACGTGTGCGGCGGCCCGCTACCGAGCTAGTGGCTTGGCAACCGCACCCTTACGTTTTACTGCCTAAGGCTCGTTCGTCATTGACAACGACATAGTACTACAGAGGAAATATACCTTCACTAGATATAACATTATCAGGAATCTGTTGAATGACTGGAGAGCCTGGCATAATTTGGGAGCTCCGCGGAGCCTGCGGTCGTTTGGAAACCTCGAATATGTGAGCCATCGCAAAGGCATTACGAGAATAAAGGCTTTTGACATGCTAACAACGGATTCGGAACGCTGTATTAGCTAGTATTGAGAATACTATATAATCTGCATATCTAACTAAAGAGAATATTCAGGGGTTACTTAAGGCCATATTTATGATCAGAATAAGGGTCAACTAAGACACGTATCCAATACCTATTCTAGCTAATTAGGTGCACCTCTGTAAAATACAGTATTAATTATAGATTACATGCTATATTCAGAATAGCAGTTATAATCCACTATTACACCCCTCTAGCGTATAATCTAAAATAGAAAAGAATAAAGCAAAGAAAAAAAATAATATCTAACAGTTTATATAGAAATATAGTATTAAAAAATAATAAAAAGAATGATAGATTTAAAAATTGAACTAAGAACCAATAAAAAGAAGAAAAAAGGTATAGAAAACTATATTAGCTAGTTATTTTACTAAATAAATTATTTTCCCAGACCTAGTAGAGATTTCTTATATTAAATACCTTATTAATATTAATAAGGCTCCTAATTAAGCTGGAGTTTAATATAATAACTTATATTAATTAATTCTAAGTGCTTAATAAAGGCTTTATACTTTTTAATTAAAAGAGATTTAGTAAGGCCATCAGCAGTTATATTATTAATATTAATCTAGCACATACTAATCTGTTAATCTTGCATCTTTTTATATAGCTAATAGTTATAAATATTAATATAACAAAGATGTATTTAAATTATTTTATTTTTAATTATTAAATATATTATTTAATAGTTATTATATTTAATAATAAAAAGATCTTATTTAACATTAAATTTAATAATCTTAAAGAATTATTTCTACTAAAGAAGCTATTTTTTTATATTAGATAAGATAAGAAGCTTAGTTTTAGTAGTAGATATAATAATAGTTCTTTATTTTTTTAAAATCTAGTTAATTGAACTTTTAAATAATTTAAAAAAAAAGACTCTAGTATTATATTAATCTAGATAATTAATAAATACTACATCACTTATTATATAAATTAGATTAGTTCTAAATAGTTTTATAAAGTATATCATATAAAATCTTATATAGTAAAGGTATAGAAATATATAATTAATAGCCTTTATATAAACTAATATTAGATTTTACATAAATATGCTTAAATAGAAAGTCATATAGGCAATATCAGGTCTTATTATAATCACTATATATAATATAAATCTCATTTTTTCTTAATAAAGTATAATTTAAGAAGACATTACTTTATCTTTATAGAATATCAATTTAACAGTAATTATTAGCATTATAGGTAGTTTATTAGTAGGTAGATTATAATATTTTATAATCTTCTTAATATAGAAATTCTAATATAGATAAATAACCCCTATATCTTTATTTTAAATAATTTTTATATTTAAAAATCATTTAATATTTCTAAGCGCCTTAACTTTATATTTACTTATAACTTTTTCCCAGAATAAAATATAATAATATTTATTTCCTAGTTTATAAAGTATTATAATATTATTAATAAAGAAGAAGATAATAAGATATTTATTTAAATAAAGATATATTTTATCTAAGCACTATCTTATACTAAATTCTTAAAATATTTTTACTAGTTCTTTCTACTATAGTTAAAAGAATTACTTAAAGCTATAAAGTGTCCTTAATAACTTTAATATATATTTATTCTTCCTCTTAATATCTTTAGAAAAGTATATAAAGAAATATTTCTTATTAATTAGAGTATTTAAAAAAATATTAATTATATTATACTAGCCTATTCTATATCTAAAAATAATTATAAAGTATAATAAGTAATAGATTATCTTTGCACTTATTATAATAGTATAAACATTATTCTAGCTAAGCTATATATCATCTCTAATATAAAGATATATCTTATAATATATTAAATAACTATTATTATTTAATTTATAAATAAATATCTAGCATAAAAATAAAATCTTAATATATTTAAAATTTAGATTAATATTTAATTTTCTTATCTCTTTAAATATTCCTCTTTCTAATAGAGTATAATATTTCTTTTTTATAGCTTTTATAAATCCTTTATAGTAAGTTTAAGACAGTTTAAAAAAATCTTTTTAATAGTTTAGAATCTTAAGAAGCTTATCTTAATATAAGTATAAAAAATTATTTTTTAGTTCTTTTTAAGTACCTAATATAGTATTAAAAATAGTAAAATAAAATCTTATATTTAGCTTAATCTTCAATCTATAACTTCTCTTATTTTTTATAATATTAGAAATATTAAATATAGTAGAAATCTTATTATATCTAAGTATATACTTATAATTATTATATAATTAAGCTTTAATTTGGAGTTATATATTAATCTTAATATTATAGTTATATAATGCACTAATAGCCTCTTCTATAGAAGATAGAAATTCTAGAGTAAATAAATAAGTATTCCCTTAATTATATATAGATATTTAAGATTTCTTATTTTAAGTAGATTGATTTAATAATAAATTTAAAAATTACTTATATCTAGAATTAATTATTAATAATATTAGGAGATATATTAAATATAATTTCTTAAAAATCTTTTTTTATATCTCTAAAGCAGCCTGCTTAGTAGATTTCTATATATTTTTTAGTTTCTTAATAATCTTCTTATCTAATTCTAATTCTTCCACTAGATTATTTCCTAAATTTAGAATAACATCAAATATTTCTTCAAACTTAATAGGTTCCTATAAACTATATTATCGGACTAGCTAGAATAAATTGAAAAATATATTTTTATTAAATATAATATCACAAGTTCTAATAATAGCCTATTAGCCTAGAATTTAAACCTAAAAAATATTAGAAGATTTAATTCTTATAAAATATTCTATCTCTATACATTCCACTATCTTTTAAAGATGTGAGATATTAGGAATCTTTTAATATGCTTTATAATTAAAGATTTTTAGTATTCTTAAATATAGAATATTATTCTAGCTATAAGAATTCTAAATAATCTTATAAGATATTCTCCAATTAAGTTATTAATTTAGTTATTAATTTACTAATTAAACTGTATACTATAGTCTTTCTAACTAAAATAAATATAGAAGATTTACTTTATATATAAGAACTTTTATAAAAGTAATTAAAAATACTTCAGATCTCTTTATTAAATTATTTTACTTATATATATAACCTATAGTATATTCTTACTTAATATCTATTCTTTTATAAAATAAGATATATTTATTTCCTAGCGCTTGCTTATTATTAATATAAATAAATCTAATATTAAAGCCTCTTTTTATAAAGCTCTCTAAAAAATCACAAATTAATTCTTAAATCTTTTTATCTTATATAAAAATAATTTTATAATATTACAAATAAAGATAATAAAAGTAAATTATATACTTTATACTATTATATAACCTTTTAATAGAAATAAGATTAAAATAAATAATCTCTTAAGATAAGCTTCTAGTTCTTTAAGATTATTATAAGATTTAAGCTAATACTCTTACTAACTTATAATATTTATAAAAAAATATATTAAAATTATTAGAAATATATACTTCTTATATATTCTTTTTAAAATAAGTAAGAATCTCTCTATCAGAGTGCTCTAGATAATTATATTAATATTAATAAAAAGCAGTTAATTCAATAATCTACTTTAAATATAAAATTAGCCTCTTAGTTATATATACTATACTTATTAATAATTTATTATATTTAGTAATAATTTAATTATAATATTTAGAGATTCTTGTAATTTATATTCTTTCTAAATCTTTCCCCAGAAAATATAAAATATTATTATAGTTATCTTAATAAAAACCCTCTTCCTTACACTTATTAGCAGAAATAAGACTAATTAACGCTTTTAAGCAGTATAATATATTATAAAGAACTATTAGCTGTCTAAATTTTATTCTATCTAGCATAGTAAAGAGGACTTTAATTATATTAATATTATATATTAATATTTAGCCTTCTAATATACTAATAAAATTGATAGTCAGATTAAGATCTTTAAAGATAATAAACTAATTTCTAATATTACAAATATAATCCTCTAAGCTATTATTATAAATAAAGCTTTCTACCAGTACATTCTTACCAACTTAATAAAAGAAGTTTTCTTCTAAAGTAAATAACTAGTCTAGTTAGAAATATACCAATTTATATATTTTTAATTTTATTAAAGATTGCATTTTATACTCTTTAATAAACTTAATTAAAAAAGAATATCTAATAATATTTTTAACTACTATTTTAGTTTTCTCTAAATTAAAAACCCAGCCTTTTTCTTAAATTTATTTATTATAATATAGATAATCTTCTTATCTAAGATAAAAATTTCTAAAAAGAGTATATAAACAAGATTAGTTATCTTTTTAATTACTTTTTCTATTACTTTTATTCTCTTTTAATTAATTCTAACTAATAGATATAAAATCTCTTAAATTTTCTTTATTAAAGGATTTCTCACTCCTTTAAGTTACATATATCTTTAAATTTAAGCCTTTTTTAATCCA